AATTCCACGCCAAAGAACCCCTAGACCTTGTATAAATTCCCTTGCTTTTTTGGGCTCGGGGTCGACTTCCCTGTCTCCTGCTTGAGATAAAAGTCGTCCCAAAGTTTCGTCAATAAAGCCTCTTGTGATTGCAGCGAGTGGATCTGGTGTGAGTTGCTCAGGGTTGTGCCCGGTCTGGGAAAAGCCCTAGTTTGGGGTCTTTCACCTGCAGCCAGGAAACGGAAAGACATATTGCAATGGGAAAGTCTGTAACAATGTCACTATGGAGACTAAGGTGCGCCTGATACAGGCCATGGTCTTTGCATTCACTTGTTATGCATCAGAGAGCTGGACAATGACCAGGGATGGAAGAATTGATGCCTTTGAGCTGTGGTATTGGAGAAGAGTATTGAATATAACATGGACTGCTAAGAGAATGAAGTTTCATTCTAGAGGGTTAAATCAGGTTGCTCCTTGGAGGTAAGGATTCTGAAGCTTCGTCTGACATACTTTGGACATGTTGAAAGGAGGGACCAGTCCTTGGAGAGGGATGTCATGCTTTGGAGGGTAGAGGGATAGCTCAGGTGAGGAAAACCCTCTATGAGATGGCAGTGACTGGGGTAATGGAGGTAGGTGTGTTGGAGACAGATTGGCACAGGATAGAGCAGGGTTTTAGGGCTGTTGTATATAGGGTTGCTATGAGTCACAAGTGACTAGATGGCACATAACAATGTTAAGACATGTCATTACTAAATATATTTTCCCAGGCTGTGGCTTTCCTTTCTACCCTGTTGGAGAAGTTTTTTGGTGTGCATAGGATTTTATTTTTTTAAGGGATTGTATTTTTTTAAATTTAGTTTTTCATTTCAATGAACATCTACAGAGATTTTGGAATTCCATTCATTGTTGCACCCTTCTCTCCGCACAAACCCCTCCCCCTCCCCCCACCCGTTGCTCCTCTCCTTGAAAAGCAAAACTCCCTCATTGGTACACAATCCCCCCCACCACCTCCCCAAACCCCACCCCCTACCTCAATATAATCCACTCTGCAACCCTCATTGCGTACTCCTATGATAAAAATAATGCCCTAAAATAGAATACTTTTAGACTATTCTCTCCCCCATAGACTTCAATGTCGTAGGGATTGTATTTTTAAAAGGTCCCATTAATCTATTTTATTCTCTGCTGGTTGCAGGCAGCATTGTTTGTTGCCCTGCTGCACTTTGCTCTTGTGCCTGGGGTATTTTGTTTCTCAACCTTTTAAAACTCATGCGTCCTAATTAGTATTAAGATGTCCTTTTTTTAAAAAAAAATTATTATATTTTGTGTGCGTACCATCAAATCGGGTCTGACTGGTACAGGAGGAGGAGATTGCTTCTCCTTCTCCAGCAGAGCATTTGGTGGGTTTGAACTTTGTGCCTCTGGGATTGCAGTGCAGCTTCTTGCCACTAGACCATCAGAGCTCACTTAAGATGTTCTTTAATATTGGGTGTTTCAAAATCAACATAAAAACATAGATAGTAGTTAAGGCAATGTCTGTATTTCTTCTATTAACTAAAATTCTCTGCTCTCTTTCTCAACAGGTTTGGGATAAATGCTGTCACTTATCCCAACTGATGTCTCAGTTTCAGCAAGCAAGGTTGTGTCATCCGCTTAATGCAGGTTGTTGAGTCCTCCCTTCAATCCTGATGCCACACTCTTCCTCAGAGAGCCCAGGGTCCTGGATATGTTCTGCATATACAGTGGAAGGTATGGGGACAGATGCATCCTGTGCAATACACTGCCTCTGACAAACTGCTGGAGGGTCAGTTATGGGTCAGTTCTGCCCGGATGGCACACCACCACCGCAACAATACTTAAATATAGGAATGCTTAGTAGGTAATTACTACATTTGAAACTTTTGGTATTAGCATTAGATTTCCTGAGCTTCTGAAAACATAAGGAACAGTTAACCAACAGGGTCACTGGCAATATGTGGAGAAAACACACACATCTTTCTGTCACAAGCCTCTTCTGGCTCCCTCAAGTACTACAGAAGGTGTTGTACTCAGGAGGGAGGAGGCGCCACTCCCAGGGAGGCCTCATGTGGGAAAGGCAGGGCAAAGCCCATGTAAAAAGAATAGCACACATGTACATTAATGATAATAATTTATTTTCAGCGTTTATTACATTATATGATTCTACAGTACAGTTTTTTTACATAATGGTAAACAGTTCTGAAATCAGGATACAATGGATGGAATGACAATTTTGACGTCTTTTCTAAAACCAAGTGTCACAGTATTGAGTCACCAAAACCAGAATCCCAGGAGAGGGAGTGCAACCTGCCACCAATGAAGTTGGCCCCAGACACCCCGCACAGGTCTCAGGGCTACTGTGAACCCAAGTGTGCACCACACAACATGTCTGAAGAAACAGAGACAGCAGTATGGCTTACACGCTCAACCCCGGATCATGCATTAATGGACAGTTTCACAAATATCAAATAAGCAACTTGATTGATGCACTTAGTTCCAAGTCAGAGTGATGTCCACTGTGACGAACAGACTGCCTCTGTATTCTCTTTCTATCACAGCAGCAGCTCAGGTGTACAGTGTGTCACGGTGATCACTCCAGGCCAGAGCAGCCTCTGACCTGTCCACCTTCATCTGCCTTCACTGTCGCTGCCACCAGCTGACAGAGTCAGGCTGTCCAGCACTTCTCTGGAAGGAGACAAGCAGAGGTTACACTTGAGCTCAGCCTGGGGACTGCAGCTGTTGGTGGCTCACATGCTCACCTGTGACGTATCTACCATTTCTGGCATAAAAAGGGGGAGAAGCAATGACAGCCACATTAATCTTTAACAGGCCCCGACAGCATCCTTTCCTGGTATGAGTAACTCATAAATGAATAAACATTTTACAAGGATAGAATTAAGAGGCTAAAAAGCTAAGGATATTTTAAAGAACAAATGGCCCGCTACATTTTTGCCCTTTTCCTTAAACATGAAGACAGAACCACTTACTTCTGTTCCTGGCTGAGCGTGAAGTCTGTGGCCACTCTACGGGAGAGGTGCTCGCACACAGGCAAGCTGAAGGCACTGGCCAGCTGCACCACCTCAATGGCCTGTGTGGGGCTGCCTGCGGCTGCAGCACTGTCCATAAACTCATTCAGCAGTTCATTTCTGCAAACACAAGCCAATGTGAAACCTGCCCCTCAGGATACCAAGCCATGGGGCTGACCCTGGTTGTAAGCAGACAGTGCCGGCCAACAGCCACTTACCCGGGGATCTTATTGTGCTTCCTGAAAAGCTCCAACATTTTCCTGTTTATGGTGAGACAGGAGAAAAATTAGGAAGAGAAAAACAGAAGAGAGCCAGCTGATGGGCACATTCTTTTTCTGGAATCAGCAGTAATATGACTATTCACCACTATGGCGTTAGCTCCTGATGGTACTAATCTGTGGCTCCCAGCCCCATCTGCACCAGTCGTCTCCCCCACGTCTATGCACCTACTCTGCACCTTCATTGTCAATCTGTCATGCCACCACCTGACAGGCTCCTAGAATATTCAGCATGAAGGAAAGGAGACGGCAAAGAGAAAAAGAGAAGACAGCAGACAAGGAACAGAGCTTAATAGAACAGTTTGAGAAAATGCTGCATTCTGACCACTAAATGCACTCAAAGGTCGGCTTCCACCCAAGTGAGCAGAGGCGTAAGTGGTACAGAGAACAGGGATCTGGGTTCACTGTGGCTGGAGCACTGTGTCCCTGGGGAAGCCCTGTACGTGTGGAGCAACTGAGGCCCAGGCAGCTCAGCAAGTGTGCTCGGACAGCAGGTCCCGAGAGTTGGCTGGCTGTCCTAACCTCCACCATTGAGAGCAGGCTCAGATCAAGGCATCAGTCTCATGTAAGTGCTCACCATCCACCTGCCACGTGCAGGACGAAGGAGAGACACTGACATTCAGCTCCCATGGCTCAGCTGAGGTCCGTACCCCTGCGCCAATCATCACAGCCTGATCCATGGTGAAGGGTGTGCTTGCCCGGGTCAGGGAGCACCCAGCTAGGCCGTGCACCAATAAGCCCACTGCTCAGGCCAGGCCCCAAGCTCCATTTATTAAAAAAAAAAATAATCACATGGCTGGGTGATCACATTTCAAATAAGAAGTGTTCCTGCAAAGAAGCCACATACTCCCCTAAATTGTGACTCTCGAGTGGACATAATTAGACCTGCAACAAAACGCAGCAGACCCATCCTGAGATAACGCCCTTGGCTGACAACTCCCCCTCAGGAAAATCATCCTACACAAGGTCACCACACACAGCTACACAATGAACTAGGGGCTGGAAAGACATGCTAAGTGATGAACACACTCAGATGGATGCTCCAGTCATGAAGCCACACTTCAACGAAGCTGGGTCCAGAAGTCCAGGTACCCAGCCCACACCCACAAATAAAATGCTACACAATTTTCACCACCAAAACATTTAAAAAATTCAATTACTTATAAAGTTTCCACTGAAAACTCATTTTACATAAAACTTGTCACACTAGTTTCTAAAAGAAAAAAGAAACTATGATGACGCCACCAGTGGATTCTGAGACCCCTCCCTATAGCACACAGAAGTGCCCAGCGTGGGTTTCTGTGGCTCCAGTTCCATAAGTAGCGGACAGTTTCATCTACATCCTGCAGTGCAGCTGCGGTTTCAATCCCCTCCTTTTCCCCCAGACCAATACTTAACCCATTCTGCCACCAGAGCAGAGTTTAATTAGAGGCGTCTGCTGCCCAGGGTAAAAGCACACTCACCAGGCTTCCCGGGTTCTACCCGCCCTGAGGAAGAGGACAGCGAGACAGTGCAAAGGCCTGGCTGGCCAGTCCAAGGCAGGCTGCCTGGCATCTTGATGTTCATAAGTGGACTTGATGTCTGCGGCACAGTCAGCAAATGCTATCTGGAGCTGAGAGGCTCTGAGTCAATTAAATGGTGTGATTATCTGATGACTGACATTCTTAAGACATCACAGGGCCATTATGGTTTTGAAAAATGGATTCTACCATTTGAACATTCATGTCTACAACACTCAACTGACATACCAAACAGACTGCCAAAGAATACAACCTACTCTTGGATAAAGAATTCATTTTTCAACTGCGCTCTGGATTTTCTTGTAAAGTAACAATCACTTGAACATGCTGTTAATCATTAAGGCAGAGAAGCTATTTTTCATAAAGCTTGCTTTAGGCTGGAGTGACTGCAGAATTGGACTGTTAATGACTGGTCTGTTCAGGGCAGCCCAATTCTAATGTACTAATCTGGGCGGGACACTCTCCACTATCAGAGCCTGCAGTGTCTTTCAAGGACTTCTTCAGTTTTAAGGACTTAATGGTTAGTGCACATCTAGTAACACCAATTACCCTTACCTCTGTTGGGTGCTTGTCCCTGGCCATGAGCGCCAGGACCTCCCCTCTCAGATCACTGCGAAAGGTGTGACCATATTCTTTACTATCTTAAAACAGAAAGGAACATGACCGTCATCATGTGGGGAAAACGTGTTTTGGCTAAACCCTGTCATCCATTATTTCTCAGTGCATGAAACTAAATTGCTAACATTATCTATTCCAGAAAGCCAGCAGGATAATTCATTGCAATACAAAAAGCAGAGCATGGATATCTAATACCAGTGACTGTGCCCATCAAGTGCTGTCTAAGGGGCCTAGCGTCCTCCCCCTAACCCAGCACACAGTCTCCCTGGCAGCAACCACCTCCTGTGGGAATTCCTAATGTTTTTTGTTCACAGGCTTTTTAGATCAATCTTGTGAAGGAGCAAGGCACAGTTTCTGTTTCTCAGACATGGGAACTAGGGCAAACAGATAAGACTTTTTGCTAATACAATAAACACCTAGTGGAAGAGATAAAACCATCTATGTATTCCACAAATCAATTCCTGTACACAACACAGCCCAATACAGTCAAACCATGATAATGACTGCTCCTTAGAAACAGAAGCACCACCGACTCTAGTGAAACATTAAACCAACAGTAATGTAATGGGTCTGCAGTTAAGAGATGTGCAATCAAGTTTAGCTCCTGCCAATTAACTAGTATTCACATTAATCTTCTCTGGGCCATGCCACAGTGTACAAAGCCCAGCATCTCCCTGTGTCACAAACAGACTGACCTAAACGGTCTTCAGGATCTTGTTATTTACAAAATTCAATGTACACCACGAGCACATGACACAAAGAAGCTCTAACCAGCGCAGTCAACTCAGTCAGAAAGGGGCAGTTTTATCATAAACAGCAACATAACAAGTTTCTTAAGAGGCCTGGGCAGACAAGTAGAAACTGACCTTTCCAAATTTTAGGAATCATTTCTAGTCGATTGGCCACGTCTAATGCTTGGAGAAGGTTTATCAATGTTTGGGCACTGGGAAAGAAGACCTGATTAAAAGAAATTAACATTTTTTAAATCAAGAAAAGACACTCAAAGAACATCTCTACAATGAAAAATAAATAATGAACTATCTTACCGAAGGTATCAGGTCCTTATACCACTTCAAGGTCACATCAATTTGTTCCATCAGACAAAGCAAATGGAAGAACTTGGAACTGGGACAGAGAAGAAAGGTAAATTCAGTCTAAAACCCCTACAGCTCTCTTAACATTAGGGCAGTAAATGAATTAAGCACAGCTACAGGCTGACAAGTTCCACAGAAGGCAGACTACTGAATGCTGTAGTCATCTGAAAAGCATTTAACGTGAGATGCATGTGGTATGGAGGGCCTCAAACAGCCTCTAGCTGCACAACACAGGCTTAAACAGAAAAGATAAAGCAGGTCCTCTGCTAAAGCAAAGGCATATATTTCCAACACACTTACAAGTAGTAACTACATCGATGATCAGTTCCAATGAATTTCCGGTTCTCACCAGTATTTAAAAGGCCATGTACTTGGTAAGCAAGTTGCAGATCTCTGAGGGAGGAACACTAAAAATGTGCAAGCATTAATGTCACTCTGAGATAATCATAAATAAAGTCCAGAAACACAAAAGCCTAGAGTAATACTCAAGTAGTCTCATTATATTATTGGCTGATGGAAAAAAAGAAAACCATTAATTCAAGTTACTAATCAGGAAAAAAGCGGCATTCTGACGCCGTATGTGGACAGATACAGAAAAAAGGCAAATGATACAACAGTGATCACATAAAGACATTATATGCTTAAAAACTACAGATTTTAGGGAAAAAAAATTAGATATAAACAAAAGTTAGAAGTGAAAGGACCAGAGCAAGAACACAGGTGGAGACAATGAAGTTCAAGTATAGGGAAATTCAGGATGCAGGTTAAAGAATTACTGTTGTGTACCATCGAGTCGGAATCGACCCACAGCTGACCGTCTGGTGGGTTTTCAGAGGCGCTTCATTACACGGGAGATTGCCCATCCTTCTCCCATAGAGGGTTAAAGAATAGGGAGAAATAAACAAGAAAAGGTACTTACAACTCTCATTGCTGACTGAAAAAACATATCTGGAAAAAAATTCATGAGAGAAGCCTTGGTCACTATGGATTAGTTAACAGATTTCCCCAAGTAAGTTATATTTAAAAAGTCCTGGCAGTGGACCTGGTCACACGTTAAGGTGAAGCCGAAGGATTGAAAACTCCAGAGGGCAAGCACAGCTCACCTTTGAACAGCATGAGTCTAAGGCCAAGTGTTTTCAAGAAACACACAGCAAGGTTTTTTGATATCTGTGACTGGGCAACAGTGATAATTTCAAGGCCACCACTTGTTGCTGTCACACGCTCACGCATTATAAGGATCTACTTAAACTATATGACACTATCTCCTTGTGAGCCATGTGTCTTTTCAGTAAGTATCAGAATCACAGTTAAAAGTGACCCCTGTGGTTTGTGCAAAAGTTTCATCATACTTATGAGTGCAACACTGGAAACCCCAAGTAACCCCAAGGGATCCAGAGCTAGTGATGCCAAAGTGCCTCCAGGAAGTGGAAAAAAAGTGACCATCTGTTACATGGCACAGACCACAGTCTTTATCAGTGACCAATTCAAGAGAAAACCTAGCACAAGAGCACTTAAAAAAAAAAAAAGAAAAAAAAGGGAGGCTCATGAGGATTTTGTAAAACATCTTTTTATTTAAAATGTAGCTTTTCTGTGGTTGAAGAACTATTTTTAAACAAAGCAGAACAGAAGAGACAGGCTTTAGAAGGAGCTCTAGAACACAATACATAGCATGTTAGGCTGTTCACCAAGAGGCTTTTGGTTTGAATCTACTAGCGTCCCCAGAAAAGATCAGTCTCCTCCTGTGGAGACTGAAAGCATCAGAAGCCCCACAGAAAGATTCTGTGTTGGACTTGAATTGGTGAGATCTAGGGAAGACTGAACCACTTTTACCAAGTTAACTGCTGTAAGACAAAGCTGAAAGAAACAGTAAAGGATCTAAAACTGGAGAACTGAATGCTAGCAAATGATCTGATAATTTGAGGAAAGGTTTTGGCTTCAAGAATGCCAAGAATAACAGAAGCAGCTTTTGTGGATGAAAAGACAGCAGAGGAGTTTGCAAACATCATTTAACAAACCACTGAAGAGTGAGCTATTTCCCTGAGCAGACCTCTCTCCCAGTGTCCTACTCTGTTAACCAACTGTATGTGCTAGTGATTAAAGTTCGAACTTGAAGCGAGCTATTAGTTAATTGAGTTTGAGGGAAATAAAAAGTTACTGGTGGACCTTCTACCATGTGAAGGGTCAGTGTCCCTAAACTCACACTGTGTAAGAGTTAACTATTTACAGCCAGGTGGCCATCACCGTCCTCATGAAAAGAGAGTGAGCATTATCTGTACATACCGTCATCTAGGTCCTTTGAGGAAAATGTCTTCCCTGCAATTTCATTCATAATATCATAGATTACGTGGGAGAACATTTTTGAAGAGTCTTCTGCAGAGAACAGAAATGGATTTCATGAGTCCATTTTCCACATGACCCTAAACCCCTTTCCCCTCCACAGCGCAGGGCTGACAGAATGAATACACCCTGCAGTGTTGCTGACAAGTGGGTCCACCAGGAGCTCTTTTTCCTTTTGTAAGAGAACTGACATTAACTGGGGAATGGGAGAGAACCACAAACATCCACAAATCCGTACATCTCAAAGAAAAGTGATGAAGTACAAAGAGGGTAAGAAAATCAGGGGAAGGAGAGCAGAATAAATAAATATGAGCAGCCCTTTAAAAACCACATCTGCTGGCGAGCTTTGTGGCCTAGTGGCAAGAAGCTGCAACTGCAACCTCAGAGATGCACGGTTCTAAACCACCAGATGCTCTGCTAGAGGAGGAACAATCTCCTCCTGTACCAGTCAGATCTGATTTGATGGTACACACAAAAAATAATGAAATAAATTATTTTTTTTAAAAAACAAAAAACCACATCTGCTAAGTATGAACAAGTTAAGAAAATGTATTTGTGACAGTGTCACACAAACAAATCATTATCTACTACATTCTTAGCAAAGTGATCCCACTGTTTCAATGACAGCACAGATAAGCTTTTTCTTTTTTGAAAAACTTTTTTCTTCTTGTTGTGTACCATTGAATCGGATCCAACTGGCACAGTGGGACATTGCTCCTTCTTCTCCAGCAGATGATCTGGTGGATCCAAACTGTACCTTTGGGACTGCAGCACAGCTTCTTCCAACTAGGACATCAGAGCTCCCTTAGACATGCTTTTTCATAACACTTTGGCATGTTTCCATTTGTTGGAATTCCTAACTACTTTATTAGCTACATAATAGTCTATGTAAAATGTACTGCTTTCCTATTTTAGGTGTTCTCTTTGAAGCAAACTCTTAGAATTATTAACGGTCTTACTTTGCAGCCAATTAATAAACAGTACATTCTGTGGTTAAGTACACATAGAATATAGAGCAATTTCTACATCCTCTCGGAATATGAGCAGGGCCAAGACACTCAGAAGATGACCATGTGTGAACCGAGGGTTCTCTCCATATAGGAAGAGAATAACAAGACCCAGCAGGTTCCGAGTGCCTGCTGTGTGCCTCCCGCTGAGTAATACACGAGGTGTAATGAACATTATCAGTACGATGCTGGCAGTGTTGGTGAAGCAGGGAGCCATATAACGTAGTGGGTAAACGTCAAGAGTTGAAATTTCAACTCTGTTCCAAAGTCCATCTCATAGATCATAACTAGACCTAAAAGCATGGTGACTTTAAGAATCTATCAAAAGGCCTCAGAATAAGCACATGCAGATCTGGAGCAGACTGCCCAACTGGAGCCCCTGGCATCAAGCACTAGTTGAGCCAACTCTGGGACTTTTCGTATTACCTGTGTTAAACAGCTCCACTCAGCTCTCATTCTACAGGCCAACATAAGGGATTCCAGACAAAAATATCTAATGGAACAGCAGCATTCTTTTTCATAACCCCCTCTTCCAGTTCAGGCTGCACAGCACAAGCAACTTGCCCCAGGATGATAAACAGATTAAGTTGTTATTCTTAAATCATATGCAGAAAAGGTAACGTGGAGCAGCCACTCACGGAAATGGCAAAGGGCTGGTCAATTTGCTACCGGAATTAATATAATACAAGTAATACATACCAGCGGGATAAAAGATTTGAATGATATAGTGATATGTTGCAAGTGACGGTTCTTGAGTTATCCAATGGAGAGAAAATGAAAAAGAAAATTAAGTCAAAACAATGTTACCTGAAACACATACTAATATAGGTGCTGACCTAAAAACACACTGAGGCTGGTACTCATCAAGATGTGCAGAGATGAAGAGCTAAACCACAGCACTACTTCAAAGTCAAAAGGTCAACTACAACATGTTACAGTTATAAAGGCATGCTGGTGGCACAGGCCAGCACAGCACTACCAGCTGAAGGCCACACCGTCTGGCAGGAGAAGGATGGGCAGCCTCCTCCCGTGTGATTTAAAGCCTCAGAAAACAAACTGATCTGTTGAGTAGGCTCCAACTCAATGGCATGACTTTTCACTGTCTAGCACATGGTGCATTATATCTGATAATACTAAAGCTTTCTGAACGAATGCAAAATTTAAGTAATTACCAGGGAGAAAAGAAAAAGATATAAAAACACTAGCCCACATAGCGCAATTATGCTGGAAAATGTCATGGAATTAAAACTAGCTTACTCAAAGTGAACAATTCTTTCCAGAATTAAGAAACCCACAAACAAGTATTTAAAAGTCTAACAAATCTATTATGAGAATGAAGATGACAAAAGGGATCCCAACATAGTAATAAACATATTCATCAGTTATGTGAGATGTGAAAACAAAATTTATAACATTTCTGTGGTAAATAATAAAAATTAGCATTTACAGCGACCTCTATGAGCGTCTGGATGGGAAGCTGCCTGTCAGCAGGATCTTTGAGTGAATTCAACAGCATTCTTACCTATTCCAACGGCCTTCATTTCACGTAGAGTCTGCAAAGCTGGTACTTTCCCAAATAAACGAAACCTTCGAAGGCATTTGAGGATGGTATTAAAAGTCTGTAGGTTTGGTTGCACCTTCTGTGCAACCATTTGTTTCAAAAGCTCCTGGGTGGATCAAAAGCACAAAGGTGTTTTTATGCCAGGGGAGAGACGTCACCCAGTAGCCTAGTACCTCAACCTTAAGTAAGAAAATAACTAGGTATTCAGGTATTTCTAAAGCAAGTTAGTAAGTACATTTCTAATTTTAGAATTCTTTAATAGTTAGTGACTTTGCTGGAAAAGCTTTTGAAAGAAGCCCTGTCTGTGCCACCCTATGGCGGCTAACCAAGTGTCCAACTGTCGTTATCCTTGACCTATCTAGTCAGTGAGCCCTGGCAGATAAAGAATCAATACAAGGACATAATAAAATGGATTTGGTTTTGCTTTTTACAATTATTTTTATACTAATAATTGTAAAAATTGCTTTTTACAATTATTAGTATAAAAACAGAGTTTTGGCAGCCTAGTCCGAAGGGAGTTGTGTTGCTAAACCAAAACCACAAGTTTCCACGGTAGATAAGAAGCAATCCAGAGACTTCAATTTTTTTTTCTGAGACTTCAATTTTTAAAATCTCTTTTTTTTCTGAGTACAGTATACTTTATTGATGGTACATGACAAGATGGGCTCTCTAAGCCCCTCCCCTTGCTCAGGGCGACTGGATGGAAACTGTATCAAGGATGTGAGATTCTCAATGTGTGGAGGGACCGAGTTGGGGCAAGTACTCCCCAACAGCTGGGGGTCTTTCTCTCTTCTAGTGCTATTACTGGGGCTGGTGGTCCAAGGGGACAATTCTTTGGAGGCCAAGTGACCCATCAGGTCGACCACTTTTTTGCTGTAGCCAAATTCACTGTCATATCAGGAAACAAGTTTGACAAAGTGGTCGTTCAGGGCAATGCCAGCTCAAATATCAAAGGTGTAAAAGTGAGTGTCATTGTTACACAGGAGACAATAAATTTTTAAAATCTATCTGATGATAATTTTACAATACCCATGTGGTACTGTTATGATTAAATCAGAACCGCCTATAGCCCAGTCAACAGGAAACAAAGTGGGAGTTTCCGCTTACCTGTATATTATCCCATCTCTCCTCATATTTCTCATTAGCTGCCACTGCTTTTGCTTCAATCAAAGCATTAAAGGTGTACACATCAGCTATAAAAGAAAACGGTATTATTAACCTAATTTGGGGTTGAAGATCAACTACTAAGTAGCTCAATTTAAGGAAAAGTGGCCCTGCCTAAGGACTACTGCCACAGGTCCAGGACTCTCCTCTCTGAATCTCTGTGTTTGGAGTACAGAAAAAGAAACGCAGATCATGAGGCAACGCAGATCATGAGGCAAAAGTCAAAACCTTCACACAGACTTTCGGATCCGACTGGCACAGGAGGAGATTGTCCCTCCTTCTCCAGCAGAGCATCTGGTGGATTTGAACACGTGCCTTTGGGATTGTAGCGCAACTTCTTGACACTAGGCCACCAGAGCTCCCATCACATCAACTCTTGAAACAGAATGCAGAGGAGAAAAGGAGAGTTCCTAAAATACTCACCTCTGAGCCTGTTGTTCAATAATTCAGTGTAGAGATTTAATGCTTGCTCATTAGCTTGGTGCTAGAAGAAACAGAGATAAAAATGAGACCTAATTCCTTTCAGCTGTAGCTTGAGAATACAGCAGGAACAAAAAGTCCTTTTTCTCAGGAACCTGTAATATATCTACAGTACTGATGCTGAGAAACCCACATTGTTGATGGAAATTAGGGATTGAAAAGAAAGTTAACTTTACCTTCACCATTCCCCGGATCATTGTGCAGTAAGAATGGGCATTTTTCTCTGGCATTAAAGCAAAGATCCTCTCAGCATTGTTTTTATCTCTAGATAAAAGAGATAAAAGTGAGCAAAGGCAAATATCTATCTACCACAATGTGTGTGAGCTCATGGGTTCCAGGCCCTATGCCAACCCCTGAATTCTCATCACTGAAAGAGGAAAGTAGGGCTATTATAATTCTAAAACCAAGAGGCCTAGCACCCCCTCGTGTGTTTCTCCATGCAATGGTTTCTTCTGAATCCTAGGCATGCTGTAGTGCATGTACATTTATCCTCTTTTTAAGTAACTGTCAAAAGTACTCCACATTATATAAACAATTCTTGATGTCATTTTTCTGGAATCATATAGAACAAAGACTGGAGTCAAAGTCCATTTCTTTTTTTTTTTAATTTAGCAAAACAAGAGCAAAAAGTTTATTAAAGCAACAAGAGAGAGGCATAGCTAGTGTAAGGTGGATCATACAGGAATTAAGGTATAAAAGAAAAAGGAGGGAGGAGGCGGACAGGACCCCTGGAAAGACGGGATGAGCCTATAGACTTTACAGCATAGCATGCTGTCAGTAGAAAAGGAAACTAGAGGCCAAAGGCTATTTCTTAATCACTGTAAGTACAATCTTACTACAATCTACTCCAAGAAATTTTATTTTAAATTACATTAATCCATTAAAACAGATCTGATATGAAGGATGGCTTTCCTTCTCTAGATTTTACATAAGAAATACCTTTCTTTTATTTAGGTTCTTGAACTTAAGTTTGTTTTTTTTTTTAATCTATCTTTTAAAAAAATTATTAACTATTTACAAAACTCGAATACATTGTTTTCCAGAACAGATTCCTCCATTTCTCCCCCCATTAATACCCCCTCCCCTTGCACATCCTCGACCCTCTGCTTCCACCATCCTCCCAACCCCTGGATCCTTACATACATTCTACAATAATGGTTTTTTGAACTTAAGTTTTAATTTTCATATGTAACTAAATGTTACATGAATTTTCTGTTTGAAGCTGAGTTTTTACTTGTCACACAGTGTTTTTTACTTGATTTATTACCACATTCCAGTGTATATGTATTTTTATAAAAATAAATATATACCACACCTTTCTGAATAGAAGTGGTTTAGGCATGCACTGCAAGGCAGCACAGGTGATGACACTACCAAGGGAATCTTAATGTGTGTGAAGGTTATTGAGACTTAAATGGGAGACAAACAAAACAAAACAAAACAAAACACCAACCTGTACAGATTCCTGTGCTACTGGGATCTTACTAAAAATGGTCCAAATATATATGGATAGAAATTTATAATGTGCAGGAAGACAAGATATATTTATCTCAGAGTACGTTATATGGGTGGGGAAAATGATAGGAGGCAGTCAGTGCAGTGTAATGGCAAGATTGGCCTTTTGTTATGTAAAACAAAAATTCAAGTAAGGCGCCAAGGTGGAACACTGGTTAAGGAGCGCTCACCCACTCAAAGGAAGGTCAGCTGTTTGAACTGACCAGCTCTTGACGGACGCCTGGCATCTACTCTCCAATATTCACTATCACAGCCCCTGAGTTGGTTCCAACTCATAACCACCTGCCACCAGGTCTCTTAGGACTCTCATCATTCAGGAAGCAGACTGCTTTTCTCCTGATGACTGATGGACAGGAATGACCAGCGGTCTGAAGTCTTCTGGTCAGCAGCACTATGGACACACAATGGGCTCTGCACTAGAACTCTTTTCACAGAGATTAGGTGGGAAAAGCCCAGGAACTGCTGAGGGCAGTTCTACTCTGTCCTGTAGGGCCACTCACTTTAAGTCACAATCAACTCAATGGCACCAATCAACGTACCTCCAAGTGACTCCAAACTGATGACTGTCCTTCCTCCTGGGTTTCTCATTCTGTTCGTCTGTGGCCTCTTCCTGAAGTGAATAACCACCAGAATAAAGAAAAATCACCAATGGAAAGCAGTCATGCAGCTCAACTCAACTCCCTATGGTCAAGCTAGAACCGACTCGTAGCTGACCCACTAAGCAGGCTTCTGAAAGCTGCAAACGGCACAGGAGAATGCCACCTTTTCTCCAGGGAGTCACAGTGGACTGGATCACCAGAGGGACATCACTCTTATGTGTCATTAGCACTCTTCCAGGTGGACCACTCAAAATCAGGAAGGCCAAGTGAACGCCAGGAAAGTCAAGGGAAAAAAAAGATACAGCAGAAATCAAACAGGATATGGAATATACATTTATCCCCTAAGGGTAAATCAGCTAATTTACAGAAGAAAAGCTGGCTTTTCAGCAACAAGTGATGATGGGGGGGAGGGGAAGGGGGAGCGCAGAGACTAAAACCAAGTGGTTTCTTCAAAGGCAGCATTTTCAAGAGTCTGGCTTAAACTTTATAAAAACACTGTCGATTATCACAGTGAAAGAATGAGAACGTGTATCTGGAGAGAGATATCTGCTTTACAAACTGGGCTACTGCTGGAGGGGAAAGGGCTGTGGATGACAGGTGTGTATACACCTCACTGTCTATGCACTTTAAAAGCTTAGCTCCTGCACAGAAGTGAGGGGGGGAAATCCCCACCCATAATCCTATCACAATTTCATAATTATTCTTTTCTTATGCATATAGATTAACAAAAATAGAATACACAAAGTTACATGATGTTTCTCCGCTTATTAAATATACAGAAGAACGCTGGTGGCGCAATGGGTAAACACAGAGCTGCCAAACAAAGGCCCACAGACTGAATTTATCAGGGGGTGGAGCAGCTCACTCTGGAAAGATCAGCCTTGCAAGCCCTATGCCTTTTGCTTTGTCTTAAGTTCTCAAAACTGAAAGATACTCAGTAGCAGTGAGCTTTTAGGATATCCAAGTAGTGATACACTGGCATTTTCAAATAACTACTTAACACTCTACTATCATGATTGAGTCAGCCTCCCATTGGACATGGCCATTTTTCTTTAACAATTATAAATATATTTCTTTCTTTTTTTTTTTTTAAATCTTCTAAGGAACTTCACTTATAGATCTTTGTTCTTTGGGATCTACGTATAAAAACTGAGCTCTGGGTGGAGCCCAGCCATCAGCCCGTCAGCCCTAATTGCATACGCTGCCCAGACCTTTCCCCTCCCCCAGTCCGGCCTAGCAAGCTCCCTCTTCTCAGCCTCTGTGTGCATGAGGGCTGCAGCCAGATGATTTTTCTGTTTATGACACATAAGTGATAACAGAGAGCCTTACTGAAGAAATTCTGATCAAAGCTTTGTCTGTGTGTGGTGGGCTAGTTTAGGGTTTTTTTTTTTAAGTTTTAATTTTATTTGATGACTTATTTATTCTTGAGTTTTTGTTTCTTTAGTTTCTTCTGGGAGATCTTTTTCTTCTGGGCAACCTCCTCTTCTGGTTTAGGAACAATCTGTTCCTTTTCAGTAAGGATCATCTCAATATGGCAGGGGGAGCTCATGTAGGGGTTAATCCGACCATGAGCTCTGTATGTGCGGCGGCGCATCTTGGGAGCTTTGTTCACCTGGATATGCTCAATGACCAGAGAATCAACATCTAAACCCTTAAGTTCAGCATTACTTTCAGCGTTTTTAAGCATATGCAGCAAAAACTCGGCACTCTTTTTGGGCCACCGACCCTGTGTCCAACCCCACTGTTTGGCCTGGGCACACCTACCAACTCCACCATTGTATCGTCGGAAAGGCACACACTGCTTTTGCAAAGTGACATCTTTCAGATACTTGGTGGCTTTCCGGATATGCATACCCTTGATTTGCATGATTTTGTGGGGTTTTCCGGGTCAAGTGAGTAGCGAACCATGTTGGCAGATTACCTGAAGCCGCTCACAGGAAAAGGAAGAATTTAGGATATTTTTAGAAAAGGGAACTAGGATTAAAGTAATTGTTTAAATCTCGTTTCACATGCACAACCTTTACCAAGGCTCTACATCTCAGCAGGAGGCCCTTGCTCTGTCCTGATACATGGCAAAAGACTCTTCTGAAGATATTTAAACAACAGTATCTTTATGAATGCTAGGGGGTAATTACCGAGTCTTCCGCTTTTTCAGTTTGTTGAAAATTATAATCAGCAGGGGGCTCCTGGTCACCATAGTAACACAATAAATCCAAGAGACCATTAGTTGTTTCCAGGGACACGGAGGTTCCTTTGGGGGGGAGAGGGAGAGAGAGAAAAAAAGAGACCTTGAAACAGTGAAGAGTCACCAGCTCTTTGACAATCTTCTATGATATTGCTGGCCACACTTAATAGCATCCACCACTTTATCAATCTATTAGGTATTCATTCAATACTGCTGTATAAAAAAAAAAAAATTCAACCCCTATAACCATGTTGTCTGACACAAAACCTTCAGGTTGACCCTCCCCTCTCGCCCAAGACTCAAGTTCTTGGCTACCCTTCTGACCAGGAACTAAACACCCTGTGGCTCAACTTTCTGCCAAACAAGGGACAGGGCCAGAAGGTGACAGTAAAACCAAGCAGATACTAACTCTCTAGGACCACCAGCAACACAAGACCTACAGGGAGCGTCCCACAGGCAGTGTCCGCCTGGGATCCAGGGCGGACAGGGACAGAGAAGGACAGACAAGTTCCTCCTTTCCACAGCAAAGCACAGGGAAATAGCAGCTAGAGTGCAATTAGAAAGTGGACTGCTGAGGACTGTCGTCAAACAAAGGTGCATAAAACAGCTAAACAGAAAATCGGGTTGCTCTGAATTTTCACTTAAATCACTTGGGGTTGTGGGAGTGAAGAGGGATGGGACAGGGTGAGGAAGCTGAGCCCCAAGCTCACTTATTTCCCATATTCATACCCTGAGAGAAATCAGTTTCACCTTTCATCTGCAAAATGAACACTCTGCAAACTACTTGCCTTAATCCCCTCGGTCTAGTTTTATTTTCACAAATATGATTGGAGGGATTCTACCTGGCCTTAGGCCCCTACTGAAATGCTGATACAGAAAATCTAGCTGGATGTGCCCAATACAGAACTTACTTCTCAAAACATTATGTTCTCATCTTGAGAAAACAAATTAAAATATTCTGATAGTGTAAGTGCCCCTATGGACATTTTTAAAGGTATAAAGATAGAACAGAATGGAGGATACAGGGTATAGAATTCAAATGCAGCATTTCAGAGCTGCACTAACCTGGGAAAAAAATACTGAACGAATTATTTTCTTACTGACACTGCTGGCCCTGTTATCCAAATATACTTGAGGACATTCTGTGTCCCTTACAAAAAAAGGAGGAAAAGTACATATATGCAGGACATTTTAAGTTCAACTTGTACTCATCCAATGGTAAAAACTGACATGGAGCTCAGTAAGAATGGTTCTATAACTCCTGTCTGTAGTGAAGCATCAGAAGATGCTAGAAAATCATCAGAAACTAAGATAGTGGCAACTCCACCTCATCTGTAAAATGAAGTTCAAACAGAACCTCAATTTTACAGCCATCTAACAATGTAAGGACTTGGAACTCCACAAAACTCGTGAAATTAATGACTCACTCATCTTAGGTTATTTTCTTAGTGACTTTTAAATAAACTTGCTTACCTGCTTGTAAGAGTTGATCAAACATATCCACTGAAGCTTTAACTTTTTTGAGCTTAATACGTTCCTTCAGGGCAGCTTCACTTATGTCTTCAATCTGAGGTTCAAAGTATTCGGGCATTAAACACTGAAAAACAAAAACCAAACCACACCACTCAACAAATATTGAATGTTACTACAAACAGGTAAATGTAATATGATAACTAAGTATGATAAATTTTTATTACCTACACTGTCCCAATTTATGTTTCCTGTACTAGACTTATTTAGCATGTCTATCTGTATTCCTTTTATCTACATAATCACACTGGCATTTTAATTTTTATTTAGGAGTCAATGAAAAGCAGATGTCTTTTGTGGGAATGTTTTGGGAAGGAGAAATATGAAAGGAGGGAATGGTTTTGGACAGGACAAGCCTGGTTTTTACTGGTAACTGCAGGCACATGTCTGGCTTACACTGGACTGAAGCTCTAACCAACACTGCATGCACTCACTAAAGAGGCAAAGAACAAAGAGGAAGTGGGTGGCAGTGCTCCACGGAGGAGGGGCAGGGTTAGATATACAAAGACATCAGACAGGTTGCACATTTTATCCAAGCAGAAAAAGCACACACATGGAGTAAGAGGAAGATGTTGAGCAGGAAACCGCTAAGCAGGAAATCTGGTGCTCAAGGCCAGAAGTAGAAAAAAAGGCTCAGTTACAAAGTCAGGGGTCAACAGACACCAAATGGGGGAAATACATACTGCCACACCCCCAAAGGTTTGTCATTCAAGCGAGCAACCAGTATTCACGCTTGCTTAAATATCAGTCCCAAAAGTGAGATTTCACTTACATTTATAGATATTCTATCAAAATTGAATTACCTCTCCTTACCGGTATATGGGGTTCAGCTATGTCCTTCTGAAAAAATTTAGGATGTAAATTCATAATAAACTTTGCTGCATTTTCGCCAGACTTCTTCGCCAATAAAAATGAACGCTATTTGGGGGGGGGGGAGAGACAGAAATTGTTATTTACATCTAATTTACACCCATGGAGATCAAACAATCACCATAATCAAGTCCTCAAAAAACAAACAAACAAAAACAACACAAAACAAAAAACAAAGCACAATAACTCGGAAATTCAATTAGAAATAAATTACGTATCCATTTCTCCTATAGAGCATTCTATAACTTCAGTTCACATCTTTTAAACAGTTCAAGGTGTACAATGCATTTAAACTTGTGTGAAAAACCAATATATGTGTAAAAAAATCCTCTCCTCCACAGACAATGCTTTTAAATAGTTTTTACAAAATCACTAAAGAAAAGAGAAAGCATATGAAATTCTATTAGCATCTGTAAACGCTAAAAAAATTTTACAATATAATTAAGATGCAGATGCATTCTTCTAACGGATACTGCAAGACTGATATTAAAAACTCCCAGGAAGCACTCACAGATTCCACAGCAGATGTTGGTATGAGGTAAGGATCATCCTGAAAGGCATAAGGCACAGCGGTGGCATCCTGTGGAAAGACAAGAGAGGTCTCTACTGGGGTTTGGTAAGAGGGCCACAGGAGCTTTCGATGGTGATCAAAGATTCTATGCCATCAATTTAATTATACATGTATTATAATATACACAAGTGGCACAGAATAAAGATATATATACACGTTGTTATGTGCCATCAAGTTGCTTGCGACTCATAGTGACCCTATGTACAAAAGCCCTAAACTCTGCTCTATTCTGTGCCAACCTCACTGTCTCCGACACACCTAGCCCCATTACCCCAATCACTGAATCGATCTAGCTCATCGAGCTGTCTCATCTCATCTCCTGCGCTGTCCTTCCACTCTCCCAAACATGAAGTCTCTCTCCAAGGATTGGTTCCTCCTTGCAACATGACCAAAGTATGTCACTCAGACAAAGCTTCAGAATCCTTACCTCTAAGGAGCAGCCTGGCTTCACCCTCCCCAGGACAAACTCGTTTGTCCTCCTAGCAGTCCATGGTATATTCAACACTCTTCTCCAGCACCACAGCTCAAAGGCATCAATTCTCTATCATTCCTAGTCACTGTCCAGCTTTCTGATGCATAGCACATAACTGCAAAGACTATAGCCCGGATCAGGTGCACTTTAGTCTCCAGCTGGATGTCACTGCTCATCAATCTCTGGAGCTGACAACTGAGTTTCCCAATGCAACACATACACACAAATATATACTGACACATCCCCCCCACCCCCATCTTATAGAGGAAGTGACAGGAGTCCAGTGGTAAGAAACTGTGCTGCCATTTCAAAGGCATGAGATTCAAATCCACCATCTGCTCCATAGGAGGAGGTCAGGCCATCTCCTACAGGCAATCTGCCTCTGAAAACGCACTGGAGGGTCAGCTATGGGTCAATTCTCACTCAATGGTACACAACAACAATTCTCCACATTATGCACAGTTCCACAAAATTTGGCTAATTATGCAGTTTAAAGTCAACAAAGGCTCAATCACCTGGAACTGCTTTGTCAAAAATGCATCTTCCTATTCATTGTAATAGTTCCACTAGGAACTATTAAATTTTTAAACTTTAGGCAAGGACTGTCCAAGTTAACTAAACCCAAAAAAACCAATGTCCTTCCTCCAGGGTATGATCACCATCTGCACTACATTCAGCATCACCTAAGAGACCCTCCTCATATGGGCATGAATACACTGAGCCCTGAGGGTAGAACACAGGAATACTGGTCTCTGTACCCAGGTAGAACTTTGAACAAAAGCATTATCTGAGACCACCAAACCCCCACTTCCTTCTTCTTCTCCTCTCTCAGAACTCCCTTTCCTTGACCTTCTTCCTTTGGGAAAGGAAAGAGGAGAAGAATCACCATGAACTGCTCTGTGTCCATGCCAATTTGTATTAAGTTGGAGTTACCTGAGCCCACTTGCAGTGCTCAAAGAAGGCTATGCTCAAACCCAGGCAGATTTTTTGGTCCTAGCTTCCTTCTGCCACTTTCAAAGCCTCCATCCCTCTACCTTCATTTCTTCTTCAGTTAAGTGCATGGCTGCTAATGAAAAGGCTGGCAGCTGGAACCTACCTAGCAGCTTGGTGGAGAAAAGGCCTGACAATCTGCTTCCATACTGATTATAGCCAAGAAAATCCTCTGGGACACTACTGTAGCACTTGGGGGAACCAGGACAATACTTAAAATAAGGTATGCTGTGCAGCCAGACACACTAGGTCTACAAAGGCAAGCAAGTGACAGCAATTCTAGGCTCTGCATGACTCTCGGAAGACATGGAATCAGCTCTCATTCATCCTTAGAGATGACTGTCTTGGTATCTAAATAAAAACACTTCATTTTGGTGACACATCTGACTTCTTTCTACTCACCTGCCAATTCTCCTCCCTTACTGATGTGCATACTCTTCCTGACCTCAGAGAAACAGGAATGTCAAACTCAATTCTGCCTCAAGTGGCATTTCCCTGGCAACCTGCTCTTCTTCCTACCCTTTCCAGCTGTAAGTAGCACTGGATACTCTGAAGTTCAACCCCAAAAGCTTATTTCATTACTTCTAATCAATTCCTTTTGCAAAGTTCTTTTGCAGCATGACAAGTACAGAATTTCTTCAAGCTGTTCTCTGCATCACTTGAATTTTAGTCACCAAACTCAAACCATCCTCAAGGAGGACACATTTTAACGACCTATTCAGCTGCTGACATTTAGAGATCACTGCTGAGGACTGGTTAGCAGTGAACGTGGGGACAGGAGACAGGGACTCGTGCTAAGGCTTTAACATCCTAAGCAACCTTGGGTGCTCACCTCAAGTCTTTAAAAAAAGGGCTAGTCTCTTTTATCAAATAAAGAGAACTGATTAGAAAATTTCCAAAACTGTAGATAGGCGAACAGTTGAATTCTCAACAATGAGGAGGTATGACCATGAAATACATTATTACCTGTTAGATATAAAACTCTGTAAATCCTACTCACCCGGGTTACTGTGGATGCAAGTGCCTGAAGAACAGCCACTTTATCCCTAAGAATGAGAAAAAGCAGTCAGCCACACACTAGATGATTTCTAGTCTCTGCACAGATAGCCTTAATTGGCTATCTGTGCAGAGATTAGAAATTGTATGTTTAATTACATATAAGTCTCAACTGGAGGTAGTATCTATCTCAGATTAAATCACAAAACAAGGAAAAAGTCTAGTTCTTTTGCCTTAATGTAGTATGTTTCCATTAAGGTAAGCTTGTCATATCTGGATCAACATGTATTTATATGCCTATGCTATAAATGCTTTTCAGTTCAAAAAAAGGGAAAAAAATACTAAACAAACTAAACCAAAAGTTAACTCAGTTAAATACAACATGCACAAGATTGTCACTTAAAACACAAAAGTTTCTACTACATCACAATTAAATAATGTCAGATGTACAGAATACTTGTTGAGTTTATTTTTAAAAGTTACATTTAATATAATTTTAGCCAAGAGTGACAAAGACATTTTCTTTCAGTATTCTCTAATTAACACATTTTCACAACTTACAGAACAAATGACTATATGTTCTTTGCTACAGAACTGAGGATGACTCATAATGACCCTCAGATTGAACCCTGTCCTATCTTGTGCCATTCTCACCATCTCTAACAAACTCTAGTTCACTGCTGCAGTCATCTGTGTCAATTCATCTCCTTGTCAGTCTTATTCTCCTTGGCTGACCCTCCACCTTTCCAAGCATGGTAACTTTCTCCAAGGAACAGCTCCTCCTATCAACATGTCCAAAGGACATGAGATGAAAGCTTGCTACCCTTTTCTCTAAGGAGCACTCTGGCTGCACTTTTCCTAAGACATATCTGTTCTTTTGGTAGTCCATGGGATATTCAGTACTTTTCTCCAATATCAGAACTCAATGGCCTCAATTCTTCTCTAATTCTTACTTACTGCCCAGCTCTCAGATGAATAGCAGGTGGTTGGAAAGATCACAGGCTAAATTACTCAAGTTAGTCATTCTTTAGGATTTTATTAAAGCTATAGACCTCCTAATTGCCTTCTGACTGCTATTACCAAGGGTGCTGATTATGGATCCAAGTCAAGATGATATTGTTGACAATTTCAAAATTTTCTCCATCTATTATGATGAAACCTACTGGTCCAGTGGTTTTCATGATGCTGAGATGTAATCCATATTGAAGGCTGTGGTCTTGATCTTCTACATCAAGTGCCTCAAGTCCTTGTTTTCAGCCAGCATGGCTGTATCATCTGTGCAATGCAGGTTATTTAGTCTTTCTTAGTCTAATCCTGATGCCCCAGTCTAGATAAAGTCCAGCTTCCAGAATGATTTGTTCAGTATACAGGCTGAACAAGGTTTGGAGACAAGATACAGCCCCGATGCACACTTTGATTTTAAATCATCTGTCTGATGATATCAGTGTTCCCTTGCTGTTAAGACACCAACTTCTTGGTTTAAGTGTAGATTTCATATAATCGGAATTAAGTGTTCTGGGATTCAGAGTTTGCTATGATTCACACAAATGCTTTTACAGTCAATAAAACACAGACATTTTTTTGTCATTTTTAATTTTCAGCCAAGATCCATTTGACATCATCAATGATATTCATAGTGCCACAGCCTCTTCCAAAGCCACCTTGAACTTATGGCAGCTCTCTGCCAATGTACAGTTCTAGGTGTTTTTGGATGATCTTTAATTTTTTGAAGAAAATTTGCTTGTAGTCACAGAGACACAAATATTGTATTGTTACCACTGTTGTAGAATGGGACTGACATCAAGGTTGTGGTAAGACTGAGAAAAACTGAATAAATTATGTATACTGCATTGAAACAGATGAGGGAGAGAACAGTTTAAAAGCGATAGATGATAGGGTATTATGGCCATCACAGGAGTCCAGAATTAAGGTTGCATAGTGTACTCGGAGGGGAGCTGTAGTGGCCGAGTGGCAAGAAGCTGCACTGCAATCCCAAAGGTACGGGGTTCAAATCCACCAGATGTTCTACTGGAAAAGGAGGGACAATCTCCTATACCAGTCAGATCTGATTTGGCGGTATAAGCACACAAAGATTCTCACACTGGACCAACTGGTAGCATCAGGATGGATGGCAAAGAGATTGAGACTGTTCACAGCTTCAGTTTGCTCGGCCCCACAGTCAACACTCTCGGCACCAGCAGCCAGAAAATCAAAAAACGTATTGTGATGGGAAAGTCTGCTATTACGGACCTCTCTAAAGTACTCAAGAGCAACGGTGTCTCTTAGGAGACTAAGGTGTGCCTGATACAGGCCATGGTTTTTGCAATCACTTGTTATGCATCAGAGAGTTGGACATTGACTAGGGAGGATAGAAGGAGAATTGACGCCTTTGAGCTGTGGTGCTGGAGAAGAGTATTGAATGTACCATGGACTGCCAGGAAAACAAACAGATTCATTCTAGAGAGGGTTAAACCAGGCTACTCCTTGGAGGCAAGGATTTTGGGGCTTCGCCTGACATACTTTGGACATGCTGCAAGGAGACAGGTCTTTGGAGAGGGACATCATGTTGGGTAGAGTAGAGGGACAGCACAGGAGGGGAAGACCCTCTATGAGGTGGATTGATTCAGTGACTGGGGTAATCGGGATGGGTGTGTGAGAGGCAGTGAGATTGGCACAGGATAGAGCAGGGTTTAGGGCTGTTGTACATAGGATCGCTGAGTCGCGAACAACTCGACGGCACATCATAACAACAACAACAGTGTACTGGGGCGGCGGTGGTGTGGGGGTGACTGTATACCAATGAAGGAATTTTTCTTTTACTTTTCAGAGAGGAGAAAACTGGGGGGTGGGCAGGGAGAAAAATGCAACAATGAATGGAAATCCAAAATCTCTGTAAATGTTCACTGTTGTTGTTATGTGCCGTCAAGTCGCTTGCGACTCATAGCGACCCTATGTACAACAGCCCTAAATTCTGCTCTGTCCTGTGCTAATTGCACTGTCTCTGACACTCCTATTCCGATTATCCCAGTCACTGAATCAATCCACCTCATAGAGGGCCTTCCCCTCCTGCGCCGTCCCTCCACTCTCCCAAGCATGATGTCCTTCTCCAAGGACCGGTCTCTCCTCCCAACATGTCCAAAGTATGTTAGACGGAGCCTCAGAATCCTTGCCTCCAAGGAACCACCTGGTTTAACCCTTTCAAGGATGAATCTGTTTGTTTTCCTAGCAGTCCATGGTATTCTCAATACTCTTCTCCAGCACCACAGCTCAAAGGCATCAATTCTTCTATCCTCCGTGGTCATTGTCCAACTCTCTGATGCATAACAAGTGATTGCGAAGACCATGGCCTGTATCAGATGCACCTTAGTCTCCAGAGAGACACCATTGGTCTTGTACTTTGGAGAGGTCCCTAACAGCAGACTTTCCCATGGCAATACGCCTTTTAATTTCCTGGCTACTGGTGCCAAGAGTGTTGACTGTGGAGCCAAGCAAACTAAAGCTGTGTACAATCTCAATCTCTTCACCATCTATCCTGATGCTGCCAATTGGTCCAGGGGTGAGAATCTGTCTTCTTGACACTGAGCCTCAATCCGTATTGGAGGCTGAAATGTTCATTAAAACTAATAAAAATTTGCTTGTAGGTGAAATCAGTGATTTTTTTAAAAAAGGGTTTTTAACATGTTGCCACACTTAAATTGATGACTGTGCTTAGAAACACATTTTTTTGGTATTGAATAATTAACAAATAAATGCATTAGTACACTTCATATGAATGATGTTATTTGCAGCAACATGTTGAGATTTTAATGAAAGTTTATAGAGAATTTGAATTTCTATTCATTCATTCATTGTACATTTTATTCCTGCTCACCCCCCAAAATTAGTAATATTTTTCAATTATCACATTTTATTAGATCACTTTTCTCGGGAAATAGGACAAATATGGATCTCTTCTACTCACCTGGCCAGGTAGCTGTCTTCCAAATTTCCTTGCATAGACTGGTGAGCATATACAGGGCTGCATCTGTTACATTAAAACATGTCAAGTGGTTATCCTGTTGATTCCTGGGCCTTATTTTTTGCCAGTGCCTTCAGGGCAGCTTGAATCTCTTCCTCCATCACCATTGGTTCTTGATCATATGCTCCTAATGGCAATCTATCAGTGGCCAGTTCTTTTTGGTACAGTGATTGTGTTTTCCTCCTCTGTTTTGAGGTCTGTAAAAGACATGGTGTCTCAAAACCACTCAGCTATCACTGTAGACAACATATAACAAACGAGTCCCAATAAAACCTTATATATTCAACAAAAGCTGAAAAAGGAGAGGCTAATTTGTTCAAAAGGTAAATTCAGGAAATAAAGTGTTCAGCCCACACTATTTATGTACTCTCATTAAAAATGGCCAGTGCAACGAATGTGTCTGATCACCTGAGAGATGACATTCACAAGTAAAAAAAGCTTTTCTTACAGAAGTATTCATGACTTTTTATAAAGTCCTCATAAAGAATCATCCTTTGTTGAAGGACTTTTAGTTCTACTTTTAAGTCAGTCTTATTCCCTTTTACTCACTGGTCTCCAGGTTCCCCCCCACATAAGCAGTTCCTTCTTGTAGAATGTTCTCTCAATATTACTCATATTCCCATCTGACCTTTCACATCTAGTCATATTTCCTTCTAGCCCAACACCTAGATGACTGATCTATTTATTGACTTATTCTCTGATGCTTCCTACTAGAATTTAAGCAATCTATTGATGAACATATTCACACCCTATCCCTATTGTCAGTGTGGTATCCATTCTCCATACCTATTTAATCTGTTTGTTGAGCAAATTATTCGAGAAACTGGACTCTTCTACAAAGAATGTGGCATTAGGATTGGAGGAAAGCTCATCAATAACCATTGGTATATAGATGATGGCTCTGAAATTCAGGTGGGATAGACTCTAAGTCATATTTTGGTTGCCGTGGATTTGGTTTAATTTTCCTCAACTTCAGCTTGAACTTGCATATGAGTAGTTGGTGGTCTGTTCCACTATCAGCTCATGGCCTAATTTTCACAGCTGATATTGAGCTTCTCCAGCGGTTCTTTCCACAGATGTAACCGATCTGATTCCTATGTATACCATCAAGTGAAATCCATGTATATAACCTGCGTTTGTCTCTTTAAAAACTTATTTACTATGTATAAGTCATTGACTGTGCAAAAATCAATCATTCTCTCTCCAGCTCCATTTGTCACCGAGTCCATGTTTTCCAACTACTGAATCTTCTTCTCTGTTTCCAACTTTTGCATTCCAGTCACCCATTATTATCAATGCATCTTGATTGCATATTCGATCGATCTCTGATTGAAAAAGTTGATAAAAATCTTCTATATCCTTTTCCTTGGCTCTGGTTGTTGGTGCATATATCTGAATGATAGTGGTATTCACTGGACTTCTTTGTATGCGTATAAGTATTATCCTGTCACTCACAATATTGTACTTCAAGATGGATCCAGCAATGACTTTTTTAACCATGAAAGCAACTCCGTTTTTTCTCACCTTTTCATCTCTAGAGTAATATATCATATGGTCATCTGACTCAAAATGCCCCATGCCAGTCCATCTCATCTCGCCAATGCTTAGTATGTCAATATTTATGCGTTCCATTTCTTCCTTAACAACATCTAATTTTCCTACATTCATGGTTCTCACATTCCATGTCTCAATCACTAGTGTCTGCTTACAAATGCTCCTCTTCCTTTGTATTTCCATACTTGAAAGCTCAACTTCAGTTGCCCTTTCTGTTATCTACATGCATTCTGTTGTACATAGGGTTTTCAGAGGCCTCACCAAAGTACTGAAGAGCAATGGTGTCTCTCTGGAGACTAAGGTGCGTCTGATACAGGCCATGGTCTTTGCAATCACTTGTCATGCATCAGACAGTTGGACAATGACCAAGGAGGATAGAAGGAGAATTGATGCCTTTGAGCTGTGGTGGTGAAGAGTATTGAGAGTACCATGGACTGCTAGGAAAACAGATTCATCCTTGAAAGGGTTAAACCAGGTGGCTCCTTGGAGGCAAGGATTCTGAGGCTCTGTCTAACATATTTTGGACACGTTGTAAGGAGAGACCGGTCCTTGGAGAAGGACATCATGCTTGGAAGTTGGAGGGACAGCGCAGGAGGGGAAGGCCCTCTATGAGGTGGATTGATTCAGCGACTGGGATAATCAGGATGTGACTGTCAGAGACAGTGTGACTGGCACAGGACAGAGCAGAGTTTAGGGCTGTTGTACATAGGGTCACTATGAGTCGCAAGTGACTCGAGGGCACATAACAACAACAACAACATATAGATGATAAAACTTTGCTTGCTTAAAAGTAAGGAGGACTTGTACTTGCTGTGGAAAACACTTCAGCCTTCAGTATGGATTGCATCTCAATGTCAAAAAACCAAAATTCCTCACTACTCCATCATGGAAGGAGAAAGGATTGATACTGTCAAAGATGTCATCTTACTTGGACACACAATCAATGTGCTTGGTACTAGTGATCAGGAGACAAACTGCACTGAGAAAGCTGATCGTCAGAAAGTTCTCTAAACTACTGAGGAGTAATGATGTTAGTTTGAGGACTAAGGTGCACCTGATTCACGCTATGATCTTTTAAGACACCTGTTATGCATCTGAGAGCTGGATAATGTATAAGGATGACAGAAGAATTGATGCCTTTGAACTGTGGTACTGGAAGAGTAGTGAGTATCCCATGGACTGCCAAAACAACAAACTGCTATGTCTTGGAAATGGTGCAGCCAGAGTGCTCTTTGGAGGCAAAGATGATAAAGCTTCATCTCACATACGTTGAGCATGTTGCTAGGAAAGGTTATTCCTTGGGAGAGGAACATCATGTTTAGAAAGTTGGAGGGAGAGTGAAAGATAGGAAGACCCTAAACCAAATGTCTGACAGAGGATAGGACAGGGTTTAGATCTGCTATTTACAGGCTGCTATGAGCTGTACTCAATGGCAGCTAACAACCACAACATCCCTATCTCCCAACATCTAACATCATATTGTGCTCCTGAGGAGTAACCAACCACAGGCTAAATGAACAGGGATTTGAATACCCACCAAGTTTTCTTCCTTGGAATGACCACTTCATCAATACCTTAAAGTTAAAAAAAAAAAAAAGAAACAAAGTGACTCAAAGTGTCCTGATACTCTTATAACAAAGAAATACAATTTGTTATTTCTTTTTAAAAAAATTTTTTTTGTGTGTGTGCCATCAAATCAGATCCAACTGGCACAGGGGGAGATTGCCCCTCCTTCTCCAGCAGAGCATCTGGTGGATTAAAACCAAATGCCTTCAGGATTGCAGCGCAGCTTCTTGCCACTAGACCACCAGAGCTCCCTACAATTTATTATTTCTTAAAAAGGAATAATTACAGCAAGTTTTTACATACTTGTTACATCATCTCCTTCAACTTTTGAGAGGGATGCACTTCCCGAATATAACCTGCAAAAATCAAAAGGAGAAAGATAATACACATTAAAATAGTTATAAGAGCATGTCCATCTCTGCGAATCTTGATCCAAAGTTTCAATACAGTGGACGGAAACGATGGAATAATTTATGGGTTTGCAGAACATTCTCTACTGGAGACACTGCAGAGTGATCAACACTCACAAGCTATTTGTTTCTTACAACAGTAGGACACAGATCACTGTTGACTGGTGGAGGACAGCTCAGTGAAAGCAGCTGTGGTTGGGCAAAGAAATGGACAGAAAAATGCCAACACTAGGCACTAATTCCCCAGAACAGGAGGACCTGAAAAATGAGGGAGGACTACAGCCGAACAGTAACAGAAGCTATTCCTATGTATAACATTTTCTTCTTTGAGAGAGCAAAGGGGTGATGTTTACATATATAAAATAACTAAATTGATATAGCTCCTAGGATTATATGTGGAGCAGCTCACAAGGACTATACCATCAGCCACTCTGCAGGAAAAAGATGAAGTAGTTTGCTTTTCCAAAGACAGCCGCAGGAGGACCACTAAGAAATAATAATCACCAGAAGTCGGGGGTATTTTTCTGGACCAGGGCCCAGCATGATGAAACTTCTTGATATTGGAGGTCAGAACACATACATACCTCCTGAGAACTCCAGGCCCAGGGTTCTGAAAGAAACAGGGGCTTTCTGCCACAACCGAGAGAGAGAGGGGCTTTCCTTAGAGTTCGCATCCTGAACTTGGACTCCTACACTCCTAACCTATGGACTTATGAAGAATATGGCTCCAGCATCAGCAGAGGAAACTCATCAACAACCTGAATTATGCAGATACAACTCTGGTTGCTGAAACTTGAAGCACTTAGTGAAGACCAAAGCCTTCAATATGGATTTCATCTCGAAAGAAAGAACACAAAACACAAACCCACATCAAAATCACTACCACTGGAGTCCTCAACAAGTAAATTAGATTTGGATTCATAAGCAACTCCCATGATAACAGTCAGGAAACCAAAACAAGTGTTGCATTGGGAAAATCTATTGTGAAAATCCTCTTTATAGACATCACTTTAAAGACTAAGGTTCAATTGTTCTAAGCCATGGCTATTTTCAATTGCCTCCTACGCATCTGAAAGCTGGACCATGAATAAGGAAGACCAAAGCCTTTGAATTGTAGTATTGGTAAAGAGTACTGAATACCCCACGGATTGCCAAAACAATAAGCACATTTGTCTGGGAAGAAGCATAGCCAGGGTGATTTAGACGCAAAAATGGTGAAACTGTCTTAAATATACTGGGCAAGTCATCAGGAGAGGCCAGTCAATGGAAAAGGATTTCCCACTGGAAAGGTGGAAGGTCAGTGAAAACAGGAAAACCTTTAAAATACACAGTGAGAGAATACAACAATGAATGAGCTTAAGCATAGTGAAATGAGGATGGTACAGGATTAAACAATGTTTCCTATCTGCTGTAGGTAAAGTTGTTGTCAGCTGACATTTACATATCATTAAATTACTAAAAACAAAAAAAGGCCTCTGTTAACTCTGAATTCTATACCCCAAAAGAAGATAAAATACTTTACTTCCACAAAGAAAAACTGCAGTACAAAAAAAAAGTTATTCTTGACACCTCAAAGCCAGAAATGTTCACACTGTACATAAAAAAATATACAACTGTAAGTTAAAAGAAAATGAATATAGCTATTTTATTACATGCCATATAAAACTCAGTAACATGGAACTATACAAGATATAAAAAGGGACATTACATAATTATAAAAATAAAAGATCAACTTACCAAGAAGATAAAACATTCCTAAGTATTAAAGGATAGTATGTAAATACATGTACAGTCATGGAACATTTATGTATAGGATCAAATTAGTAATTCTAGTAAGAACTATACACACAAGCACACAATGAAATTCTAAATAAATATGTGATGAACGAGGTGAAATAGGTCAAACAACAGTATCACAAAAAATACTAAAGACAAAACAACTACGAGATATCATCTCCAACCCAGTAAGAATAGCAAAATTTAGCAGAACAGTAAACATCAAATGCTGGCAAGGTCGCAGAGAAACTGGAACCCTTATTTACTGTTGGTGGGAGTTTAAAGTGGTGCAACCACTATGGAAGGCTGTGTGGCGCTTTCTCAGTAAGTTGCAAATAGAAATACCGCTTGACTCAGCAATTCCACTACTGCAAATTTACACTAAAGAATCCTTAACGGCCACTGAAGCAGATATTTGCACACTCATGTATACTGCAGCTTTGTTTGCAATAGCAAAGAGCTGGAAAAAACCCTAGTGCCCATCAACAAACGAATGAATAGATAAGCTCTGGTATACTTACACAGTAGAATACTATGTTGCACTGAAAAACAAGGAACTCATGAAATATTATACAAAATGGGTGACTCTGGAGGACATTATGCTGATTGAAATATCTGAGTCACAAAAGGACAAATATTGCATAGGGCCACTGTTGTACAACGGGACTGACACCAGGGTTGGGGTAGACTGTGAAAGATGTGAGGAATGACGTATACTGCATTGAAACAGATGAGGGAGAGAACTGTTTAAAAAGAATATATGATCGGGTATTCTTGTCATTACAGAAGTCCAGAATGAAGGCTGCACAGTGGCGTGGACTTGGGGGGAGGGACTGCGTAACAATAAGAGTTTTTCTTTTACTTTTCAAGGAGAAGAGTGAATTGGGGGGAGGGGTGGACAGGGAGAAAAGGGCAACAATGAATGAATGGAAACCCTGAACCTATTAAAGAATAAAAAGCCTTAAACATACAATTATTATGCAGCAAAACCCAATATTCTTAAAATCTCAATTTTCTGTGATTTGGTGAATAATTGCTGAAAATTCAAGAGAACTATTAACAGATTTAAAAAAAAATCAAGAAGCTTGAATGAAGGGAAAAAACCCTCAACCAAAAATATTTTAAAAAACCACAAAGAAAAACACCTATACAAAGAAGGGGCATTTTTTTTTTTTAAAAAAAACAACAACAAAGATGAAGGACTTTAAAAAAGTCCCAAACAGAAAACCAAGCTAAACCGTTGCTATACACACTCGACTGATAGTTAGCTTTAGAATAGCTTCAGAGGATGGAATCTTTACTGAAGCACAACATATTCTATGGAGTGGCTAGGTTTATTTGAACGAATGACCTTTTGGTTAATAATCAAGTAATGATAAAAAATTCAGAACTAGAACCACAAATGTATAGGCACTGATTTTTAAAACAAAGTGCTTAATAATACAACAGATAAAAAAGGGGGACTTTTTGTTCTTCTCAAAGTAATATAATAATCTTTGGACTGGTTACCAAGTACTTTGTTGTCAAAACGGACTTAGCTGACTCTCCAAGAGGTTTTCAGAAGCTGTAAATCACAAGCGAAGTGAGTACCCATCCTTCGGCCTCCGAACAGCTAGCGGATTTGAACCACGTGTCTTTGGGTGGGTAGCACAGTTTAACAAAATTGTGATTTTTACCAAAGTTTACAGAAATGTTGGATTTTCATTGATTGTTGCCCATTTTCCTTCCTACTACCAGTTCCCTTTTAAAAAACATTTATGCGTTGTTGCATGGCAGCACAATTTCTTTACCCCTGGGCCACGTATGGACAATTAACAAAACATCTAGAGCCTCGGAACTGAATGGAGTTGTGACTCAGAAATGACTATGGCCATGGGATTTATAACTAATATAAATTGTAACTAATACAATGGCTCAGAAGTAGTAGAATTCTGTTGACATAAGCCTTTGCAAGTTGCGCTGTTTGCCCAAGGAGGGCGGTCTCTGATGGTTCGAAACCACCAGCCTCAAACACTCGCTGGAACGAGTCAATGAGCAGTGAGCTTGAGGGTTTTTATTTACGTGGAAAAAGACTCTCCATAAAATGGAACGGCATAGTGACTGCAACCACGGATTTAAACATAGCTGAGAATGGTGCAGATCGGGTAAGGTTCCTTATTCCATTTGTGTGACACAGGATCGCTGTGCGTTGAAGTAGACCTGAAAACATCTAACAGAATGCAAGCGCCACAAAAGCAGGCCACGTTTTTTTGCTAGGAATCCTAACTCTAGAGTACCTGAATAGCCAAAATCTTTCTAATAATTCTATTTCAAGGACATGGGCTCTGCAGCACGCGCGGGACAACAACGCACATGCGCATTTCACCACATCGCAGCAATTGCCAAGATACTCAAGAAAAAATGAAGATAGAACTAATTTGAACCTCGGGGATTTTTCGTGGGCTGCTTAGGTTTCTCTTACCTCCAACTAATGGCCCGTCCACTAAGACTTGCGCCCGATCCGGTCAGCAGGAAAGGTCTGTAATAGCCACACCACAGCCTACACGCCGCGAACGGAGCCATCACACCCCCTCCTCGCGGAGAATTCTGGGAAGTTACGTTCTCGTCACTAAAACAGCCGGAAGAGGAGTGACTGAGACGAAACCAAATGAAAGGTAACACAAAATGGGTGGTGAGAGGTTTACCACTTAAAACACTTTATTATACAATATAGAAGCTCAAAACTCTTCACTTATCATGTAGAAAATTTCCATGTTGGTTCTTTTACTGTTTTATATATCTTTACGAGTTTTAAAAAAATGTTGTTATTCTGCTCTTTCCCCATTTGAAAAATGGACTCGCCCACGTGAATCACATTCCAGCTAGCGTTTCTCTCGCGCTAGTTCAGTTCCCATCACATGGTTGTGCTGGCGGCTGAGTCTGAAGTTTACTGGTGGTGATTTGGAACATCTCTCCGGGTATCGAGACTCCTAGCTGACAGGGATGATGCTGGACCCCAAGAGCATGCCCTGGCGGCGGCTTCAGGGCATTTCCTTCGGGATGTATTCGGCCGACGAACTCAAGTAAGGAGTTGGTGGAAAAGTGGGCACGGTTTGTCGCTTGATGTCGGTGCTTAAACTACTGTTCCTAGAAACTCTTGCGCCGGTGTGTCCTCTGAGAGCATGGCGGTCTGGCCTGTGGCCTGATGGAATCTGTAGTTCTAGCCGGCGTGCTTTGCCTGGGCGCAGATTGGGCGAGGAAAAGCGGTCACGGCAGCGAAGGGGGTGACTCTAGCTTCTGTACTGCAGCATTGCCATTTGTCCCGACTCTCGCGGCTGTAGGGCTACACTGATGTCTTTTTGTGTGACTAACATGTTGCCTCTGAACACTTTACCACTCTGTGATTACCCTTAAAGACCCTGAGTTCTTCGTTACTGAATGCAGGCCACTTTTTTTTTTTTAACCTTATAAAGAATATTTTCTTTCTCCTCCTTGGAACGTCAGGAATGTGACATTTATGCAACTAAGTGCTTACTTAGCTCTCCACATGTGTGCCGTCGTCGTCCCCATCAAAGACAACCTTTTTAAAAAAAGTGTATTTTTATTTTATGTTAGTTTGCTTACAAAGTTCGTATATGTGTTATGTTTCACACTATTCTTCATTCACACTGGGTTTCATAAAATCATTCTCATGTTTTATAAAATTTATCAGCATTAGACTACGCCCATGCCCATCATTACTCTGTCCTTTCAGGTCCCTGCGGGATCTTTCCTATTTCCTTTACACCCTCTCTCCACCACCAGATTGTGAACACTGATTTTGCCCCTACCCATTCTCACCTCTCTGTGTCCACCCCTTATCCCCCAGCTATTCCACTACTAAGAATATACCCTAAGGAAATTAGAACTGAGTCACTAACAGATTTTTACACAAGTGCTCATAGTGGCATTATTCACCATTGCGAGAACATGGGAACAGCCCAAGTGCCAAACCATAACTATGGATTGAGAAATTGAGGTACATTCACATAATGGAATACTATGCAGCACTCAGGGGCAACAGTTTTAAAAAATACTACATAACTTGGGAGAGACTAGAGAGCGTTATACTGAGTGAGAAGAGGTCGCGTGGTACTAGGGATATTATAGCTAATGTTAGATGGATCTTGGCAGAAAGCAGAGAATACCAGAAGAATGTCTATCTGTGCTTCATTGACTATGCAAAGGCTTTTGACTGTGTGGTTCACAACAAGCTATGGCTGACTCTGAGAAGAATGGGTATCCCAGAACATTTAATTGTGCTAATGCGAAACCTATACTTGAACCAAGAGACAGTCGTCAAAACAGAGCAGGGAGACACTGGATGGTTCAAAATCAAGAAAGGGGTCCGTCAGGGATGTATTTTGTCTCAAGATTGGTGGAAGATCTATCAACAGTCTGCGTTATGCAGATGACACAACCCTGCTTGCTGAAACTGAGGAGGACCTGAAGCGCTTGCTGCAGAAGGTCAAGGACTGCAGTCTTCAATATGGATTGAAGCTCAATATTAAGAAGACAAAGATTCTTACCACTGGGCCAATTGGCAGCATCAGTATGGATGGTGAAGAGATTGAGATACAGTTTTAGTTTGCTAGGTTCTATAGTCAACATTCTTAGTAACAGCGGGCAGGAAATCAGGAGACAAATTGCATTGGGAAAGTCAGCTGTGAGGAACCTCTCAAGGGTACTGAAGAGCTACGACGTCAGACTGGAGACTAAGGTGCACCTGATCCATGCTATAGTCTTTGCAATTATGTGCTGTGCATCAGAGAGTTGGACAGTTAATAGGGATGATAGAAAGAGAATTGATGCCTTTGAGCTGTGGTGCTGGAGAAGAGTGTTGAATAAATATACCATGAACTGCTAAGAGAGCAAACAGGTTTGTCCTGGAGAGGGTGAAGCCAGAATGCTTCTTGGAGTCAAGGATTCTGAAGCTTCTTTTGACCTACTTTGGACATGTTGCAAGGAGGGACTGGTCCTTGGAGAGGGACATCATTTTGGGAGAGTGGAGGGATGGCACAGGAGAGGAAGACCCTCTATGAGATGGATCGATTCTGTGAGTGGAGTGGTGGGAATGAGTGTGTTTGAGACGGCAAGGTTGGCACAGGATAGAACGGCATTTAGGGTTCTTGTACATAGGGTCGCTATGAGTCGCAAGCGACTCGATGGCACATAGCAACAACAAGAAGGACAAATCCTGCGTAAGACCATTATTATAAAAATACAAGGATACACGTTAGTCTTTATTTGATCATGGGTACCATTTGATTGTCTTCACCACACTCTCTTATTGACACTTCTACCTGTAGTACCATATTGTCCTCAGGTTCATCTCCTTTTATGAAAATAAACCCCTGAAAGTGTATCTTTTACTTTATTTACGCAATGAAATAGTTACATTCTATCTGTTTTATAAACATTTTGTTACTGTCATTCATTTGGCAGAATATATGTTGAAAATGTGTGTGTGTCTATATATATATGTATATATATGTATATGTATATGTATATATATAGACACACACACACACACACGTATGTTGGGCACACTATTATGCTGAGGTGAAGTGTTCAAGATAGATGCAGATTCTGCCCTGTGGAGCTGTGTTTGAGGAAACAGGTAGTAAAGAAAGGCTTTACTCCATTTTGTATGAAAAAAAAAAAAAAGGAACTTTCAGAGAAGCTACTAAACTTAATTTTCCTTGACCTTTTTTTCTCCCTTTTTTAATCTCTTTAGGAAATTAAGTGTAAAGTCCATTACAAACCCTCGGTACTTGGACAGCTTGGGGAACCCGTCGGTGAATGGCCTGTACGATTTAGCTTTGGGCCCTGCAGACTCCAAGGAAGTGTGTTCCACCTGTGTTCAAGATTTCAACAATTGCTCCGGTCACCTGGGCCACATAGAGCTCCCACTTATGGTGTATAACCCTCTCCTTTTTGATGTACGTCCTGGCTTGGTTGAGTATATGGTATAAGGGTGCTCACAGGATTTGTGAGTTCCACTTATCTTCCCACAAGAGATGTTTACCAGGGCTAATCTCCAGACCTCAGGTCCATAAAGAGTTGTGTTCCTTACCAAAAGACCACACCGCTCCATTTCAGTTCAAATCTACCAGCAGGTCCAAGGGAGGATCTCTTCCTGTGTCACTTAACAGCCTTGGAAATGTAATGGAAGAAAGGCTGTGGAAATGTAATTTGAGTTGGTTCCAGATTATGCCACTGGAGATGGGCCCAGTGGAGTGAATTTTTGGTTGTGTGGTTCTAGATACATGAATGAAAATGTTCAGATTCTCCTGTATCTTTTATTCCCAGAATTTTGATCCCTTCACAGATCTAGGCAGTGATACCCTGGCAATAGAGAGACCTTTGGTGTTTTCTGGGTCAGCTTTCGAGTCTTCCAGACTTTTACTTGGAGAAGGGAAAGCAACAGAAGACTAGACAGATAAGAACTGGTTTACTGTGAATGTAACTGATAGTTACATGTGAATGTAACTGATAGTAAAAGCTGTCAATTAACAGCTTTTGCCATTAATTAGCCATCAGGATTTTTAACGTTATAAGGATGCCATTGTCTGTCATCTCTTGTTTGCTCTTTATATTAAAAAAAAATTTAATGAAGCACTCTGATGAAGTGGGTACCTCATTTGACTTATACACTGAAATAATTTTACTCGATTAAAGATGGATTTTAATGAATTAAAATGAAATTAAAAGAGAAAATAGAGGGGAATATTTTCTTAATGCTTGGAACCTGGAAGGCTTTTTTGAACATGGAGACAGAAGTGTGAAATTGAGAACAAGCAGTATAATGCTAAGATCATGTAAAAAGTATAAGTACATTTGAAATCACCCTGACTTACATGATTCTCTCTAATAATCCTATTTCAACAGAAACTCTACCTGCTGCTCCGAGGCTGCTGTTTAAACTGTCACATGCTGACTTGTCCCCGGGCTGTGATCCACCTTTTGGTCTGCCAGCTTAAGGTTCTAGAAGTTGGGGCCCTGCACGCAGTCTATGAACTTGAACACATTCTCAGCAGGGTAAGTGGAGAGTGGCAGTTACAGAGAGCAGACTGGTAGTGTGCGAGACATATTTCTATGTTATTTGTAAGAATTGCTATCCTCATTGACATTAGAATTTGGAGCTTTATATCTTATGCCAGGTTGTGGTGTTAGCCTAAAAGTTGGCTTTTTTAGCCATTATAGTTAGCCTCTTCTGGTCTTTACCTACCTTAACACATGGTCTTGCAAATCATCAACAGTTGTGGGACTTGGATAAGAGAAAGAGTGCTTCCCACACCAGGAAGCAGGACTTGAGGTGAGCAATGCTTGTGGTGGCAAAACTTGAGGGAGACTAGAACGAGACCTGTGTGATGGTGGTGAAGAGACTGGCAAGGTTTGACATGAAGCTGCTTAGATTTATTTTGGCCACAGTTAAAGATTTTTTGCTGTTCTTACCAGATGTTTGAAGGAGAAGCTGACTTATAACTGCTCAGAGACGAACCTTGCTGTTTGATTTGGATTTGACTGGTGAACTGAAACCAGAGCTTGGACTAATTGAGGAATTGTGCGTTGGAACTTGGGCTAAACCCTAGACTTGCATCTTTGCCTCTCCCACTCTCTAACTTACTTCCCTAAGTAAACCACATTGTTGGTGCCATAATTGTGAGTCTGTGAGTCAGCAAGAAATAAATGCACCTCTTGCTGCTGGAAGTGCTCCACAGGCACCATTGAGCTGGTCTGTGGGCTCTTTATCTGTTTTCTGCTCTGGGGTGGTAAAGGGCTGTCTTATTCTCATTCCCTCTGGCCCTTTCAGAACGACATTCATGGTCCTGTATCCCTACATCTCTTGAACTTTTTTTTAATCTGTCTTGTTGTGTGCCATTGAGTTGGGACTGACCCCTAGCTTACCCTCCCAGTGGGTTTTTTCAGGGGCAGTTAATCACACGGGAGGAGATTGTCCATTCTTCTCCTGCTAATCTGCCTTATATGATAGTAATTCTTTTCAAGACCCAGTGTCAGTTGTAAGACATCTCATGCTCTGGATTTTTCTGAGTATTTTTGTGTCTGTGTTCATTAGGGATGTTGTTATGTAATAGCTCTGAACCCTGCTCTATCCCGAGCCAGTCTCACTGCCTCCAGCACACCTACCCCCATTACCCTAGTTACTATATCAATCTATCTCCTCCAGGGTCTTCCTTTCCTGCGCTGACCCTCTACCTTTCCAAGCATGATGTCCTTCTCTAAGAACTGGTTCCTCTTGGCAGTATGCCCAAAGTATGTGAGACAGAGCTTCAAAATCCTTACCTGCAAGGCACAGCTTGGTTTCACCCTCTCTAGTACAGACCTGTTCTCTTCGTATTCCTTGGTACGCTCCATACTTTTCTCCACCACAACTCAAATATCTTGATTCTTCTATCATCCTTGTCATTGTCTAGCTCTCTGAGCATAGCATGTAATTACAAAGACCATAGCTTGGGTCAGGCATACCTTAGTCTCTGACATTGTTGTCCTTCAGCATTCTGAAGAGGTCCATGACAGCAGATTTTCCCAATGCAATTAGTCTTTTGATTTCCTGACTGCTGGTACCAGGAGTGTTGATTGTGGAGCCAAGCAAGCTGATATTGTTAACAATATCAATCTCTTTTCCAATTATTTTGATTCTGCCAATTGGCCCAGTGGTGAAAATCTTTGTTTTCTTGATATTGAGCTTCAGTCCGTATTGAAGTCCATATTTGCAGTCCTTGACCTTATGCAGCAAACACTTCAGGTCCTCTTCAGTTTTGACAAGCAAGGTTGTGTCATCCGCATAACACTGGTTATTGGTGAGTCTTCCTCCAGTTCTGATGGCACCTTCTTCATAAAGTCCAGCCTCTTGAATGATCTGTTCTGCATATTGATTGAAAAGGTACAGAGATAGGACGCATTCTTGATACATAACCGGAATTCCTGATTTTGAACCAGGCCATATTTCTTTGCTTTGTTTTGACAACTGCCTGGTTGAAGCACAGGTTTTATGTGAAAACTATTTTGGGATTGTTGTTGGTAGCCTTTGAGTCGAGCATGACTCATGGTGACCCTATGAACAAAAAGCCCCTCTACAACTATTGACATTTTTCAAAGTTCATAGTTTCTGGAGGCATGTTATTTAGGAAGTGGATGCCATGATAGAGGTCTATAATTTTCTCTTTTAGGGTTATCTTTGCCTGACTTCAGTATCAGGGTAATGCTTCATAGAATGAGTTTGGGACCATTCCATCTGGATGCTGAAGTAGTTGGAGTTATATTAGGGGAAGATCTTCTCAAATATTTGGTAGAACTCACCAGTGAAGTCTTCTTGGCTAGGACTTTTTTTGGTTGAGAATGTTTTTATGGTCTGTTAAATTTCTTTTGTGATAGATCTGTTCAGATTTTCTGTCTCATCTTTTAGGTAGTTGGTCAGATTATAAAAAAATTTGTCCATTTCCTGTAGGTTTTCAAATTCATTGTAGTTCACTTATTCACAATTCAAACTTAATTACTATTGAGTTGGAACTAACCGGGAGCTGATCCCAGCTGTACCTTGCATGGGAGGAGACTACCTGTCTTTCTCCTACAGAGCAACTGGAGGTTGCAAACCACAGCACAACATTTGGGTTTGAGGCAAAACTCTTTACAGACTGTTCCACCAGAGCTCCCTATAATTCTTCATAGTATTCTGTTCTGGTTGTTGTTATTGTTGTTGTATGCCATTGAGTCTCTTGAAATTCATAGTGACCCTATGTACAATAGCCCTAAACCTTGCTCTATCCTTAGTTCTTTTAGTTGGAGATATGCTGAATGAGGTATTGTTTGTTTTGGTGTTTTTTTTCACCAATTCTAGCTCTTTCCACATTCTGTTACAATATAATGCTTTGTCTTCTCGAGCTGGGCTTTGAAATCATCTATTCATCTCTTTTACGTTGGCATCTTTTCCCTTTATTTTGACTTCTTTATGCTCTGGTGCAATTTTCAGTCTCTTCTGATACCCATCTTGGTCTTTTCTTTCTCTCCTGTCTTTGTAATGACCTTCAGCTTTTTTGGTAAATGTTATCTTTCATGTAATCCTGCAACTCAACTGCTCTTTGATCATTAGTGTTCAATGCCTCAAACCTATTCTTGAGATGATTTTTAAATTCAGTTGGGAGAGATTCAGGTCATATTTTGGTTCTTGTGGATTTGTTTTCATTTTCTTCAGCTTATGTTGGAACCTGTACATGAGCAATTAATGATCAGTACATGGCCTTGATTTGACTGCTGGTATTGAGCTGCTCCAACGATTTATTCTGCAGATGTAGTGTGTGTGATTTATGTGTAGTCTTAATCAGGTGAAGTCCATCTGTAGAGTCACTATTTTTTTTAAAAAAGATATTTAGAATGAGTACATAACTGATTGTACAGTATTCCATCATTCAGTCTCCAGCCTCATATTTGTTCCCAAGTTCATAAATTACACTTACTGGTCTATCTTAATTTGTTTCCAGCTTTTGCATTCCAGTCACTACTTATTAATGCAACTTGATTATGTGATAGGTCAGTTCAGACTGTCAGTTTCAGAGAGTTGGTAAAATCCTTATCTTTGGCTTTGGTTTTTGGTGCATATATTTGAATAATAATGATATTAAGGGTCTTTTTGTATTTGTATGGATAACATCGTATCAGAGCATTGTATTTCAGTATAGATCTTGAAATGGTCTTTTTGACTTTGAATCCAACACATTGTTTCCTGAATTTTTCATTCTTAGCATATTAGATCATATGATTGTCTGATTCAGAGTGATCAATTTCAGGCCATCTCAGCTCACTAATTCCTATAATATTGATATTTATGCATTCCATTTAATTTTTTACATTGTTTTCCTAGTTTCATACTTTGCACATTCTGTGTTCCAGTTGTTAATGCAAGTTTTTAAGTCTTTCTTCTCATTTTTGTATGACTTCCAGTCTGGACTCTATCCTGCATTTTACAATTTTTTTTTAAAAATAATGCTGTTGCTTGTCTTGTAGACACAGCTGCCCTAAGATTTTTTGAAACACAACTAAGAGTTTAAAAACTCAGCTGCCTTCTTACCTTCACATTGGCTTCTCCTGCCCCAGAGAGGCTGACCTCAGTGGTGCAGCCATCAGATATCTTTACGATACTATATATTTTTTTCTTCTTTGCTTTCTAGTTTCTGGAAGAAAACCCTGATCCTTCTGCCTTTGAAATCCAGGAAGAGCTAAAAGAATACACAACCAAAATTGTGCAGAATAACCTCCTGGATGCCCAGGGAGCACAGGTGAGTGGTCCCTGTCTCTCTTTTCCCATCATGCTCTGTACTCAGCACAGCCGTGTTCAGTCTCGGTGTGCTGTCAACTGTGCGTGCTGTTGACTTCCCAAGGAGACCTGAACTTGAATTCTAGCTCTGCCACTTAGTTGATTGGCAACTTGACAAGTTACACAGCCTTCTCTGAGTAGCCCCTGTTTTCTCATCTTGATTTCTGCCTGTAGGGCTAATGAGAGCCCGAGGAGAGCTGGGGGTTAGGCCTGGCATCTGGCTTCTGGCCTGCAGTCTCTCACTGTGAGCATGATATTTTTGTTCCTCTTTAAGACTTAGCTAACTCTCTTGGTACACTCCTTTTCCCGAAGCAAATGCCTGTCAATTTGCTTGATGAGTGAGTGAAGTAGACTGTTGGCTTGCTGTCATTGTTGGCTGCCATTGAGCAGTCTCCTGACTTGGTGCCTGGCCAGGTAGGACTGATCTATGGGATTATGGCAGTACTGTAAGCTTTATGGACGCAGCGTTCCGTGTCTTTCCTCAGAGTTGCGAGGTGGATGATTCAAACCATCATCACCACTGATCGTAAACCACTTAGGATACCCACACACCTCCTAAACCTGAGGTTGATCTTGAGGGTGCTTGGCCAGGTCTCATAGAAGAGGTTCTGGTTTAGTTGGTCTGGAATAGATATAAGCTGACAGCACCCAGCAGCAGGAGCTCAAGTCCAGGATACTGAAGCCGTCAGGTGACTTTTCTTTGCAGCTGGATATAGACTTACACATGTGGCTCGCTTGGTGTTGTCAGCTGCCCATCCTCTGAACCCTCAGTGGGCCAGCCCTCCACCTTCACGTGGAGACATTTATGTCAAATGAAAGTAACGTGCATATTTGGAGTGCTTCGTGGAGTCCAGACACTGTGTTGTTGCCTGTCTTTTTACCTCACTGAAAACTGTAAGATGTGATTATTGTTCTCATGTTACTTGTGAGAAACTTGAGGCCTGGGGAGCTAGCGGAACAGGGCCATGTCGGGGTTCTGTGGAACCTTTGTCTAAGAGGTGAATCTCAGAGTCAGTACGTGCTGGATTCGCTTCCAGGTGGCACTCCCTGATTCCCTGACTTCCCTGACAGGTCAAGCATGTCTGTGAGAGCAGGAGCAGACTTATTGCCGACTTTTGGAAGACACACATGAGTGCTAAGCGGTGTCCCCATTGCAAGTAAGTGCTGGACCTCTCCCTCCGCCCAGGTGGGAAGGCTGTGGCCAGGGTCACCCCCAGCTGTTGGCTTGGGCTTTTGTTTTGTTTTGTTTTCTCTCCTCACTCACTCAATCCTGTGCTTGTGTGCAGGACTGGGCGGTCAGTTGTGCGGAAGGAGCACAACAGCAAACTGACCATCACGTATCCAGCCATGGTACACAGGAAGAACGGGCAGGAGGACACGGGGAGCCTGGGTAAGCTGGCCAGGCGAGGCGGGGGCTCCCCGGCCACTGACTGTGGCCCAGACCTTCAGAGTACTGATCCCCTTTACCTCACGTCTCTCAGCTTTGCAGCCTGTTACCTCATGGTGCTGTGGGGCTGAGGGGCAGCCTGTGTGTGCCTGCAGGCTTCCCCCAGTGTGTTAAGGAAGGTGCCTCTTTCTTCATGTGGACGTTTCTCTGAAAGATTTTTTAAAAAGCAGCTGACATTTATATGGCAAATATTAATAAGCTTTTTTTTAATAAAGCAAATGTGACTTTCTTTTTGAATGAAATGTAGGTGACTTTTAAAGAAAAAGAGTAAGTGTTCAGAGAGCCCTGGAACCTGCAGGCCTCTCTGCCCCGAGGAAATTTGTCAAAGCTGACTTAATACTGCCACTTTTGCAGTTGTGTGTGTGGTTGAAGTCTTTTTAAAATTCTTCTTAATTTGAAGTGAAGAGTGTTGGATAAGCTGAGCTTCGTGAAGAAGATCTGAGACCAGTGCTCGCTCTGCAGTCACGGGCTCTGTGAGTGCGAAGGGGTGATTTTCGTTTTACAGTCAGTGCGCTAAGACAGCAGGATGGCAGCCCGTGGTCCACCCTGGTTCTGCTCCTGATTCTGCGTGGTATAGATGAGGTCACCTCTCTGCACCCCGACTTCCAGTTCTGTAGAGTAGAAATAACAGAATGTCTTTTTCAAAGTTGGAGGAAATTTACAAGTATAAAAGCTGACAGTACACTGTTACCAAATTTTATTTTAGAGCTTGGGATGTAGATGTAGATTCTAAGTTAGTTGGTGGGCAGGTAAGTTCTTTCCTGACAGATGAATGTGTCGTTTACGTTCAAGGCTCTGGGAAAGTCTCTTGATGTTAGATGGATCTTAGCTGAAAGCAGAGAATACCAGAAGAATATCTATCTGTGTTTCATTGATTATGCAAAGGCATTTGACTGTGTGGATCATAACAAACTGTGGCTGACTCTGAGAAGAATGGGAATCCCAGAACATTTAATCGTGCTAATGCGAAACCTATACTTGGACCAAGAGGCAGTCGTCAGAACAGAGCAGGGAAACACTACATGGTTCAAAACTGGGAAGGGTGTACGCCAGGGATGTGTCCTGTCTCCATACCTTTTCAATCTGTATGCAGAGCAGATTATCCGAGAGGCTGGGCTCTATGAGGAAAAGCGTGGTGTTAGGATTGGTGGAAGATCTATCAACAGTCTGTGTTAGGCAGATGACACAACTTTGCTCGCTGAAACTGAGGAAGACCTCATGCACTTACTGCAGAAGGTCAAGGACTGCAGCCTTCAATATGGACTGAGGCTCAATGTCAAGAAGACAAAAATTCACACCACCGGACCAGTCGGTAGCATCAGGATGGATGGCGAAGAGATTGAGATTGTTCACAGCTTCAGTTTGCTCGGCTCCACGTCAACACTCTTGGCACCAGTAGCCAGGAAATCAAAAAACGTATTGTGATGGGAAAGTCTGCTGTTAGGGACCTCTCTAAAGTACTCAAGAGCAATGGTGTCTCTCTGGAGACTAAGGTCCGCCTGATATAGGCCATGGTTTTTGCAATCACTTGTTATGCATCAGAGAGTTGGACATTGACTAGGGAGGATAGAAGGAGAATTGACGCCTTTGAGCTGTGGTGCTGGAGAAGAGTATTGAATGTACCATGGACTGCCAAGAAAACAAACAGATTCATCGTAGAGAGGGTTAAACCAGGCTGCTCCTTGGAGGCAAGGATTCTGGGGCTTCGCCTGACATACTTTGGACATGTTGTAAGGAGAGACAGGTCTTTAGAGAGGGACAGCGCAGGAGGGGAAGACCCTCTATGAGGTGGATTGATTCAGTGACTGGGGTAATCGGGATGGGTGTGTCAGAGGCAGTGAGATTGGCACAGGATAGAGCACGGTTTAGGGCTGTTGTACATAGGGTTGTTAAGAGTTGCAAACGACTCGACAGCACATAACAACAACAACAATTAATATGTGCCTTTGAGTCAGTACCATCTCATAATGGAGCCCTCAGCTGATGGATTTGAACAACCTGCCTTTGAGTTGGCAGCATAATTCCTTACTCACTAAGCATCCATAGCTCCACTACTAAGGTTTTAATCTCTGGAATTGTTTAAACACCTACAGTATAGCGTAACATCATTAATGCCTTAATTGTCTATTACTGGAGAGTAGGTTACGTGGGACCTCTGGTGGTGCAGGCAGGCAGTATGCTGCTGGTCAGCCCATGAAGGGTGCTGCCTGGGAGGTTAGCAACATGTGTCCACACACCCGGCGTGGCTGGGGAGACCAGCCTCACAGTCTACTTCCCAGAAATCAACCATGAGAGCTTTGTGGAGCTCAGTTCTACTTAGACACACCTGGAGTCTCTGTAAATTGGGGTTCACCTCAGTGGCAGTGAACACTGATGCCTTTATTTGACTAATTGTTAAATAAATTTTGGTCCTTGGTGGCCTAGTGGCAAGAAGGTGCACTGCAATCCTGAAGGCACGTGGTTCAAGTCCACCAGCTGCTCTGTGGGAGAAAGATGGACAGTTTCCTCCCATGTAGTTAACTGCCTCTGAAAACTGGCTGGAGGGTCAGCTATGGGTTGATTCTGACTTTATGGTACACAGCAACAACAATAGTTAGCTAGGGAACTCTGTTGACCAAATGGTTGAGTTGCACAGCCAACCCAAAAGCACATGGTTTGAATCTGCCAGCTGTTCTATGGGAGGAAGATGGGCCATCGCCTCTCCTCTGATTTTACTGCTTCTCACTGGAGGGTCAGCTATGAGTCGGTTCTGACTTGATGGTACATCACAGTTGTGTGGTTAGCTAAGTTATAGATGCCTCTAAGAAAGAACTTGTGATATAATCTTTTAAAAGTTAATTTAGGCGAGTTCTGGTGGCCTAGTGGCAAGAAGCTGCCTTGCAATTCCAGAGGTGTGCAGTTCAAATCCATCAGATGCTCTGCTGGAGAAGGGGGACAATCTCTTCCTGTACTGTCAGATCCAATTTGACAGTACACACACATAAATAATAGTAAAATAATTTAATTATAAAAACCTTAAAAAAATGAATTTAAAAATAGAAGGTGAATTCAAGCTTTAAAAGAGGAAAGAAAAATGTATGGGTTTTAGTAAGAATGGCCTTAAAATACTCGAGCTAATGAACATTTATCTAGGGAGCTCTGTTGGCATAATTTGTAGAAAGTTTTACTCCTGACCTAAAGACAGCACCTCTCCAACAGTTCAAACACACACCAGAGACTCCTAGGGAGATGGACGGACAGGCTACTAGGAGATGGACTGATGCGCTTCTAGGAGATGCACTGACAGGCTTCTAGGAGACAGACAGGCACCTAGGGAGATGGACAGACAGGCTCCTAGGGAGATGGACGGACAGGCTTCTAGGGAGATGGATGGACCGGCTCCTCTCGTGCCATTTACAGCCTGGAATCCCACTAGAGGGTCAGCTGTGAGTCCCTTCTAACTGAATAACAATGAGAAGATTTATTTAATACCTTTTATGCTAGGAATACATACAAGGTGTAGGTGCTACCCTGATAAGTGTTGTTTAATTTTTGTGAGTATATCTCAAAGAAAGTGGATACTTTTTGACTTGGATTTTTAATCAGCCGAATACGTGGAACTCCACCTCCTGGATGGCAGCCCCAAGTCTGACTTTCTGAATATACCACCAATACGATCTTTTTAAAAGGAAATAGACTATGTGTATGTTTATATGGATAAATGTAAATAATATATTCATTAATTTAGAATTCTGTGTCAACCTTTTGTGCATAATACCATGTGCATAAAGATGCATAATGCCATCTATAAATTTGTAATTTATACAGTTTATAAATTGTAGCCTACCCAGACGTTCGACTGTATGCGTGTGGCTAAATAAACATTCCCTCTACTGACTATTATTTACTGACTATGGAATTGTTAATAATGTTGGTGAAGCAAAAGCTGCGTAGTAATGTGTGGACATGGTCACAAGGTGACACCAAATGTGGGACAAAGTAGCGATCAGACTTTGTCCATGCTTAACGATGAGAAGTAATGTAAAATGTACTTTTCTATCAAAGGACTGGAAAAGAATATATAAAAATGGTAGTAGGTTAGTGTGGTGGTGTTTGTTGTTGTGTACCAGTGAGTCAGAATTTACCTCTAGCTCACCATCCAGTGGGTTTTCAAAGGCTATAAATCACCTGAGGAAACTGCTCATCTTTCTCCAGCAAAGCAGTTGGTGGATTCAAACTACATGCCTATGGGTTGACAGCACGGTTACTTACCACTAGGCCAGAGTTCCCTGTTAATGTGGCGGGAGATGATTTTAGTCTTTGACTCACCTTTTTAGATCTTGCACAGTAGCTGTAATACTTTGTGTCCAAAATTATATTTGGGGGGAGACCCAGAGTTGGGGACACTCTGTCCTTGGTGTTGATTTCTTTGGTCAGATTGAGGTCTTGGCAGGGTGGGGAGAAGGAGGGTGCCTTTCACTGAATGTGTTGTGCTTTGGTTCCTTCAGGGATCGAGGATGCACAGCTGGGAAAACGAGGGTACCTGACCCCCAACAGTGCCCGAGAACACCTTGCTGCACTGTGGAAGAATGAAGGTGCTGTACTGATCTGAGAAGTAGTCTGTCTTCTCCTGGCTTTGGCTTCCTGCACTCATTTACCCTCCTTGTACTTTTTATTCTCTTTAAGCTGTGCTTGGCAGTCTCCCCAGAAATCAGTCTGTTGTCCTGTTCTTGCCTGATGGCCTAGTGGTAAGGAGATGCACTGCCAATCCTGAAAGCACGTGGTTCGAATCTACCAGCTGCTCCACAGGAGAAAGATGAGCACTCTCCTTCCTATGCCATTAACTGCCTCTGAAAACCTGCTGGAGGATCAGCTGTGGGTTGGTTCTGACTTGATGGTACTTAGTGACAACAGACTTTGGAACAATCACTGTTAGTCCTTAGCTGAAACTCACTGTCGTTGAGTCAGGAGTGACTCCTAGTTGACCTTCTGTTGGGTTTTCAAAGAATAACAGGAGAGAAAGGCCCATCTTTCTTTTGTGGAGCTGCTGGTGCATTCAAACAGAGAGGCAGGACCAGCAGTGTACCTCCCTGTGGGCGAGGCCACCAGGGCTGCCATTAATCCCTGTGGTGCCCGTTTTTATCTTTTTACCTACCACGTACATATTTTTTTTTTTTTTAATAAAGCGAAGTGTGGTCTTATTCTCTACTCCCCTGCTTTGTAGAAATTCCACTCTGCTATTTTAGGGATCATCCTTTCATGCCCTTGTTTATTGATATATGCCTTCTTCTTGGTTTCTTTCTTTTGAACACAGGATTCTTCCTGAATTACCTCTTTATGGGATTGAAAAATGTTGGCATGGACACCAAGTTTAATCCCAGTATGTTCTTCCTAGAATTCTTGGTGGTGCCGCCCTCAAGGTAATGAATGCCCTTTAATGAACTTGTTTCACTTGAGAAAGCTTGACCAAGTTCTGAGTAATGACCTGTGGAGGGGAGCGGCGGGTTACCGGCACTGGGAAGCACTCCTGGGTGCTGCATTCTCTCCTGGGTCTCAGGATGTCCAGCTCCCATGTGACCTAAGTCTGAGAGGAATGTTAACTGTGTTTCGAGCGTTAGGAGTGTGAGTTGCTTGCTGCAGTGATGGTGGGAGGATGAAGACCATGACCTTCCCTCCCATTCAGTGGTCACTAACCTCATGTGTTTGCCTGCAGGTATCGCCCTGTCAATCGCCTGGGAGACCAGATGTTTACCAATGGCCAGACCGTGAACTTGCAGGCGGTCATGAAGGATGTGGTTCTGATCCGGAAGCTGCTGGCATTGATGGCCCAGGAGCAGACCCTGCCATGTGAGGTGACGGCTCCTCTTGCAGACGAGGTGAGCACTGTGTTGGAGCTGGTGGCATGTGCACTTGCCCATTTAGTTCTGACTTGGTGTGGTGTGTAGAACACTGTGTGTGCTGGGTGATGCTGTTGGGTTGTTCTGTGTAGCGGGCAGCACCTCTTGCAGGTGAGGTAAGGGCCGTCTTAGAGCTGATGGCACGTGCACATGTCCATTTAGTTCTGACTTGGTGTGGTGTGATATGATGTATAGAATACTGTGTGTACTGGCTGGTGCTGTGGGGGTGTTCTGCACAGCGGGCAGCACCTCTCGCAGGTGAGGTAAGGGCCGTCTTGGTGGCATGTGCACTCATCTATTTAGAACACTGTGTGTGCTGGCTGGTACTGTCAAGGGTGTTCTCTGCAGTGGGCAGCACCCTTAATGTGAACTGTGCATCTGGGGGCCCCTGCACCAGAGACCAGAGTTTGCTTCTCAACCAGGGTGCCTCAGGGGCAGTCTCCGTGCTTCGGGTGTTGTCACTGCTCACCTGCCAGTGCCTGTGATGCTGAGTAGGTTTCTTTAGCTCCTACATTAAGACAGACTAGGAGGACAGGCCTGCCAATCTGCATCCCTTAATTAGCCCATGAAAACCCTAATCACAGTGGTGTGATTGCATGGGTGTGGATTTTCCAGGTGTCTGGGCCCAGTACTGGCACCTACCTAGTTGGTATTTTAGGGGAGAGTGGGAGTAAAGTGTAAAAAGACTGAGGTCAGCCCCACAGTCTGGGTGACCTTCACTGAATAATTTCTGGGCTAGTCTGTGTGGTTTGTGTTGTTAACAGATATTTCTGGGTCCTACCCTCACAGGAGCATTGGCAGCTCTTTAAGGAACAGCCCAACTCTACCTCAGACAGCAGGGGTGTGATCTGGCATTGGAGCATGGATGGCAATGCTGTGGAGTGGAGAGTTCTCACAGTGGGAATGTCCCCTTGGGCCTCAGCTGTCTCCATTACAGAAATGGAACTGTATTCCATCTCCCATCCAGCAGGCATGTCCTGTGCCCAGAGGCTGCTGGGGGCCACACTTGGCCCACAGTGGATGTAGAGGCCTCAGAACGTGTGCTGAGATTACTGAAATCTGGAATGCTGTCTGGATGCAGATAGAAAGGCCTACAGGGCTGCTGTGAATCCTTGTTTCCTTGGCGGGAGCTGTTTGGGTTTTGGGCCATTGTGCTCGTGGTGCAGAATGTCTGCTGTGTGTAGGGTTGCCGTGAGGTCGACTCTGACAGCAGCAGCAGCAGCATTGGGCAGACCGCTTGCTGGGCCTTTCTCTGCCCAACCGTGTGGGCAGTTCCTGTGAACCAGGCTTACGAGCAGCAGCTGAGCTCAGCATCCAGTACTGAGCATTTTATTTTGGTATCCTTTGAAAATAGAGCAACCCTTCACCCAAAAAAGGAAAAAGCGCACACATTCTCTGCAGAAGCAACATCATTGTGATTCCCAAGTTCTTCCTGTTGAAGTCAGCACCGCCTTTCTCTCTGATAGGACTCTAGGGCATATATGCTCTTCACTGTCTCTTCCTTTGCCTCTCACCTTTCATTCCCATGGCAGCCCTCTGAGCCTCAGGACCTGGAGTGAGCCCCGAGGTGTTTTGGGCACTGGGTACACGGAGAAGCCAGAGAGCTGAGTTCCCACAGTGGACCCGTTCCCTGAGCCAGGTGACACAAGGAGCAGTGGCTGAGTAGGATGTTTCCCTGGCTGTATAGCAAATTCAGACTCATTGCTGTGGAATCAGTACCAACTCCATAGCTCATCCTACAGCAGCTTCTCAGAGGCTGTAAATCACACAAGAGGAGATAGCCCAGCCTGGCGTGGAGTGGCTGGTGGACTCATTAGCTTTTGGGCTGGCAGCACAACTCCTTACCCACTAGGCGTCAAGGATGCTGCCATCTCTCTGTGAGGCTCCTTCAGCAGAGGAGGGAGGGTCACCCAAGGAAATAACTCATTTGTGTGATGAAAGAAGACCTGTTTCTCAGGGTTAGAGACCCCTATTTCTCAGTACATCCTCACTCAGGACTCTTGTGGCATTCTCATTTAGTGGCTCTGCCACCTCACCTGATCCCCACCCAACACAATGTCCTTTCTCATCTGACCCATGCGGAGGACAGGACCCGCTGCCTCCCGTGTCCTCCTTGAGGGCCTGTGGTCAGTAAGTGGAGCTGTAAGGCAGCACAGGACTGGTTCTGGCTCCTGGACAGGAAGGGGAGGCAGGTCCTCCCCCTACAGGAACACAGTGAAGGACTAGCTAAATACTCCAGGGAGTCTTGAGGACCAGCTTGTAGCCTGGTTGAGCCCATTTAGGGACCTTAATTATGATATACACTATCATGTCAGATGGTTTTCCTTTCAGGAAATTATTCCACCTGCATTTTTATCAGTATCTTGGGTCAAGTTTTTGTAAAACTATAAATAAAGCTGAAATTTCTCCTGAGACTGGATTATCTGGGAGGATAACAAAGCTTTAGAACAGAACTGCTTGGTATAAACAGGATTTCCGGGGCTGCCTTAAGTATTAGGCACTTACAGCAGCTGCTTTAGGAGAGAACCTGCTTATAAATGGAATTTTTGAGTTCACTTTATCTCCAGGAAGGGACAGGCTGGAGAACATCTAGTGAGGGTTGAGAGTTTGTTGATGTTTAATTACATGATTATTTTATTATCACTTTGTCAAAGGTAGACTCCAGCCAGAATTAATTTCTTATGTGAGAAAGAAAATCAAATCCACATGCTTTCTCTGGTGATTTTCCCATCCTGTCCGTGTTCTGTGTCTCATCTTGGCAGGAAAAAGACTCCTCCACTGTTGTGGACCGCTCCTTTTTAAGCACTCTCCCAGGCCAGTCCCTCACAGACAAACTCTACAACATTTGGATCCGCCTTCAGAGCCACGTCAACATTGTCTTCGATAGCGAGATGGACAAGTTAATGATGGAAAAGTACCCTGGCATCAGGCAGGTGAGCATTGAGGCAACATCTAGGTCCAAGCTCAAGGAGTGGAAATAGAGAATGATGTGTGTAGTAGAACCCCCTCCCCCCTTTTAAAAATACTTAATATAGCTTCTCCTTCTTCCCCCCAATACAGATCCTAGAGAAGAAGGAGGGTCTATTCCGGAAACACATGATGGGCAAGCGAGTGGACTATGCGGCCCGCTCCGTCATCTGCCCAGACATGTACATCAACACCAACGAGATTGGCGTGCCCATGGTGTGTGAGGGCTGGGGTGGGAAATGTGGGGCAGGTGGTGGTGGCCGGAGGTGATGGTCCCTGCCTGTCACGGATGAGCCCTGTGGAGGGCACAGTGCACCTTGCCAGGCTATGCCCTATCAGGCCACTTCTACTACATCTCAGAGCATGGGAGAGCTGAACAAAGGGCATCCCTGGTCTCTGCCTGTGGATCGTCCTCTGCTCCTTGGCATTGTCTTTAAGCCGTAATAGTCCAGGTGACTACATAACAGGAGAAGAAACCAGAAAGGGGGATTTTGGCCTGCATGCCTTTTGACATCAGGAATGTGGTCCTGGGTGCCAGAGAGAGGAAGGGCCCGCTGCTCTCCAGCAAACCCAGTGGAGGGGAGTGCACGTGTCCCTCACTGCCCCTCTCTGGGGTGGACAGCTGGTCCATCGCTTGTTGGTGCTTCCTCAGCATCCACCTTCTTTTCTCCCCTCCAAGGGAAGCAGTGGGTGCTTGTTCATCTTGCACTCCCTGGGTAACTGGTTCACCCCGTCCGCTTATTGGTGCTTGTTGGGCAGCTGCCTCCTTTCACACTCTCCACCAGTTCAATTTGTGGAGCTCATCAGAGCAGCCCTCTATCTGTATCCTCCTTAATGGGCTTTGAGGTCAGTGATGTGCAGATGGTTTAATTCCCTCTGTGGAGTGCCTCCTTCCTTGGGGAAGTGTTATAATGAGCACAACTCAGCTGTTCTGGAACTGTTCGGCTGCCACCCGTGTGCATGCTGCCTATCTCCTGGGCGTGCTGCTTGGCCTTCTGGGCAAAGTTGGAGTGTACCTGGGGGACTGCTGTCTCCAGGAACCTTGAGATCGTTCTGGCCTAAAGTGAGGCCATGGGACAGCATGACTGTTGAGTCTGAGCCATTCCTCTCCAAAGCCCTGGAAAGAGAGCTTGTTTAGCACCGTCTCCGGACACAAGACTCTTGGCTTGTCAATCTGAACTCATTAATAATAGCTTGTCTTCTGGAAAGGACTGGAGTTACACTCAGCCCACTTCCTACCTGCCGAAGATCTCAACCATGGTTGATTTGGAAGAGATGGTAGTGGTTTGGGGCGGGGGGTGATGGGACTTATCTCTCCTGGAAAAAGCCTTCTAGAGGGGCCTTGAGGCCATGCAGTTCCTCAGCTCACCTAGGCTCTGCTCCGCCAAGTCTGAGTACAGAGCAGAGGAAACCACCTCTTGGTCCCTGTGAGTGTGCTCTTCCCGTATAACCTTGTTATAGCTGTTAAAATGGCTCGGGTAGAGGTGGAGGATAAGCTAGAGGTCAGCAGTGAACCCAAGAGACCAGTGACACTCCTGGTGCTCATGTTCCAGCAGGACCAATTACACATGCAACACAGATTGTCCGATGGTGGTAAAATACTCAGCAGGAAGTAGAGCAGGTGCTGGATGGACGGGGAGCCCCACTCCCTGGCCCTTAGGCCGTTGTGTCACTAATCCAAAGGCTAAGCTGCTCTGAGGGTTCAAAGCCATATTTCTCTTCAGGAGGAATATGGGCAGTCTCTTCTTGTATGATTAACAGCCTTTGGAAACTCGCTGGAAGGACAGCTTTGAGTGGGTTCTAGCCTGCCAGCGTTGAATTGGGTTGAATTGAAGGGGTGGAGAGCCCAGGGGTTGCCAGGAGAGACTTGTCCTAAAATGTCATCTGAGCAGAGACCAGGCAGAGTTCTGTATGGTTCTGCAGAGTTGGCTGTGCACTTGGGACTACCGAGGGCTGCATATTAGCATTACATCAATCAGGGCTCGTTTAACCAGAGAGCTCTGTTCTGCTGTTGAAGTACCCTCATTTTCTCACATATCGAGAGAGCAAATTGGTTTTGTCTTAAGTGCCACTTTAAGTGTGGTGTTTGTCGGAACTGTTGAGTTAGGATACCTGACACCATGTCTGGGCTCTGAGAAAGGGCTGGTGTCGACAGTGATGTCTGCTGGGGTGTGGGGTCGGCTGGGGGTGGTCCAGTGCAAAAAGCCCTGCTGTTTTTCTCTCAAGGACGGATGAAAAATAATTATGTTTTTATAATGGACTTAAAAATCTAATGTGAAACTTGTAACACTGAAGTGATCCTCCTCAGACTAACTGCCAGGGCAGGGAGTGTGTCTGGGGAAAACTGAGGACCACGTTGGTTCCTGAGCAGCTTGTGAGGAAGTCACCTGCCTGCTGGGACACACTTGGGGTCTGCACACCCTGAATTTTGACAGCCTTGCCTTGTTTCTAGGTGTTTGCCACAAAACTTACCTACCCTCAGCTAGTCACCCCTTGGAATGTCCAGGAGCTGAGACAGGCCGTCATCAATGGCCCCAATGTGCACCCGGGAGCCTCCATGGTCATCAATGAGGATGGTAGTCGCACTGCCCTCAGTACCACCGACATCACCCAGCGAGAAGCGGTAGCCAAACAGCTCCTCACTCCAGCCACAGGGACACTGAAGCCTCAAGGGACAAAAACTGTGAGTAGGGGGCAACTGGTTGGGCTCAGGAGGCTCCTTGCTGGGTTCTGTGGTGCTTTCCTTCTCTCCCAGCTGTAGCCTGAGCTCCAGCATTGGAGAGAGACCATAAGAGGGCTTTGTTTCGCTAGTCCACACAGCCCCATGCTGGACATGGGGTCTCAGCGGATGCCCTTGGGAAGCTCACCTGTGCTTCTGAGGAGTCCTGGAGGCTTAGTGCCTGAGTATTGGACTGCTTACCGAAAGGTCCACAGTTAATTTCTATCTGTAGTTCTGTGAGAGGGAGACAGGCAATCCCTCCTATATAGATTTACCACTTCAGAAACCTCGTGGAGGGTTCCTAGAAATAGATAGACTTGACGGCAGTTGACCATCTGTGGTCCTACACCAGGGAGACGTGCTGTTTTTATATAGCTGCTGAGAGCTGGCACCTCAGGCTGTGGTCAGCTGCAGCTGTGGAGCTGGTGACAAGAGCAGACTTCCCCTCCCCTGCCTGGGAGCTCAGAGAATGTGTTTGATCAAGCCCTCCAGGGGGTAGTGTGCAAAGAGTTTTGAGACGACCTGCTCTAAAGGAGGTGTGTACTGTGTCACATAGAACCACGAACACAGGCTTCACACTGTGCTCCAGGCCCAGGAGTTGTTTTTCTGTGTGAGTAATTCTGGGGCTTTCTCTTGGCCCAGCCAGGAAGAAGCCTATGATTGATAGCAGTTTGGGTGGGTGAGGGAGCCCACCCAGGCCTCAGTGCTCCTGTTTGGGTTGCCCACTGGCCCTGTGTTCTCCCTGCCGTGGACCATGTCACAGGTTTGTGACATGGGCCCCTCCAGGGTTTTGAGCCTGAGCCGCAGGTCTGAGCAGTTCTGCCCAGGAAGCTGAGGAAGTCAGACCTTGAAGGTCACCTTCAGCTGTGTGCTGTACAGAACCAGCGCCTGGGCAGATGCTCAGCGACCTCTGAGGTCTTCTCCCTGGGACAGGATCTAGGGGTGGGGAAGGGGAGACAGGGCTTCCCTGGGGAGCCAAAGCTCTACCTCTGTGCTTGGGGCTGCAGGCTGCCTGTCCACTGCTCGGGTTACAGCTGCGTGACAGTGTGATAGATGTGACAGCATAGATGTACTGTGGTCCCTACTTCTTTAGCTGAACAGGACTGGGAAGGGATTGGGGGCTTCCTCTCGTCTGTTTCTAGTCAGCTTTCTGATGCATCTTCATAAATGGGCAGCCCACCAACATGCTAGCCTTGGAGTACTTCATACTTTCCCAGCCTGTTACCTGCTGGAATTGAAAGGGGTTCATGGTTGGAGGGTATCGCCAAGTCTCCACACTTTGTCTAGACTGCTGCGGGAGGACCTTTCAGTAACGGAGGTGGTACTTACCTTCACACATTTGTTCTTAAAAAGATGCTGTTGCTTATGTTCATTCTTTAGGCATCCCAGTAGTCATTACAGTGGAGCATCAGATAATAAGCCTTAGGCCAGAGTTAGCTTGTGACAGGTCATCTGTCAGAGGGGCAAGGTTGAAGCCAGCAGTGTGTGAACAGTGGTTTATGTGAGAGCAACATGAGTTAAGGTTTTTATTCTCTTTACTTTTTTAGTGCTTTCTTTCCCCTCTCCCAAGAATGTCACCCTGTCCATCATTGCCGTTGATTATGACTTGTGATGGCCATCTGCCCGATTTTCAAGGCTGTGAATTGACAGGGAGATGGCCTGGCTTTCTCAGAGCCTTTTGGCCAGCCTAGCACACCACAGCTGCCTCCTCTAGAGCTCTGTTGCTTGTGTAGCTTCATTTAAACATTTGGACAATACTTTATAAAACTAATGTGTGTTATTAGATAGATAGAACATAGAGGAGACCCCCTGGACTTCCTCATCTGCCCAGGGCATTGTCCCAGGTGCTGCTTTGTGTTTTTAAAAATCCTTATTCTGCCAGTCTCCATGGGATCTAGATTTATTATTTTATTATTCTTTTTTTTTTTTATCTGTGTACCATCAAATCGGATCTGACTGGTACAGGAGGAAATTGTCCCACCTTTTTCAGCAGAGCATCTGGTGGATTTGAACTGTGCACCTCTGGGATTGCAGTGCAGCTTCTTGCCACTAGGTCACCAGAGCTCGCCTTATTTTATTATTCTATTAATTCAATTCTATTCTAAATTATACTATATTATATTGTATTGTATTATATTAATCATTGTATATATTGTGTATTATAATTACAGATACTATATAAAAAGGAACAAACAGATATGTTTTGGAAAAGGTGTAGCCAGAGGGCGCCTTAGAGGCAAAGATGGCAAAACTTGTCTTCATACTTTGGTCAAGTAGCTAGCTAGGCAAAGCTTGGAGAGGGACAGCATGCTTGGAAGGATGGAGGGTCAGCGAAGGAGAGGAAGACCTCAGTGAGATGAATTAACACAGTGACTTTAGCAGTGGGCTCGAATGTATCAGAGATGATGATGGTACAGGATAGGTCAGAGTTGTATTCAACTCAAAGGCACCTAACAACAACAGTTGTTGTTGTGTACCATTGAGTTGGAACCGACCCATAGCTGACCCTCCAGTGGGTTTTCAGAAACAGTAAATCACACAGGAGGAGATTATCCGTTCTTCTGTGGAACAGCTGGTAGATTCTAAGCTTGTGCCTTTGAGATTGCAGCGCAGTTTCTTACCATTCAGCTACCAGAGCCAATGGTACCAACAACAACAATAGTGTATGTTATTTTACCAGGAAATCGTTATTGCCATCACTTTTGGGCTTAAAAAGATTTAGCTCGATCTCTTTCCTTTTTTTTTTTTTTTTTTTTGATACTTTGTGGAGCAATAGAGTAGTATCACTTTCTTCAGTCATGTCCTCCCTTTGGGCTGGCTGGTGACTTCCCATTTTTGCCTCTGTAAACACACACACGAGCATATCTGTACATGTACTCCTGCACTGATGTTCTTTTCCTTCTGAAAAACTAAGGATGTGCATTCTGAATGTTTCAGTAATTATTTTTAGATTGTTTTGCCAGAGGACTGGCAATTTACTCTTCTTACTAATTTTCTAAGTACAGTAAAGTATTTCGGAGACCATTAAACTGGGCATCAGGAAGCCTATGTTCCAGGCCCAGGTCTGCTGTGTGAGTCTGTGCCCATTCTCGCTAAAACCTGGTGTTCAAATTTAGAGTAATGTTCTTGTGTGAGATGCCAGGGTAGGTGGTGAGTTCAAGTGTTGCCAACTTCTTTCACACCCCGGGGTTTGTGGTTTCTTGCAGGTATGTGGTCTTCAAAACAGGTATCCATATCTTCCAGTTAATTTTCTAAGGAGTTCAGTAACCTGGAAAGGCTTTGTGCTTAGAGACAGCTCATCTGCTTCTGGTGTTTAGGAGCCCAGAGCAGAGATGGGGTTGTACAGTACCAGAAAGAGGCGTGTAAGCTCTCAGGTTCAGAGGTCCTTCAGGGTTTGCTGTGGCCTGGACATTTTCCTTTTGTTTAATTGGGTAGAACTGAGGCAGACGGAGGGTGTCCGTGAAGGGCACCATGCTGACACTGACACCAAGCCCAGACTGCTCTCTGCTCTGCGTCCAGGTGTGCCGACACATCAGAAACGGGGACGTCCTCCTACTGAACCGACAGCCAACTCTGCACAGACCCTCCATCCAGGCCCACCGCGCACGGATCCTGCCTGAAGAGAAAGTCTTACGTCTGCACTACGCCAACTGCAAGGCCTACAATGCCGACTTTGATGGAGACGAGATGAATGCCCACTTTCCCCAGGGCGAGCTGGGCCGGGCCGAGGCCTACATCCTGGCTTGCACCGACCAGCAGTACCTGGTCCCCAAGGTAGGTCTCTGCTGAGTCATCCTGCATGTGGCATGAATGTTAGATCTGGTTGCTTGCCACCTTGGGGTCACAAGTGGGGCTGGGACCAGTCCTGGGAATGGGGAGGAGATGGGTCCTGGCTTCTCCTAGGAGGGATTTCAGCCCTGTGGCTACTTGGAAGCAGGTCTTGCTGCCTCATAAGTCAGGGAAAATGATAACAGCCATCCTACAGAGTCGTGGTGAGTGGTGTAAAGGATTTCGTCTTCCACCTGGGGCAGCATGAGAACCCTTTTCCTGTGCTTCTCAGCTGTGTCTCCCTTCCCCTCGTGTCAACTGTGCACCTGAAACTCATAGGCACTTGAAGATGTTGCCAAGTGTGCATATCTGGCTCAAATGGCAATAAGTGAGGGGCTTATTTGTTTGTTTTCCTGGTTAGCCTTGTAAAGTACACTTCCACTTGGTCAGTTTTTATGGTTTTAGTAGTGTTTGTATTCTACTCTTAATTAAAATATGAGGCAAATGGAGCTTTATACGTTTATGCTCCTTGTGAATTAATCGTCCTCCCATTTATTGTATCAATGCTATTGTATCATATTTTCAACAAAGCTTGAGACACAATTTCTTGATTTCTCCTCAGTTAGAACATTCTAGTCCCAGAACACCCTGTTCTCTAAGGATCCTGGCCAAGGATGTTGATTTGTAATGACATTTTGCTGGGATACTGAGCAGAGTAGAATGGCTGGCAATTTTCTGGGTTTTTTCCAGAGATGGTCTTTTTGATCCTAAGCAGGAATTAGGAAATTCAGACATATAAGTATATCTTTAGTAATTGCCTTACTCAGTATTTCAATCCAGAATTGATGGTTACTGCACTGAGAGCATTTTAGCTATTAAAGTAATTTTCTAGTCAGGGAAAAATCTGGATCGAGATAGGAGGAGGCACTTAATAGATCTGTACCTTGTAATTATGTTCTTTAAAGAAGGAAAACTCTCGGCCACCACAGACTCTGGGAAGAGCCAGCTGCGTAATACTGGTTTGGGGTTCCCTCAAGCGAAACAAGACCCTGGCTTTGGAAGCCGAGGTAGAGGATGGTCTTTCAGTTGTCTTGATTACACAGAGCTGTCAACAGGCAGGCTGGAGTGGGGGCCTCTTTCATCTGTGGCACCTTTTCAGCCGATCTGTAGTCCTTATCCTTGGCATTTACACGAAATCCATTGCCACGGTATTTAAACGCTTTGACAAGCATCCTTTTGTTGCCTTTGAGTTGGTGTGTGTGGTTAAATCCTTGGCATTTCTCCACGGCCTCGTTCACAAACTCTGGAAGCATAACCATGATGTTGGCAGGCATTTAACAGATCATCAGATGATGGCAATCTTTAGGTCCAAGACATGAATTTTTCTAAAGTTCCTGTAAACATTGAAAAGTTTACAAAAACTACTTTGTAAAGAAACATCTGTGTACTCAGCTATTTTTACTTTAGTGTGCCTTATGTTGCCATGAACACAGACTCAACAGATAAAGGTTGAAGAGCCCAGGGGTCAGAAAGGCTCTGAACATGCCAGATGAAATGAATGAACCCACCAGTTCTGGACCTTCTGCCCTGCTGCCATATAGTTCCAACTCAGCAGCTCTCCAGGGGGGTGCTAAGCCTGTCAGTCTTAACAGAGGAGACTGCTTGTCATTCATCAGCTGGTAGATTCAAACCATAGACCTTTTCATTAGCACTCAACATGCTACATGCTATCTGGAGCCGCTTGAGACTTTTTATCTAGGCCCTGGTTTTGGCTTCTGGTAAATAGTAATCTTGACTTGAGATCCCAGCGTGAACTATGTGTTGCATTGTGAAGAGAGATGGCCGTGGATATGTGTTCCTTTGGAAGTCCTGTCCATCTAGACCTCTTGGGTTCTAGCATCTTTGTGCTGCCTCATCCAGGTCACAGGTCACCTCTCAGGCCCCAGCTGTTGCTTCTCGTAGGAGCCCTGGGCCTGACAGTTTCTCCACCTGAGCCTTGTAGTCCTGCTCTCTGTTTTCCTTCATGGTGTTGAACATACTTTGCAATGTTGTATTTATCCATACCATGGTTTACTCTCTAGCTATAAAGTCATAAAGGACTCTAGTCATAAAGGACTTTGTCTGCCTGGTCCACTGGAGCCCACTGTCTCGGCATACAGTAGGCGCTCAATAAATATTTGTTGAATGGATGACTGATTTACAGGAGGACTGGGCCAGAAATGTGTGAAAAATACTAAAGCATAAAACCAGAGTATAAAAACAAGAACACAGCTAACATCAACCAGACAGAATTTGTGCATGAATGCCAAAAATATGCTAGTGTAACTAGAACCAGATGGGAGTAAGTAGAGATGGCTTGGAAAAGTGGATGTGTTTGAAGTGGTTTTAATATAGAGAAATAGTGAGGGAATGCCAGCAGGAAAGCTGATCAGGCCTTGGGCATGTGCTTCAGGCACCTCAGGCCAGCACTTATTGAGGGCGTGGGGTCTCCCAGCCCACTAGAACGTTGGACAACCTGTTAGAAGGTAGCTTTCCGAGCAGATGATCGGGGTTAGGGTTGGACTTAAGTTTAATTTTGTTCTTGTATTTGTTTTGGTTTGCAGGATGGACAGCCATTGGCAGGGTTGATCCAAGACCACATGGTCTCAGGGGCAAACATGACCATCCGGGGCTGCTTCTTCACCCGGGAGCAATACATGGAGCTGGTGTACCGAGGCCTCACAGACAAAGTGGGGCGGGTGAAGATCCTGCCCCCTGCCATCCTGAAGCCCTTCCCCCTGTGGACAGGAAAGCAGGTAATGCAAGGGAAACAGCCAGCCTGCAAAAGCTTTCTGAGACATCTCTCATCAAGCGGTAGTCTGACTTTGGACTTGTTCAAACTCCCTGGGTCTGGATGGCTTCAGGGACATGGCCAGTGGAAGCGGGGTGCGTAGCTTCTAGCCTTTGCCTCTCCGTAGACCTGGTGCCGTTATAGTTGTAAGCATGATGGTGGTGGTGGGCAGGAGTCAGGTGGTGGTAGAAATGATGTGTCTTAACAGCGGGCCCCCAGCTGAGAGTTTCAGAGACAGCGTCTTACTGAATCTTCACAGCCAGCCTGCAGTGCAGATAACAATGATTTTCAGTTAGCAGGAGAGAGTACTGAGGTGGAGAGAAGTTAAATTATATACCCCAGGATATAGGAGATGGAGTTGGAATAGAAACCCAGACTTTTCTAAGTCTTAGATTCTTTCTGTCAAAGAAACAAAATGATGGTGTAAGTCTATTAGATGGAATCCATTGAAATGTGTGCTGCTGTTGGCGGATCTTACTTGCAGACTCACTCCCTGGTTGGCTGTGTGCTCCTTGGTCTGTGGTCTTGGTTCTTCATTTATGAAACAAGAGTTCTGGTTCTTTAAGTCTATGGACCTGAGACGTCTCATTTTTCATTGTTAAACCAGCTTTTCCTTCCTGTTGTTTGTTGTTGAGTACCATCGAGTTGGAACCAACCCATAGTTAACCCTCCATTGGGTTTTCAGGGGTAGTTAATCTCATGAGAGGAGATTGCCCATTTTTCTTCCACAGAGCAGTTGGCGGATTCAAACCACGTGCCTTCTTCAGGACTGCAGCACAGATTATTTTTATTATCTTTTTTTCTATATTATTAAGTTCAGATTGGTAAAATTTTATTGCTGTTGTTACTGTGTACCATTAAGTTGGAACTGACTCATAGCTGTGGGTTTTCAGAGGCAGTTAATTGCACAGGTAGATTGCCCATTCTTCTCCTACAGAGCAATTGATAGACTTGAGCTGTGTGCCTTCAGGATTGCAGTGCAGCTTCTTGCCACTAGGCCACCCATTGTTGTTATGTGCCATTGAGTTGCTTGTGACTCATAGTGACCGTATGTACAACAGCCCTATATCCTGCCCTGTCCTGTGCCAGTCTGACATACCTACCCCCTTTACTACAGTCAGTGAGTCATTCCATCTCATTGAGAGTCTTCCTCTCTTGTGCTGTCCCTCCACCCTCCCAAGCATGATGTCCTTTTCCAAGGACTGGTCCCTCCTTACAACCTGCCCAAAGTATGTCAGATGAAGCTTCAGAATCCTTGCCTCCAAGGAGCAACCTGGTTCTTCGTTCTCTTAGATGAACCTGTTTGTTCTCCTAGCAGTCCATGGTTTATTCAGTACTCTTCTCCACCACAGCTCAAAGGCATCAGTTCTTCTTCATTCATCCCTATTCATTGTCCAGCTTTCCAGTGCATAGCAAATAATTGCAAAGACCATGGCCTGAATCAGGCACACCTTAGTCTCCAGACTAACATTGTTGCTCCTCAATACCTTGGAGAGGTCTCTGACATTAGACTTTCCCCATGCAATTTATCTTTTAATTTCCTGGCTGCTAGCCACCAGAGCTCCATAAAATTTCGTTAGATCATTAGAACTTTCTTTTTATGAGGGATACTAGTCTGTCGTTTTCTTTTTTGTAGTGTTTTTGCCTGCTTTTAATAACAGGATGATGCCAGCCTTACAGAATTGAGTAGGAAGTTCTTCATCTTCAGATTTCAGATAATATTTTATATAATTATAACATTCCTTAAATTCTTGGTAGAATTTACTAGAGAAGACATCTGCGTATGAAGTTTTTACTCTGGTGAGATTTCTAATGAAAATGTCTATTTTTAAAATAAATTTAGGGCTATTCAGATGATTCATTTCTTGGTTAAGTTTTAGTAGATTGTCTCAAGGAGTTTGTCCATTTATCAACATCAAGTTGTTCCTTATTAGGCTTTTTAATGTCTGTTAAGTCTGTATTGTTTTCACCAGACTTGTTACTTTGTGTTTTCTCTTTTTCATGATTAGTCTACCCAGTTGTTAGGTGCTGTCAAGTGTGACTCATAGTGACCCTATGTACAGCAGACCTGAATCCTGTCCTACACTTGAGCCCATTGTTGCAGTCACTGTGTCAGTCCATCTCATTAGAGGTCTTTCTCTCACCCTCCACCTTTCTAAGCATGATGTCCCTTCTAAGGAATGGTCTCTCCTAGCAATAGGCCAAAAATACATGAACCAAAGTCTTCGCATCCTAGCCTTCAAAGAGTGCTCTAGCCGCACCTTTCCCAAGACATACCTGTTCAGTTTTTTTGACAATCCTTGGGATATTTAGTGTTCTTCTCCAACACCACAGTTCAGTGGCATCAGTTCTTCTGTCATCCTTATTTGTTGTCCAGGGATCTCTCTAAAATGCTGAAGAGCAACGATGTCACTTTGAAGATTAAAGTGTGCCTGATTCAGGCCATAGTCTTTTCCCTCACTTGCTGTGCATCTGATAACTGGACATTGAATATGGATGATAATTTACCTAGAAGTTTATAATTTTTATTCCTCTCAAAGAGTCAGCTTTTGGTTTCATTTTTTATCTCTATTTTGGTTTTCTGTTTTACTGATTTACATTTTTCTCTTTATTATTTCTTCTTTCTGTTTCCTTGGGCTTATTTCTCTCCCCCGCCCCCAACTTGAGAATTTTTTTTCTTTAAATGGACATTTTGTGTATTCATTTCTCCTTTGAGCTCTCCAATAAGGCAGGCCAAAAAATGTTGTATTTTCATTTTTAGTCACTTAAAAATACTTTCTCATTGCCCTCTGTGATTTATTTCTAGACGTGTGGATTAGTTAAACCAGTTGCTATTGGGTTGGTTCTTATTTATGGCCACTCATGGGTTTCAGAGGAGAATTTTGCTCCAAAAGTGCTTTGTCTTTCAGAAGTAGTTCACCAAACAGTTCTTCTAAAGTCAACCTCTGGGTAGATTTGAACCATCAACTTCTCCATCAGTAATTGAGCAACACTTTACTGATTATACCATCCAGAGACTCACCTAAAGGTTATTGAAGAGTGTGCTGTTTAGTTTCTAGATATTTGGAGGTTTTCTTGGTATTGTTGTTGCTGATTTCTGACTTAATTTCAGTGTGACCAGAATTGTTGACTTGAATTTATTTTACAATTTATTTATTACTACTTGTATTTATTGAGATCTGTTTGAGAGCCTTTAATCTAGGAATCCAGCCTATGGAAATAATGTGAAATGTACAAAAAACTACTTGAAAGAAATCCATTACACCATAGTTTATAGAAATGAAAAAAAAATTTAGAGAAACCACAGGCCCTTAGGCGGGCTAAGCAAAGCATGACACATTTACTTGGTAGGATAATCTGTAACTGTTAAAAATCATGCTTTTAAAAGCCTATGTAGCAATCTGAAAATGCTTTTGATGCAATTGAAAATGTATTACACAATCACAACTTTGTAGAAAATAAATGTGAAAAAAATTTGGCATTAAAAAGATTAAAAAATTTTAAAATGAAATTCTTTTATTTTTTTATTATTATTTTTGTGTGGGTGTACCGTCAGATCAGATCTGACTGGTACAGGGGGAAATTGTCCCTCCTTCCCCGGCAGAGCATCTGGTGGATTCGAACAGTGCGCCTCTGGGATTGTAGTTGTAGGTCCTTGCCACTAGGCCACCAGAGCTCCCCTTAAAATGAAATTCTTTTAAAATAATATTTTAAAATAAATTCTTTTATGTTAATGGTGAATTTTTTTTTAATTATTATTTTGTGTGTGTATGTGTATACCGTCAAATCAGATCTGACTGATACAGGAGGAGATTGTCCCTCCTTCTTCAGCAGAGCATCTGGTGGTTTCGAACCACACACCTCTTGGATTGCAGTATAACATATTGTCACTAGGCCACCAGAGCTCGCCAAATTATTTTTAAAAATATTTCTGGACCTGATTATTACTCTATAACTAAATAAAATTGAAAGTTTCTACTGCAGATTTTTCATTGTTTGTTGAGAGGTTAGAACAAGCTATTATTTCTTTGCAAACAAGTGAAAAGGAAAAGGTGCTACATACAGCTCAGCAGTAGCTTGCTCTGCTCTGCGTGACAGTGAAGCCATGCTTAGAATCAGGAGATAAGGAGCTCAACTCCAAAGAAGCAGAAGCCTTAGGCTGTTTCTGCAGGCCACTTCACTGACTAGAAAGTGCTGGCTTCAGCAGCATCTAGCAGCAACAACCAGACTGCATTTTAGTCCCCTTAAGAATCAGAAGTCTCTTTTTACCCTGTTGGTGGAGAAGTTTTTGGATGTGCATAGGGATTTGATTCTTAGATGGTCACATTCATCTATTTTATCTTCTCCTGGCTGTAGATTTTTCAGGATGCTTGGGACACTGTTTATATTGTGGATTAGGACTTCTAGAATTCTTCCAAGCTTCTCTTTAATGAAGTTTATAGTCCTTGGTTTTAGTTCTTGGCCCATGATCCACCTAGAGTTGGTTTTTGTGTATGGCATGAGGTGTGGATCTTGCTTGAGTGTTCTGCAGATAGTTCTCCAGTTTTGCCAATACCATTTGTTAAAAAGGCTGTCGTTTTGCCACTTAAATGATTTCGTCTTCTTGTCAAAAATCAGTTGTCCATGGGTAGATGGGCTAATTTCTGGATTCTCAATTCTATTCCATTGATCTCTGTGTCTGTCATTGTACCAGTACCATGGTGTCTTAACCCCCACGGCAGTGTAGTAGGATTTGAAATCAGGGAGTGAGATGCCTTCTACCTTGTCTTTTTAAGGGCCTCTTTCCATTCCAAATGAAGTTGGAGATTGCCTTTTCCATCTCATTGAAGAATAGAATTGGTATTTGTATTGAGATTGAATTGAACATGTAAATTGTTTTTGGTAGTATTGTTATTTTCACAATATTTAGTCTTCCTATCCAAGAGCAAGGGATATTCTTCCATTTCTCCAGGTCTCTCTTTGTTTCTTGTGTCACTTGATTTCTTCCTGTTGCTTCCATAGGCATTGATTGTGGATCCCAGTTAACAGTGTTTTCATGATCATGATATTGATTATTGCTTCAGTTTTGACCATTTTTGTTTAACGATGAGCTGCACTTGATACTAAAGGCTGTAATTTTCGATCTTTATTAGTAAGTGCTTCAAGTCCTCTTCACTGTCAGCTGTTATTTTTTATCTTTATTATTTTTTTTATGTGTATCGTCAAATTAGATCTGACTGGTACAGGAGGAAATTGTCTGTCCTTCTCCAGCAGAGCATCTGGTGGATTAGAACCGCTCATCTCTGGGATTGCCTTGCAGCTTCTTGATACTAGGCCACCAAAGCTTGCCTGGGTTCTTAAGTTTACAAAGCATATTGATTTTTCATTCCGTTATTTAAGCACATTTTGTTTTATAACATTAATTATAATACTCACAATGTCTGATTATTCTCTTTATTGTCTATTGCCTACTTTTTCATACAGCTTTAATAAGATAATATGACCTGAGCATTTCTTCACTGGCTGACCATCTGAATGTTCTCTTGTGTGAAGTGTCTTTTCACGTCCTGTGCCCATTTTATGGTTGGCTAGTTTGCCTTGTTCTTGTTAGGGTGTTAGCCAGATGTCACCTGAGTGGCCATCAACTTTAGGCATGTAGCCTGTGCACAGTGCCTCGTGGCAAAAGGCCCATCATCACGCCGTGCTCCACACTCATGCTTTAATAGCCACTTTAAAGGGTTCTTCTTTCTTATCTGTGTTCCTTTTGGGGCTTAGTCTTTAAGGCATTTATTTAACCTCAAAGTCTAGACCAGGGAGGTATTTAATACACATAATCCTGCTGAAAATGTGATCAAAGCTTACCAAATCGCATTCCTTCATCCTGTGAGTGAAGGCCTTTGCCTTTGCTGTGCCTTTGCAATACACGACCCATCTGAAACGGCTCTGTCCTCACCCCTACCCTGTCCTGTTGTGAGCAGCTCTTCAGTGAGGCCTTCCCTGACCACGTTGTTTAAATCACAGTAATATAGTACTTCCCCCTCTCCATCCCCCCAGTACTCCAAATACTCTTCCTGCCTTTATGTTCCCCTCTGGAATGAAGACTCTGCTGAGGGCAGAATATCTGTCTTGTTCAAGGCTCTGCTCCTAGTGCCTGGCTCATGGTCAGCACTGGATTCATATTTGCTGAACAAGTGAATATTCTGTTTACAGATGAGTAGTGCAGGGGCTGGGAAGAGTGGGCGCTGGAGCACCCCACCTTCTTCTGAGGCTCCTGGGGGAGCCCTTGAAGAAAGCACTCTACAGCCTCTCCTTTCTTGAGTCCTGCCTGCAGGGAGGATGCTGTTGTGCGTGTGCTGTCCTTGTCGTGTGTTTGCTGTGGCCTAAGATGGGGCAGGATGGCACAGAGGAGCAGCTGGCCTTCTGGTCCTGTTGAGTCTGATCTGCTGGTGGACGGTGGGGTGCGAAGCTCCGCCGTCTGTGTGAACGCTGCTGGCTTTGTTTTCGTTTTTCATATCCTCACATTCTCCCTTACCGTGACCTCACGGCAGTTGACTCCACCCATCCTTGACCTGTTTATGACCTTAATGCAGACCGGCAGGATTTTTTTCCATTTTAAGGGAACAAAAAAAGAATCTCAGTGAAGTTTATATGGATCTATTGTCATGTCTAAAAACGTATATTTTTTCTTTTTCTTTTTTGACTTTTCAGAATAAACACGAGCAGAGGAGACTTCTCAACTTGTCTTCCTTTCATAAGCTTTGTCCTTGTTTTGTTTGCAGGTTGTGTCTACGTTGTTAATAAACATCATCCCAGAAGACCACATCCCGCTGAATTTAGTGGGAAAGGCAAAAATCAGTGGGAAGGCCTGGGTCAAAGAGCCTCCTCGCCTTGTTCCAGGATTCAACCCTGACTCCATGTGTGAGTCCCAGGTATGCAGCCCCGTTTTGTGCATTTGGGACATTTAGTGGGGCCTGGTGCGTAGTGAGTTGCACTGTTGGACACACAGTCCAGGCCTCTGGTGGTTCAAATCCACCAGTGGCCTGTCCCTGGGAGAAGGATGGACCGACTCCTTCCATGTTATTTACAGCCTTGGGAATACAGTTGAGGGTCAGCTAGGAGCCATTTCCACCTCAGTGGAAGTCAGTTGAGTTTGAGGAGATTTTTTTAGACACAGTAATTTGGAACAGGCAGAAGTGGAGGCACAGCCAGGGAAGTAGTGTTGTGCCTCAGGAGAGAAGAGTTTGTGCCTACGTTGATGTTGGCATTTGCTTTTGGAAGTGTCACGGTTGGTCTCTAGGTATCTTAGGTTGGGCTCTCTACTGATGTGTGTGTACATACACACTTGTACATATATCCCTTGCACTTAACCCGTATCCATGCTGACTCACAAGCTAGGCTGTGTCCGCAGTCAAGATTGCCAGGGCCTCTGGCTGTTCTTTCCGGGAGACTGCACTTGACCCACCGTGTTCCACAATCCTTCACTCATAGCAGACACTCTGACAGATTCTTAATGGACCATCTAGCCCTGGAACTTTTATTTCCCTCTTTGGGATCTTTTGCTTAATTCATACTTCACTATACAGATGGACATCTTGATATGTTAACTAGTTTATAATGCTGTAGCTTGACTTTGTGAAGGTCCACCTGAGGCCTTAAAGGGTGTTTGCAAAGTTCTTCTACTCTCAGTCCTGCAGGACAATGAGGGCCAGGCCCAGAACTTGGGTATGGTGTTTATACGGGTTCTTACAAATGACACAACCTTATTTACTGGAACTGAGGAGGTTAGAGATGATGAAGTTGGCCCAAGATGGAACAGGTTTCAGAGTGTTGTACATAGGGTTGCTATGAGTCTCAAGCTACTTGATGGCACATAACAACAAAAACTGCTAATTCACTTTTATTTAAGAAAAGTTTCATGCACTGCTTCTTTCTGTCTGGGATTTGGGGTCCCAGGGAAGAGGCATACACAGCAGGATTACTAGGACCCTGAGCTGAGGAGAGCAGCTCCCATGGGGGACAGACCTGCCAGCCCAGGCTTAGTGGCTTCTCCCCTTGCAGGTGGTTATCCGGGATGGTGAGCTGCTGTGTGGCGTACTGGACAAGGCGCACTATGGGAGCTCTGCCTTCGGCCTGGTGCACTGCTGCTGTGAGGTCTATGGAGGCGAGACCAGCGGCCGCGTTCTCACCTGCCTGGCCCGCCTCTTCACTGCCTACCTGCAGCTCTACAGAGGCTTCACACTGGGTGAGTACCTGCCAGGAGGGCTGGGCCTGGCTGAGATGTTGGCCTGACTGGGATGGTGGCTGTTTCAGCCAGGCCAGCCACCAGGCTGTTTTCCCAGTTGTATTCACAGACTCCAGGGTGACAGATCCATAGACATCCTTATTTAGCCGCCAGTGACATCATACAGCCTCTGTCCCCTCAGTGCTTTCCACACCCCCAGTCCGCAACCGCTCTCTCACCTTCAGCAGCACAGTGACCCTGCCACCTCATCCAGTCCTTTTCCTGCTCCACCTCCTTGTAGCTTTGTGCCCCTTGCTCATGCTCACAGCCCACTGTCCTGAAGTGGCCCTGCCCCTCATGAAGGGCCTCCCCAAGCGGGGGACCTTCATTGCTCTTAGAAAGCCCTTCCCCAATCAGAGCTCCTGGGCAGCCTCTCCATGGGACAGGGCTGCTGTGCTGCAGGTCAGCTGTGAAGCAGATTCTCCATTCTACCTGTATATGTCAGTGTCCTTCTGGGTCAGTTTCTGTACATATCTATCTTCATGGCTAATGGCTACAGATGGCTTAGTGCACTTGTGTGGAGGTGCAGCTTAGTTAGCCAGTTCTTGTCATTAAACATTTAGGTTGTGTTAAGTTTTCACCATTATTACTGTGGTAGGCACCTGTTAATAGTGTTTTGGACTGAATATACTCTGAAAATAACAAAATATGCATCTGTTTGGGGGCTGAAACCAGCCTTCACAACTGGCCTGAACATCAGCCTCTTCAATTGGCAATTAGAATAGAGTCTCTCTCAGAGCAACTGAGGAGAATATTAGATGATGATTGATGATTCAGAAGGTCGTTGAAAACAAACATAGGCATTTCTGATAACAGGGGAAAGTTCAGAGAGCTGCACGGACAGAAAATAGGGAATTCCACCCCCCCTCACCCCCACCCCCACTCCCATCATAATGAGGAACAGGCTTAAGGCATTGTAACTGCTGTGTTGTAAGGTGGACAAGGAGAAGTGATCCCTGAGCATGCCGCCACCTCAGGTGTCAGGAAGCTAGGCCTCCAGGGCAGGGAGGAAGGCCAGCTGGAAGCGGGGCTCCAAGGAGGGGCCAGCCCGACATGATCCCTTCACACAGTCCTTTAGTCCAGAGAGGGTCAGTGAGCAGACAGTAAACTGGCCTGGAGCCGACCTGCTGAAGCCCACAGGAGTGGTTAGAAATAACCTGGAGCCACTGTGTCAAATTCAGTATCTGCCCCATCCATGGCAGGTGCTGGCCCGAAAGGCTGTGCCACAGAAATACTCTAATTCATGGACCCTCTTCCTCTTTCTTAGGCCTCAGGGATAAGTTTTGTTGCTGACTTTTTTTAAAAGAAAGAACTTGGAAGAGTGTTTCTTCACAAGGCTTCTGGCTTCAGCACATTACTCTGGCGATGCCAGATACTTAGCCCATCCTTTGAAACCTGCTTGCTGTGATGGTCACTGCTAACAGCCCTAGGCTCTGGCTACTGTCCCTGTGACAGGAGACTTTGGGAACTAAAACCAGGTGGTCTACTGTCCTTAGCTCAGTTGGTCATCAGAGTCCTCTGGATGCACTGATGAGATGAGATGATGGCCCTGAGTTACTATTACATCAGTGTTGTCAGAGGCATTTAAGCCCTTCTTGTGTACAGAGCTCTGCCCTCCACCCTGGTCTCACCGAGTGGACCGTCTGCTGAGGTTTCATGCCAAGTCCAGTCTGAGTTTGCCTGTTTGCCTTCACAGATGTGGAAGACATTTTGGTTAAGCCAAAGGCAGATGTCAGGAGGCATCAGATCATCGAAGAGTCCACCTGCTGTGGGCCCCGGGTGAGGCAGGGGGGAGGTCCGGCTTGTGTGGAGGGGCTATGTCACTGCAGGGGGACCCACATGCTCCTTGCCCACCTGCACCCTCAGACAGGTTCTTTTTCTCACTGCAGGCTGTCAGGGCGGCGTTAAACCTGCCAGAAGCTGCATCATGTGATGAAGTCCGAGGGAAATGGCAGGATGCCCATCTGGGCAAAGACCAGAGGGATTTTAACATGATTGATCTGAAGTTCAAGGAGGAGGTGAACCATTACAGCAATGAGATTAACAAGGTTAGCCCAGCAGTGCCTGTGCTCATTACCACCACCTTGAATGCTGATTTTTAAAACATTACATTTTGAGTCTGTCTCAGGGCTCTCTGGAACAATTGTTTGACTGTCTAACAGCTGATAGGTCTGGGTGTGTGATGGGATGAGGTGAATCCACCATTTTGAGGATAAGGGCCAAGGGCTTCTTTTCCATACATAGTCTGGGAAGGTCCTGTTAATAAAATGCTCAGTCTGTGTTTCTAGGGGCATTTTCCTCTGGGGTGACAGCACAGAAGAGGCTGGAGGAAGTAAGTCATCCATGCATGGTGAGCAGGGTGAAGGAGCAGAAGCATCCCCTGACAGGATTCAGGGCTGAGGACCAGCTGCCCGGGTTCAAAGCCTGGCCTGCTCTGTGCCCTCAGGAACCATTGATCTCGGCAGTGCCTTCAGACCCTCCCTATCAGACAGATGAGGGCGAGAGGAGCACTGTTTTCTCGGCTGCTGAGGGAATTGTGAATGGAGCAGCCCTGTGTGTTACTGGGAGGGCTGCACCTGGATTTTCACAGTTTCCACCTTTCAGGAACAGATTGCAGCCTTTTTTTCTGTGGCACCTCTGAGCAAGCTTGAACCACCAACCTTAATTGGTAGTTACCAAGGACTTGTACTGCAAGGCTTACAGACCAATTATGCTTAATCTTGGTTAGCATGGGGCAACTGCTATGCAAGTTCTCTGGGACCCCATCCACCATGTGTGTTCCTGTGAGTTTGCTAGAAGATAGAAACCTGTTCTCCGGGATCCCTGGTCAAGCAGCTTGGGGGGCATTTTGACTGGCCCACCCACCTCCTTGAGGCCTGGCCCTGTGAGAAGTGAGGTGGCAAGGCCAGCTCCATAGGAGTGCTGATTTGTCAGGGTGGCCCTGTGACTGCCTTTCTGCATTCATTAGGGTGTCGGGAAGACAGGCCTCTTGTCAGTCCATGCTCAGCCCTCGAGAGGGCTTGTTCAGAGGCACCTTCCCAGCATTCCTAGAGAGAGCCAGGGGCCCAACGCCTGGGGCTGAGCAGGGAGGTGAAGGCAGGGGGGGCAGCCTTCAGAGGAGTTTTGAAATAACTGCCTGCTCCTCAGATCCCACCACCTCTCCTGACCCAGCGCTCCTCTCCCATGCTGGCCGTGTGTCTCTCTAACCCTGGGCAGACCACTCCCGCCTCACTCCCATTTTCTCCCTTGCTCTCACTCTGCTTAGCAGATGTGCTGATAAATGCAGACGAGCCAGGGTGGTAATTACAGAGCACTCAGAGACCAGGAGTGGGCTCTTCTGCTGGGTGGTGCCTTAATTTTTCCTTTTAACCAGCTCTTTGTTAGAGAGCCACATAATGTGTTTGCTGGCCCCTTGCCTCTTCCTCATCCTCTCCAGTTGGCCCCTCAGACTTCCTGTCGAGACTGAGACGATCCCACGTCTAGGCCCATCACTGAGGCTCCTTGGTTTCTGGGTTTGCTGGGACTTAGAGCTTTTCTTGGCTTTTCCTAGGAGCCTGGGTATTCCCACAGGACGTGACTGAAGTCGTGACTGTGTGTATCTTTAATCCACAGGCATGCATGCCATTTGGCCTGCACAGGCAGTTCCCCGAGAACAACTTGCAGATGATGGTGCAGTCTGGAGCCAAAGGCTCAACTGTGAACACGATGCAGGTTTGTGCTGATGGTCACACACATGCCATTCACCCGATATGCAGAGGTGGGTGGCGGCGGTGCCACACTTGATGCTGCACTCAAGGTTGCTTCTAATTTTGAAAGATCCCAGGTTTCCTAGAAAATGAGACAAGAACTGAAGAATGTAAAAATGCATATGAATCACTCACTGCAGAAGCTAACCACTGTTAACAAGTCAGCATTGTAGAAATGTGATAAAGTATCAAAATAAGATCATTCTTAGAGTTATACAGTAAACCTATGAAAGCTGGAATCTTTGTAAGATAGAAACTGGTCAGAGAGAGAATGCTCAAATATGTACCACTGTAGGGAGCTACAGGGAGTGCTGGTGGCTTAGTGGTGAGAAGCTGTGCTGTAATCCCAGAGGCACACAACACAGTTCAAATCCACCAGCTGCTCCTTGGGAAAAAAAGGACAATCTCTTCTCATGCGATTTACTGTCTCTGGAAACCCACTGGAGGGTCAGCAATAGGGTGGTTCCTACTCAATGGTAAACAGCAACAACTAAGCGAGCAATAGAAAAAGTGACAAGACTGTAATGTCAAGGGTGGAAAAATGTAAAATTTAGTTTTGAAAAAAAATAGACATTTCTGTCAAATATCAGCTCTCGTAGGTTTTACTGTGTTGTAGATAACGATGATATCCGCTTGCTATATCAGCCACCTTTACATTAAATCTAAATACTGTGTATATGTGATCATAGCTGAGATGCTGTTCAGCATTATCTGGCTTGTTCACTTGTGTTCATGATGCTTTGCCCTGGAGGTGTCCTTTTTTCTATCACATGCATGCTTATTAAGCTATAGCCCAGGACGTGGCTGAGGAACTGGAAATAAGTAACGGCAAGAGCCCCCAGAGCAGCTTGGATCACATCCTGAAGTTTTCTTAGCCTTTCTTTTAACTCAAGAGCCACTCTTGCCTCAAGCTATCACCCTTCCATCCTGGCAATTTTACCATGTCAGTTTTTTGGTTTTTATCTTGACGACCTTGAGCATCTCCTTATTGAGCATCATTTCCTTGATTGGTGAGTGCAGTGTTAGAGCATAGGTTTAAAGAGCTGAAGGTCATAGGGGACACAAATAGACACACAGATAGAGCAACTGATGTGAACTCCAGACAAACTGCTGTCTATCCCTACCCTTCTTTTTTTTTTTAATTTTTAATTTTTTAGTTTATTTTATGTGTGTACTGTTTTAATTTTTAAATTTATTTTGTGTGTGTGTACTGTCAAATTGGATCTGACTGGTACAGGAGGAGATTGCCTATCTCTACCCTTTTAAGAATATCAAATAGTTCTAGCAAGTGCCTGGGTGACTTTTGGAGTTTCCTTTTTATTGTAGAATTTAAGGATTACAATAAATTCCTTTTCTCTATGGGCCCAAGCTTCCTCATTTGAATTCGCAGGCCCCTTCCAGCATAACTTTTGATGATTCTGAGATAGCTTTTCTTCAAACATGACCCGTTTTCAGCTGGCCCTAGACATGCAAATCTAAGTCTGTCAACAGAAGGAAGGTGTAATTGTTGAAAAGCAAGCTTCTTGGTTGCTATTTAAAATCTAGGTTGACCTTCACCAGTCTGGTTTCTACATAGTTTTCTAGGAAGAACAGGCTTCCCCTTCCCCACCAGAACTAAGCACACGTGTCTTGTAGTGCTAAGTCTGCAACACACAGGTCTTGTAACACCAAGTCTGTAACACATGTGTCCCATAGTGCACAGTCTGTAACACATGTCCTGTAGCGACAAGTTTGCAATATGTGTGTCCCATAGTGCAAGTCTGTGTAACACACGTGTGTTATAGCACCAACTCTGTGTAACACACTTGACCGCTATGGTACAAGTCTGTGTAACATGGGTTTTGCATGCATCTGGTTGTCCCCACAGATCTCCTGCTTGCTGGGCCAGATTGAGCTGGAAGGCCGGAGACCCCCACTGATGGCATCTGGCAAGTCTCTGCCGTGCTTCGAGCCATATGACTTCACTCCCAGGGCTGGTGGCTTTGTCACTGGCAGGTTCCTCACTGGCATCAGTCCTCCCGTAAGTATTTTGGTTTTTCCTTTTGACTTTTTGTCTTAGTTCTAGATGTGATGTGGTAGGAGGTGACCTGTAATTCCAGCAGCTTTGAGTAAAAAGGATCAAACCCTGAGCTGCTCACCACTTTAACTCACCACCTTAGGGTCCTGTCAGGGGTCTGGTTTTGGCATGGTCAGCAACAGAAGTCACTTCTGAGAAATTTCTCTTCACATTGGTCAGAAATTTCTTTTTAAAACATTTCATGAAGTGACAGTATCATTTGTTTCTAGGCAGAGAATGGTAAAGAGAACATATTTGCCCCAGGGATTTAGAATGCTTTCTTTTAAATTGGTTTCTCTTTAGAAATTTACTTTGTTGAGAATGAGAATGTACACAGTAGAACATACACCATGTGTTCCAGCTCCATGTACAGTTCAGTGGCACCAGTTGCCTTCTTCCACCTGCACCCCTCCCCGCTCCCTTGTTCTGCCTGTCCTTTCCTGTGTAACCTTTTGGCTACTGTTGTTAATTTGATTCCACAAAGCTCTTAAAAGAGCATCATGTTCAAGGAAAGCATTTTCAGTCACTTTAGGAAGACCTCAGGGGACGTTTGATTTACAGCTGGTAGTTTCAGGGCCTCATCTGGTCTGAATCCACAGCTCCAGAAAGTCTGGATTCCATGAGAATTTGAAATTCTGTTCTGTGTCCTCTCCCGCTCCAGGATTCTTTAGTCAAAATGTTTGGTAGCAGAATCTGGGCCCTGCACATTGTTGGTCTGGTGACAGGACGCAGTTTGAGCTCTGTGTGTGTTTGCTAATGACACCTGTTTCTTACTGTGGGTTTCTGTTGATTGACGATGGTCACCTGTTTAATTTGAGGGTTGAACTGGGCCATGCCAGTCAGGGTGGCTTCAACGCACAGGTGTGGTGACCCCTCTCAGCAGTCATTGTTCCTTCTCACTCACTCGTGCTTTCACATTAACAAAGGAGGACAAACCCCCACAAGTTGTGAGGGAGGGCAAAAGTCACGGGGGCCATCTGAACCCTCAAAATCACAGCCTGGGGGTCAGAGGAAGGAGTATTGCTGTGTGGTTGGACCGGCTCCTGGAGGTGCTGGCCGCTGAGCCCCTCGTGAAGCCCATCTTCTTCCCCCACAGGAGTTCTTCTTCCACTGCATGGCTGGGCGAGAAGGCCTGGTCGACACAGCCGTGAAAACCAGCCGCTCTGGCTACCTCCAGAGGTAAGCATGTCTACTCTGCCATCTGTGGCACCTGTGGGTGGACGTGCCTGTCCAGCCCTCCATTTAATGACATTTAACCACATTATAGCTTGAGGGGGCAGCTGAGGTAGTACAGGAGGTACCAGGTGGCTGGGTGGCACTGGGGAGGAAGGAGCTGGAATGAACAAGGAACAGCTAGTGAGGATGCAGGAGGAAGTGGCCGGGAGGTGTTGGACCTGGCCAGGTCTCTAGGTATGAGTGGCAGCACTGTTGACAGCAGGATGCCGCAGAGGGGAGAGGATGGGTGGGTGGGATGGAGGTGGTAGTCGAAGGACACTGAAGTCAGCACACCCTGTGGACACTAAGTGACATGGCCTGCAGCTCAGAAAGGGGCCAGTGGCTGGTGGTGATATTGAAAGTTTGTGAGTCGAGGGCCAGATGAGCAGCCGACCAGGGGCGGGCCGTTCCAGCAAAAGGAAGTGGATGTTGAGTACTAGCCTTTCCTGGCTGGCTTTCAGGACAAAATGCTATTAGTGCCAAGCATGGGGATGGGCCCTCGGGGTTCAGGGGATGCTGGCTCCTGGAATAGGCCATCTGAAGGTGGCAGGAGGACAGGCAGAGGTAAAGCAGGGGTTGAGGGAAGCAGTGGACCACGTGGAAGACTGGGCATAAAGGCTAGGAGCGGCAGGTCAGCTTTAGGTTCCTAATATTCTCGTCAAATCCTGACTGACAGTGGGAGGCGGCCCCCTTCTGTCTTCTCTACCTGCTCGCCTTCCCTTTAATACACCCCCCCTTCTCCATCCACCCACCCACCTTCTCCACCCGCCCGCCTTCCCTGCCCTGCACCCCTACATTCTCCAGCTACCCGCCTTCCTTGCACTGCACCACACTCCCACATTCTCCTCCTGCCCACCTTCCCTACCCTGCACCCCCCACCTTCTCCAGCCACCTGCCTTCCTTGCACTGCACCCCTATTCCTACCTTCTCCACCTGCCCGCTTTCCCTACCCTGCGCCATCTCCGCCCTCTCAAAGACTGTTTGGAGAGCTAAGGCTGACATTCTCCTTACAGGTGCATCATCAAGCACCTGGAGGGGCTGGTGGTCTGTTACGACCTGACTGTGCGTGACAGTGATGGCAGCGTGGTGCAGTTCCTCTACGGGGAGGACGGCCTGGACATCCCCAAGATGCAGTTTTTGCAGCCCAAGCAGTTCCCCTTCCTTGCCAGCAATCATGAGGTAGTGTGCCAGGCCCCCCCAGGGATGGGTGTGGGGGACGTGGGGGACCAGGCCTGTGTGGTCATTAGAGAAGTTGGGCTCCTCGAGCTTCATGATGCCGCCAGAGTGGGCACTGACAAGGAGAACAGGAAGAGTTTGCAAAGACTCCCTGTTCGGTGCCTGCAACAGTCTGTGGTTTCTGAGTCCTGCTCTGTACTGTCAGTGCTCCTGTGGCTTTAGTTCTCAGTGAGATGGTGTTCTCACCTCATTCCCATTGGAATGGACCCAGAGCTGACCCTCCAGGGGTTTTCAGAGGCTGTAAGTTGTGTGGCAGGAGATTGCCCATCTTTCTCCTGTGGAGCAGCTTGTGGATTTAAACTGTATGCTTTTGAGATGGGAGCATAATTCCCTATCCACTAGGCCACCAGCGCTCCCTCAGTGAGCCAGCAGGTGAATATGAACTCCCGCACAACAGGTGCCATTTACTGAGCCTTGAACACTAATCTCTGCCAGTCTTCATCCTCATTAAACCCAGGAGAGCTATTGCTCTGCCCATTTCATAGTCGGGACCACTCAGTGTTGGTATTTCAGTAACTAACTGATGGATGACAGAGACAGAATCCGAAACTGGTCCCTTATGACAGCCTCACACAGCGCCTCAGCTGTGACTGCCTCTTCTGGTGACTGAGAAACAGGCTGACCTGTGTCCAGGGCCACCTAGCTCTCTGGTGACGTGAGGCTCACCAGACCTTTCCCTTCTGAGGCTTGTCCGGAGCTCTGGCTGCCACCCTTCCTCTCTGCCTTACTTCCCCTCCCCAGAAACTCCTCATGTTCCTGGAAGGACACAGGGACCTGGTCATCCAGCTGTTGGACATCACAGCTTCCTAGTCTGGTCTGCACAAAAGCAAGGGTCCCAGTCAGAGGGGGCTCAGCTCTCCTGAGCAGTGTCCTGAATGGCTCTTGATCTTCCTGTCAATGGAAGTTGTGTAACAGGGCTTCTGTGTCATTCTTTCTGCTCTGGTCTTGAATGTATTATGGGTTTATTTATTTGTTTGTTTAGGCTATAGTGACATCCAAACATCTCCGTGAAGTTTTGTCCAAAGGAGACCCCCAGAAAGTTCTCCGTCACTTCAGAGCCATCAAAAAATGGCAGAGCCAGCATCCTAGCCCCCTGCTGAGAAGAGGTGCCTTCTTGAATTACTCCCAGAAGATGCAAGCTGCCGTGAGGGCCCTGGGCCTGGATGAGGGCAGCCAGAACGGCCGCAGCTCAGAGACGCGGGAGGTGATGCGAGGGTGGAAGTGACGTGGGCGGGCACACAGGGACAGGTGTGTGATTGCAGGCGGGAGTGGGTGATGTCTAGTGAGATGGACATTAAGACGTCATCAGGTATGGTCCTGGCAGAAAGCAAATAACACTAAAAGGCTCCACGAAGCTGTGAGCAGCGTTGGGAAGCCAGCTGGTAACGTTAGGGTTCACCCTGACCCTAGGCCTGAGTAGACGGGCAGGAAGCAGAGTGGGATGGGTGACTGGTGGTGGAGGCCACGCCACGGGAGTAAGTGAACGGGTGTCACTGTCACGGACCTTCCTTCCCCTCTCCCGCGGCTGTGGTTGCTCCCATTGCCCAAACATCTTGAGAGCAGAGGGAGGCAGGAGCCAGTGGAGCACGCTGACTAGTCTCTAGGGCTGCTTGGGACCACAGAGCCGAGGGAGAGCGTGCCTCTGGGGGACCTGGGACTACGGCAGCCTGTGACTGTGTGTCTTGGTTTCCTGGCCTCTGGTCCTGCTAGTGTTGCAGGGACATGTGCCCAGCTCAGCTGACACCCCCCCCCCCTTTCAGATGCTGAGGATGTGGTACGAGCTAGATGAGCAGAGCCGCAGGAAATACCAGAAGAAGGCAGCCCCCTGTCCTGACCCTAGTCTGTCTGTCTGGCTCCCGCATATATACTTTGCATCTGTTTCGGAAACCTTTGAGAAAATGATCGATGACTACAGCTTTGAGTGGGCCTCAGTGAAGAGTAGTTACGAGAAGTCGAAGCCGTCACTCAAGAGGTACTGGGGGATTCAGTGTCTAGTACAGGTTGAGAGGATGGGCCCTGCCTTCCGCACTGCAGACAATGGGCAGCCTGCTAGATTCCAGGATCCGGCAGGGGTCTAGGCCGGGTGTGGAGGGGCGGCAACAGCAAGGTGGAGAGCCAGGGGTGGCTTGGCGGGGTCCGAGGGATGGGCGTTTGACAAGGACACCAGCAAGCCCAGAGGCTGGGAGACCAGCACAGCAGAGAAGGAATGGAGGTCCCAGATGATGCAGGGCCTCCACTGGCACAGAGGTATACTGTTCTCCTGAGTTGGTCATGGTGGGTATGCTGGCCGAGGTTCAAGGAGACAGTTACTCCCTCCTCTAAACTTCAGGATACGTGTCCACAGCCTTGGTGTGGGCTAGGATCTGTGGACCCCGTGGCCCCTTGAGCTTTGGGCTGGAGGAACGTGTAGTTCCAGGAGTGTGGTTAGGGTTGTCTTGCCCCCTTGTATGTCTGTGCTCTAACGTTTCCTCTCCTGCACTGGCCCCAGGTTGCGGACGCTGTTGAAGCTGAAGTGGCAGAATTCTCTCTGTGCCCCAGGCGAGGCAGTGGGCTTGCTGGCTGCCCAGAGCATCGGGGAGCCCTCCACACAGATGACCCTGAACACTTTCCACTTTGCTGGCAGAGGCGAGATGAATGTCACCCTGGGCATCCCAAGGTGTGAATCCCACTGAGGCCAGACTTGTGGCTTCTGTCCTTGCCCTCCTCCTAGGCTGGGAAAGTGGTGTGCTGAGTCATTGAAGAAAGGGGCGGGAGAAATTGGGTCTTTTCAAGGTACAGAGTCGGGTAGCATTTCTGGAGCCCCTTGGAACCACCCTTTATCCTCCTGGAATCTGCGTACACCTAGGCTAACCTGTTCTGGAGTGAAGACTCAAAAGTGACATTGTGTTAGCACCACCACAGGCCACCTCACTGTCCATCTTGCAGTCCAGCTCCAGGTTGCCATTCACACAGAATGTCACTGTGAGGCGTCCTGGCCTTGCAGTTGGACGTGCACATATTGGGGTGTGAGGGTCACTAGGAACCAGAAAGGCATTCTGGTGGTGTAATGGTTCACTTTTTTTACTGCTACACAGAAGGCTGATGGTTCAGACCCACCAGCCACTTGATAGGAGAAAGACGTTACAGCCTATTCTGTGAAGGTTTATTTCTGTAGAACCCGCGAGGGCATCCGTGCTCCATCCTGCAGGGTCTCTGAGAGTCAGAATTGATGGCAAAATCAAATGGCGACAGTGGTTCTGAAGTGGGGGGGAGAGGGCCTGCTTCAAAAGAACAAAGCCCTGCCCTCAGGGTTGTAGGATTCACGGGTAGCCTGCTCACTGTCACCCTGATCCAGCCACACCCCACGAGATCCTAGGACCTCCCAGAGCCAGACAGAATGTCAGTGTCCTTCACAGAATGGAATGGAGGTATCTGGTCACCTTCCTCGGATGCTGGTGGCAGTAGCCCTTGCTTCCCCACAGATTGCGGGAGATCCTCCTGGTGGCCAGTGCCAACATCAAGACACCGATGATGAGTGTTCCCGTGCTCAACACCCGGAAGGCCCTGAGGAAAGTGAGGAACCTGAAGAAGCAGCTCACCAGAGTGTGCCTGGGGGAGGTAAGTGCTCTGTGGCTGGCTGCAGGCCATGTCTGCCCCGTCCTCGAGACAGGCAGCTGGCTGCACCTGAGCCTGGGCCAGTGAGAGATCCCAGCTGGGCGCTGAGCAAGGCTGCACCAGGAAGCTTTTAAGGTAATTGCTAGTTCAGCAGATCCTCATGGGCCTTGGAAGTAAAAGGTCTCCCTGGGTTAGCCCAGGTCCTCTCCAGAGAGCCTGGCATGGTCACCAGAGGTGACTAGCACAGTAGGTTTCTTGGGGCTTTGGTCCCTGGTACTGGCTGCTGTCTCCTTAGGTTTCCATAGCCCATTCACTGCACAGTCGCCTGGGGCCTGGCCAAATTGCGTTCTCTTTGCCTGTCTTGTTCTAGGTATTGCAGAAATTAGATGTCCAGGAGTCCTTCCGGATGGAAGCAAAACAGGAGAAATGCCGGGTGTACCAGCTCCGATTTCATTTCCTGCCACATGCATATTACCAACAGGAGAAGTGCCTGAAACCCAAGGACATCCTGCACTTCATGGAGACAAGGTCAGGGTATACATTGTGTTTGCTGTTGACCTCAGTCCAGAGGACCCTCCTGACCTGAGACTCCCTACAGTTGGCCACACTTGCCTGCATGAACCCATCGCGGAGCCCATAGGGCCTCTGTCGCATCATGGCCCTGATCCCGGCTTGTGGGTGTGACTGGCTTGGCCACACAATTCTCCCTAAGCTCTTTTCTCCTCTCACTTGATGAGTCAAGCTTCATGTCTTTTCTGGTTTGTGATGGTTGGAAGACATGGGAGTATGTGTGTGGTGAGGAGAGCCAGGCCCTGTTGCTGAGTCAGACAAGGAGGACTGCTGGTGTCTGCAATGCCATCAGCCCAGTGGTATTTGTGATGTGGTTGCAGATACATGTACACTTCGTGAGTGCAGACAGGCGGTGTATCAGGGGCACGCTGCTCTTAGACCCACTTTTATAGCTGGGTTCCCTCTGGTAGAGAATTGAATATGTTAGTCAGAAGTTAGACCAATTCAGGCACAGTACTGGTGAAGGGCTGGCTCTTTTGGGAATGGGAGGCCATGGTTGCACACACAGAAAATGACCCTGGGCCTGGCAAGCACAGAAGCTGATGAAGCCAATGGCAGCCCAGCTGATGGGAGCATGGGAACTGTCAGGGTGGCGCTCACCAGGCCAAAAAAAAAAAAGACTTTGTTTACGCAGTTATTTGGAATTTGTTGGTTGCTTTTTTATCTCCTGTTTTTTCAACGTTAGCAACTAATTCGTAAATTCTTAAAAGCCTGGTAAGGCCCAACCAAATAGATTCCGTCTGTCAGCAGGATTTGGTCTGCGGCCACCGGCCACCATGCTTAATGCAGACCAGCCCTCGGGTCTTCTCGGCCAGAGCTGCTGAGCTATGGGAACTGGGCCGAACAGAAGCAGGAGTCTCCACCGGGCCCATTTGTTCTCCACGTGTTACCATGTGACCTTTGTGGGTGGCTGCAAATGTTAACATGTGGTTCTGACAGTTGGCTGAGTCGTGGGGGCCAGTGTGGCTAAGTATGCACTGCCCTGTGCTGACTGGCTGTGCCCTGAATGGGCACCGGGCGTGCTCCAGTGCTCCAAGCAGGTGGAGTTGGGGATGGGTGTGTAGATGAGCCTGTGTGTGGATGTGAGCCCTGTAGCATCTTAAGTGTCTGCCTGGATTGAGAGCAGTCAGGCCTGTGGCCTTTAGTGGAGGCAGGATCACAAGGCCCGCCTGCCACTCCCAGATTGAGGGTGAAGACTGTTACCACCAGACGTCCTGGGTACTCTCCCCTACTTGCCTCTTTTGCTCAGCCCTTTGTGGGAAATGGCAGTTGGGATCATATGGCTTTTTGGCAGTTAGCAGGAGCAGATGTAGTCAGGAATTCCTTTTTATTCACCCAGAGCTTGTCCTACCAAGCAGGTGGGGCAGCATGAGGCAGGTGCCAGACTCTGCTTCCAGCCCTTTTTACTTCCATCCCATCTTATAGGATTGCAAATAGGAAATCACCTTTCATTTCTTCCTTTTAAGCAACAGCCCTGGCTTCCAAGCAATGCAGTGCATTTTCAGCTCTTAGTTGTGTTTTATTTGTCCACTTTAGAAGCTTATAAACTAAGCCATGTGCCCCGCTGCAGTTCTTACCCTTGACTTTGGCATAGTACACCCCTTAGCACTCAACCACAGATGGGTGGGGGAACATTGTGTGTGCTGGGCTATACTGAGGGTACCCTTCTTAAGGCCCCAACAGTGCAACAGCCACATCAGGGCTGCTTACAGACCAACAAATATCAGAGACTTTTCCCCGACTCTGGTCTACTCTTCTCTTCAGCCTCGTCTCTCTTTGGCTCGCTGCGTGCTCTCCCTCCTGGCGATGAGACTTTGGTTCAGGTTGACGGGGATACATATAAGCACGGAATGCCCCTCAGTCTGTTACACTGTTGCCTGGGGGTGGGTGTGGGTGTGGATTGTCCAGCGGGCAGGGTTTGACCCGCAATGGTGGCCAGGTGGTGTGTACTCTGGCCTGGCCCACCATGGCCACGTGGGCAGCCTCTGCATTAGGGCCGCCATGGATCTCACTCTCTGGCACGCAGCTGGTGGTGGGATGTTAGCCAGGCTCGTTCGGGTATGGCCAAGGGTCCTTTTCCTGTTTTTTATTCTGTGGGGTGAGTGGTGTCTGCAGACTGCCCTACCTGCCGTCTTTCTTATATTTATGCTCTCTTACATTTATATAATGAAACAGTTCGTTTTGGGATACTTCTATGAGTGGAAAGACAAGAAGAAGAGAGGCAGGAGGCTAATGAGCAAGGAAACCAGGGAGGGAACAGAGGATTGTGGGACGGCTAACGTGTAGGGAGTGCCTCCTGGGTCCTCGGCACCAGGCTGGTTCTTTTGAATTGATTTTGTTCAAACCTGTTGATAAGATTTATTGTCACAAAGTAGTCATCTCTGTCCTTTGAAATTCTGATGCCTTCTCTCACAGCCCTTAGTTCTTTGGATTGTCTGGCTCCCCGCCCTCTGAGGAAGGGGATAGTGTGGGTCCTGAGTTGGAGGTGATATCTTGGGACCTGCTGTCCTTGTGTGTGTAACCGTCACAGCAGCCCAGCCACCTTTAGTGAGCACAGCTTTCGCTGTCACCCACGGGGTGATTTCGGCTCCTAGCTGCATGTTGTTAGTGGGGATGCATGTTGTTCAGTCGGCCGGCTCCTGCCACGCTGGCTGCCGGTCCCTTGCTCCACAGGGCTTTCACTAACTGGTTTTCAGAACTAGATCACTTGGCCTTGCTACCTTAAGAGACACATCAGCACCACGTTTTATAGGTGAGGGGTGAATGCTCTGAAGCTGTCTGCTGTGCTACGTGCCGTGGGTCCCAGGAGTGGCAGATCCCTTTTGCTGTGTAGCTGGGTTCTTTCTGACAGACCAAGGTGGGCCATTCAGAAACGGTGCAGGGAGGAGGAAAGGCTGGGTCTCAGTCATTCATAAATGCTGAGGAAGCCCCAGCCTTTCCAGGGGCGATATGAGCTCCACCCCTGAGCAGACCACAACACAGGAGATGCCAAGGCAGGCACTGAACAGGCCACCCTGCTGTCTTTGTGTTTTAGATTTTTTAAACTTCTGATGGAATCCATTAGAAAGAAGAACAAAGCTGCTTCAGCTTTCAGAAGTGTGAATACTCGAAGGGCTACCCAGAAGGATCTGGACATCTCCGGGGAGTCTGGGAGGAACCAGGTGAGTGCGTTCCTGAGAAGCCAGCTTCAGCCCTGCCTGACCCGACAGGGATGGCCGTGATGTGGTGACTTCCAGTCACCTGTCCTGGAGAGATGTCATGCTATGTTTCCAATGCTCCTTGGGTCCCATCAGTGCATTCTGTAGTCCACAGGCCTTGACTTGGGTGTGAGGTTGGCGGGGGTGCCAGTGCTGTCCAGGCTGCTGTGCCCTTGGGTGATTTGTCAGAGGACCAGCTCAGAGGACTTCTGCAAGTTCTCCTCCTGGTTTCGTTTGACTTTGCCTCCCTTCCCCAAGCCAGATGGATGGAGGCCTACAGTGGAGACTAGCTGGTGGGGACTAGAAGGCATTTGGAAGGTGGGAACTGTAAAGAAGGAAAGGGAAGGAGCCAAGGAAAGCTGTAGGTACTGTATCTGGGGGTGGTGATCCCACATCTGCTGGGAGGCCCAGGGCAGCACCTGAGGCATTTGTGGGGAATGAGTCCCATTCTGAGTGTGTTCTGAGCCCACAGTGCTGGGCTTTGAGAACATGTGAGGCCACGTGAAAGCAGGGCACAGTGGGTATGGCAGTATGTCCAGACCTTGTCCCTTCCTCATGGAAAATCAGGTCAGTCTAGACCAGAGAGGTCATGAGAGCTCTCTGTCTTGGGGTTGCCAGCCAAGCGTTAAGCCGGCTGGGCTGTCCTGGCTATGCGGCTTGGTCCTAGCCAAGGAGGCTGACGAATGGGACCCAAGGCCAGGAGAAAGGGATCACTTCTCCCACCAGACCCCCTTCTTGCTCATCTGCATCCACAGCTCAAAACATTTGGGATCGTGTTTCTAAGGCTGTGCCTTCTTCTTTTAATGGCTTGGAAAGCCCTGGCCCATTTTTCTCCCTTTTTTAAAGTTGAAAAGACTTTTGATAAAGGCACCACATTTGGAGCTGAAGACATCAGGGAAGGAGGCATCTGATTTGGGACAAGCACAGAGTAGATGATGGTTGAGTGTGTGGGTGGAGGGGTGGGTAGAGGGGTAGTTGAAGAGTGGTGGGTGGATGGAATGATGGATGGGTGAAGGTAGGTAGGTAAAGGGATGGATGAGTAGAAGGTTGGTAGACACCCTCCACTTCCGAGATAGGCTGATAGATAATCTGAACACTGGGTACTAACACAGATCATTCTTGCTTGTCCTCAAACCTCAGGAGCAAGAAGACAATGAGGAAGAGGAAGGACACATTGTGGATGCTGAAGCTGAGGAAGGGGACGCTGATGCATCTGATGCAAAGCGCAAAGAGAAGCAAGAGGAGGAGGTGTGGGATCACTGGCTGGTGGGAGGGTGGGTGGTCACACCATACCCCATCTGACAGGCGTGTCCCAGTACTCAGCCTGCAGCTCTGCATCCTGCCGTGGGGCGAGCCCTGGCCAGCACAACCCAGTCAAGAAGCTGTGGTTGGACAGCAGGGTGTCAGAGGTCACACCAGGGTTGCCATTCTGCTTCTCCCTGGATGTGAATCAGACTTCAGGGCCCAGAAGCCTTTGTCACAGAGATCCCTCCACCCCTGCCCACAACCAGTCCCTTCCAGTCATATTGCTGTAAGGTGAAAAGCAGTTTAAAGGACTGACGGTATCCAAAATAAGAGAAAGCACAAGGTCAAGTTGATGAGCCTGGGTGTGCAGTATGGAGGGCAGGCATTGGCTCTGAGGTGGGAGACATTGGTGAGATGGAGTTGCAGGGATCGGGTCAGGTATGCCAGGAGGCAGGACTCTTGAGTGATACAACCATGGCCATTTCCTGCCAGGTTGATTACGAGAGCGAGGAAGAGGCAGAGAAGGAAGGGGAGGAGAATGAGGATGAGGACATGCAGGATGACCGGAGCGTCGCCGGTGATGGCCCCCAAGAGCAGGATGGAGAGATGGGCCCTAGCCCAGAGGAAGACACAGTGCCGCCACCGCCCCGGAAGTCCACTCACAGCCAGGGGCCCCAAGGAACACAGGGGGCCGAGGCAGTGGAGCGCCGGATCCAGGCTGTACGGGAATCGCACGAGTTCATCGAGGATTACAAGTATGACGTGGAGGACAGCCTGTGGTGCGAGGTCAGTGTGCCACTGGGTCAGGCCCAGCACTGTCCGTGTCTCGCCCTCTGACACAGGGGCTTTGCCTCTGTTATCCCAGGTCCTTTCAAGATCTGGTGACAGCTTCAGATCCACTGCTCTGACCACACACCTTCTGCATAGAAATCCCAGATGGCCAGGTTCTCTGTTTCAGGAACCGTTTCAATGCAGATCTGACCTGTTACGTAGTTTTATTGTTACTTTGACAGCTGTGTTAACAAACCTCCCTGCTCCAGGGAACCACTCTGACCACTGATGCAGACAGGAAAGCATTTGACTACCAAAGGCTGATGGTTGGAAGCCACCCAGAAATGCTGGAGATTGACCAGCCAGCTGCTGCTGAACTGTCATAGTATGAATGCACATGAGAACTGCGTGGAGCGGTTCTTCCTTGTACACGTGGGAGAGCTCTGGAGAGGTGGTGGCCCACACACGCAGGACTTCTGTGGAGCATTTCTTCCCTGTGTATGCGGGAGCCCTGTGGAGAGGTGGTGCCCCGCACACGCGGGAGTCCCATGGAGTGATTCTTCCCAGCGCGGAGGAGCCCCATGGGGCAGTTGTTCATGTGCACGCAGGAGCCCTGTGGGGCGGTTCTTTCCTGTGCATCCAGGAGTCATGGTTGACCCTGTCGCAGTGCAGTGCACTCTCCCATAAGCACAGCCTTGTACTCACCTCTGCTCGCTCTCTTAGGGACATAATAGTATCCCTGAAGAGTAGCTTGGGTGCTTTGACTAGTGGGTGCTGAGGAGTTGGTTTCCACTCACAACACCCCCACATGACGAGTAGAGCTGCCCCATGGGATTTTCTCAGCTGTGCTCTTTACGAGAGCAGACCACCAGGCCTTTCCCTCATAAAATGACGGGTGGGTTCAGATTGCCCACTTTGTTGGGTAGCAGCTTGGAGCTGAGCGGTTGTCCCTCTCTTGTCCTCTAGTGCTTCGACATCCATGAACACACGGTCCTTTCCTTTGGTCCAGTTCAGTGGTTCCCTAGTAGTACTGTGAATAGTGAGGACCACTTGCTGGGGTCACACACAGGAGACCAGTGTGGCCAGACCCTGCAGTGACTGAAGGTTGTCAACAGTGATGTTTCGTGCATAGCGGCCCTACTGGGCACACCTTCCATCTGGTGACAAGTGCTGCTCCTTCTGCCATCCAGTGTCCACCTGTGCAGCCCCTTCTCCCGCCACCCAGGTGTTCACAGAGATGACCTGGCAAGTGGCTGTCTCCCCTAACCTGACCCTTCTACCTCTGCAGGTGACCGTGAAGCTCCCTCTGATGAAAATCACCTTTGACATGAGCTCCTTGGTGGTGTCCTTGGCCCATGGCGCTGTCGTCTATGCAACCAAGGGCATCACCCGCTGCCTTCTGAATGAAACCACCAACAAAATGAATGAGAAGGAGCTTGTCTTAAACACAGAAGGCATTAACCTCCCAGAGCTGTTCAAATACGCTGAGGTGGGTGTGCTCTGTGCAGGTGGTCTGCTCGCCAGGACCTTGCTGCCTGTGTGGTCCTTCATACACATGGTCTCAGGGTCCTGCCTCTGGGAAGGGGTCATTTCCTGGGGACTTCCTAGGCCAGCTTCTCCCCTCCCCTCCTGACAGCTTTGTGCATCCACCCCACCTCCTGGAAACTTGGGTGCACTAACCTGAGAAGGGACTTTCCAGCAAGAAACTGCTGAAATTCCTCTCCCTCAGTGTTTCCCAAACTAATTTGAACACAACTCTTAACTGTCCTTGAAGTTCGGACTTACTGTAAGTAGAATTGTGAGAAATAACTAGGAAAATTATTTCCACATCCCTTTGCTGACTTGGTTCCTGGGAGCATCTGGCTTAGCACAGGCAGAGGAGGCCCCGCTAGCAGAGCTCTGTCCCCTCTCATCCAGCCATTTGCCTCTCCTCAGGGCAGATTCTCCCCCAGGACTCTTTTTTTATTTTTATTTTTTTATTGTATTATTTTTTACGTGTACCGTCAAATCAGATCTGACTGGTACAGGAGGAGATTGCCCCCTCCTTCTCCAGCAGAGCATCTGGTGGATTTGAACCATGTACCTCTGGGATTTCAGTGCAGTGTCTTGCCACTAGGCCACCAGAGCTCCCTTCCCCCAGGACTCTTAAAGAAATGCTCTCAGCCCCAGCACAAATGTCACTGGACACCTGGGCATGGCCTCCAGTAGCCACCCTTGTCAGAGCTGAAACAAGTTGCCAAGAACTGGCTTCCCCATCACTCTCTTCCTGCCCAGTGCCTGGCTTCTCTGCCAGGTGCTTCCTGCCCAGCCTCTTCCTTCCCTGGAGCCATTAACCAGGCCCTTCCCCCAGAGAATGGAGCTGGAGAGTGTGCTTTCCTCAGACTCAGCCAGGAGTGCTCCGCAGGGTGTGTTTCCTGTGGTGCCCATGTCCTTCCTGAAATAGGCCAGGCAGGTGGCCAGGGCCTCACTGTCCGTGTGGGCCGTGACTATTAACCGAGCACACGGCAATGGCAGCCTCTCTAACTTGTTTGTCCTATGTTCCCACCTGGGGCTGACTTGCTCTGTGAAGCTGACTTGTCCCACTCCATGTGTGTGTTAATTGACCATGGCAATTCTGTGCCTTCCAAAGAAACAGGTCTCTGTTTTAAAAAACAGTAACTGAAAAATGCCGCCTTCACTGTTGAATGAAAACCATATACCCAGCTCTCTGTCACATCTGGTAATGAAAACAAGGCAGCCAGTGCTGGCCCGCCAGCATTCCATCAACAGCCTTGCTTATGCTGTTTCCTTGTGCTAATTTTGGACCACCGCACAAGCACTTTGTTGTCAGCTGTCCTCAGCTGCCGGCCATGGGAGAGAGTGGGGCTGGAGACTTGGGTGGAACGGGGACCAGGCCTCATGGCAGAACCTCGCCTCCAGGTGTTGGACCTTCGCCGCCTCTATTCCAACGACATCCACGCCATGGCCCACACGTACGGCATCGAGGCTGCGCTGCGAGTGATTGAGAAGGAGATCAAGGATGTGTTCGCTGTTTACGGTACGAGGACGCACCCAGGAGCAGGGAGGGTGGGGACTCTGTCAGACAGCTTCAGGCTGCAGGTGGGGATCCCACAGCTGTGGTGGAGGGAGGTGCAGGGCAGCATCTGTGGGTCTGGCAAGTGATGCTGCCCCCGCCTAGCCGTGTGATTTTGCTGATGTTACTTGTGTCACAGGCATCACCATTGACCCTCGCCACCTCTCTCTGGTCGCGGATTACATGTGCTTCGAGGGCGTCTACAAGCCACTGAACCGCATCGGGATCCGGTCAAACTCATCCCCTCTGCAGCAGATGACTTTTGAGACTAGCTTCCAGTTTCTGAAGCAAGCCACCATGATGGGTCTGTCCTGCCGGGCTTGCTGGGTTGTCAGGCTCCGGTCCTCTCCACAGTGTCAGAGAGACCTTGGGAGCCAGGGAGTCTGGGTGGTGGTAGGGGTTGCTCAGTGCTGATCACTTCCCCTTCCCTTCCCCAGCTCTGCTTTCATTGGTCTGATACATGCCTTTGCCTCCCCCAGGTTCTCATGATGAGCTGCGGTCTCCTTCTGCCTGCCTGGTGGTTGGGAACGTGGTCAGGGGCGGGACCGGCCTCTTCGAGCTCAGACAGCCCCTGAGATAGCCCCTGGGTATCGCCTGCGGCTGGGAAGACTGGCTGTGATCACCGCGCGGACTGCCCTGTGCGTGAGGGTCAGGCAGCATAAAGTGACTGGAATTGTTGGGGTTCAGCGGGTAGCTGGCCTCTGGACTAGACCAGCTTTACCTGGAAGGATGGTAGTCCCGTATCCGGATTGTCATCAGATTCAGGACATTTCTGAGACTCTCCCTAGGGATGAAGCAGGATGGAATTCCTAGGAGAAGCCCAGGGCTGGCCTGGGAAGGCTCCAGGGGAGCAGCTCGTTGATGCCAGAACTGTGGAGTGTGTTCAGGCTTCCCCCGCACGGCCTGCTACAGCTCCCGGGCAGAGGCCTGAAGAGGCTCCCCAAGGATTGCCCAAGCTGAGTGTCCTACAGAGCACCCCAGTGGCCCCTGGCTCTCCTCCGGAGCTGCCCACACAGTCGGAGAACTTGGGCAAAGGTTTTGTAAAGCCAGAGGCAGTTTCTATTTTAGTCTAATGTTTTTCCAACTCAGGCTGAGTGATAAACATCACTGGGATTGACTGTTGGGAGGGAAGGGGGAGAAAGGAAAAAAAAAGCTTTGAGACTTTCAGTTTTTTCTGACGTGGTTTGTGGCTACTGCATTTGTCAGTCCAGGACTGAGATTTCACAGCACATGTGAACCCCTCTCTGCTCTTTTTGGAAGAAGTGAAGCAGCTCAGCTCCTGCTGCATGAAGGGTGACCCTGTCAGCATCTGGCACTGCCCCGTTAAGGGGAGGGTTGCTGCCGACACCTAGGCCTTGTTGGTGGGATAGTGTCCAGTCAGTAAACGTCCTGTGCCAGGATGCACTCAGGTTCCCAAGAAGAGCTATGGGAGGTCTAAGCCAGATCTGGTGAAGAGCATGGGTCTTGCAGCACTGTATCATTTTCCATTTTTAGACCAGTTGGAAGCACTTGAAATAGGAAAAGCTGGCCCTTTAGGGATGAGGAGTCATCTGGCGGCCCACCGACTGGACAGGTCCTAGACTGCCCCCAACCCTGGTGAGCAAGGCCATCTCATGTCTGAGGTTTAGTGAACAGCTGCGGGAGCCTGCGTTCCTGGTCCGGGCCGTTTGCTTCCCCTTGCCTTGCCTGCTTAGGGCTTTGTCCTTTGGGTTACAACCACCAATGAGGAGTTTCAAAATTCCCACACCATCAAGTCCCTCTTTCTGCCAAAGACTGAACAGTGTACTCAGCTCTGCACACTGAAACCTCCTGGGGAAGGTTTTTTGTTTGTTTGTTTGTTTTTTTCTTCTTAAGCTTTATTTTTTTTTAAAAATAATTTTAATGAGCATTTACAGAAATTTTGGATTTCCATTCATTCATTGCTGCACTTCTCTCCCCGCCCAGCCGCCCCAGTTCACTCTTCTCTTTCAAAAGTAAAAGAAACACTCCCTCCCTGGGACACAGTCTCCCCCACACCCCTCCCGCTGCCCCAAGTACATTCCACTATGCAACCTTAATTGTGGACTCTTGTGATAACCATAATACCCTATCATACATCACTTTTAAATTACTTTCTCCCTCATCTGTTTCAGTGCAGTATATCCAGTTTTTCTCAGTCTTACCCCAACCCCGATATCAGTCCCATTTTACAACAGTGGCACCGTGCAATATTTGTCCTTTTGCGACTGAGATATTTGACTCAGCATAATGTCCTCCAGGGTCACCCATTTTGAATAATATTGCATGAGTTCCTTGTTTTTCAATGCAGCATAGTATTCCATTGGGTGAATATACCACAGCTTCTCCATTCTTTTATTGATGGGCACCTGGGTTGGCTCCAACTCCTTGCTATTGTAAACAGAGCTATGATAAACATGGGTGTGCATATATCTGCTTGGATGTCAGTTACGGTCTTTGGGATATATTCCCAGTAGTGGAATTGCTGGGTCAAATGGTATCTCTATTTGCAACTTTTTGAGAAAGCGCATACTGCCTTCCACAGTGGTTGCACCATTTTACATTCCCACCAACAGTGAATAAGGGTTCCAGTTTCTCCACAACCTCGCCAGCATTTGTTGTTTGCTGTTCTGTTAAATTTTGCTATCCTGACTGGGGTGAGATGATACCTCATAGTTGTTTTGATTTGCATCTCTCTCAGAGCTAGGGATTTTGAACATTTCTTCATGTGCTTGTTGGCCATCTGAATGTCTTATTTGGTGAAGTGTCTGTTCATATCCTGTGCCCATTTTTCAATTGGATTATTTACCTTTATCTTGTGGTGCTCAACTATTTTATAAATTCTAGATATAAGTCCCTTATCTGACATGTCATTACCAAACACTTTTTCCCAGTCTGTGGCTTCCCTTTTCACCCTGTTGGAGAAGTTTTTGGATGTGCATAGGGATTTAATTCTTAGAAGGTCCCATTCATCTATTTTTATCTTCTGGTTGTAGACTGGGGAAGTTTTTACATCCTCATTCCAGGGATCTTAGATTTAACTGTCCTGGGTGTGGCCTGGACAAGCCAGGTTAAAAGCCTCTCCAGGAGGGTTGTGCGGTGAGCATCCCTGGCTTGGACCAAGCACTGGACCAAGAGCTGCAGTCCCGTCTGAGCGCTTGGAGAGCTATGCACCATCGAGGGCGCTGCCCCTAGGTGTCCTTAGTCAGTGTGTTTGTGGTGTGTGACAGAAAACACGGTGCCACGGCAGATGGTGCAGGGACGTGTGTGGCTCCCAGGAGGCTGCCTTTCCTTGGCTGCTCGCAAAGCCTCAGATCAGATAGGTGTGAGGCCCCCGTTCAGAGCAAACTAGCTGCCAACCCACCTGGCAGTCAAAGGCTGCGAGCTCACCCTCGGCCACCCTGCACCACAAGGGGACTCCCACTGGGCCTGCACTTAGAAGGCCCTCCACTAAGAAACCCCCCTTTTAAAGTCACACGTTCCTTGTTCCATGAGGACTGAACCTCATGTGTCCCTGCCTGCCCGTGAATGGTAGATAATCCAGGAGCTGCGTTTAATTTAGAATTTACAGGCCCATGGAAGGGCCCGGAACCTGGTTCCAGAAGCAGGGCTGAGCACTCCGTTCACCTCAACAGCCTTGTTTGCTCAGGAGTACGACCTTGAACAGCTTGCATTCTGACTCGGAGGGCAGTTTCCACCCCAGAGCTCCTTTAATATGCTGTCCCTCACCTCCCACTCTGCTGTCTGTCTGTCCCTCACCTCCCACTCTGCTGTCTGTCTGTCCCTCTGTCCTTCACCTGCTCCCACCCTGCCGTCTGGCCTGCTCCCGCCCTACCGTCTGTCCCTCACCTGCTCCCACTCTGCCATCTGTCCCTCACCTACTCCTACCCTGCCGTCTGTCAGGCTTGGACATGGAGCCAGCACCTGAAGGTGAGTGGGCATTGTGAGCCCCGCTGGCTGCCACACCACAGGCCCTTTCTACGTGGACAAGACAGCAGGAAACAGTTTTGTATGGCTGTAGACCGAATGGGGAGCCCTCCCCCAGCTTCATCCCCTCTCCCCCAGTTGCTCGTGATGCTGCATGGAGAGGGCAGAGGACAAGCCCTGGGTGCCCAGGGACTAGGAAAAGAATGAAAACTAGTAATGACTGTACCACACCCACTCCCCCCCAGTTCAAATCCACCAGACGCTCTGCTTGAGAAGGAGGGGCAATCTCCTGTACCAGTCAGATCCGATTTGACGGTACACACACACACACACCACACACAATTTAAAAAAAAGAGGAAGCTGCCGAGCTCCATGCTGCACACAAGCTGGCCTCACCACAGAGTGGCCTGCCCAGTGCTGTGGGAGGAGGCCTGGTGTGCACACGTGGGGTCAATGCTGCTGCTTTTACAAAATCAAATACTTGAATTTGTCATGCTGATAACTAACAGTGGTGTCCCATTGTAATCCTGAGTCTCCCTCATCAAAAAAAGCTGCACTTCATTATCAGTAAAGCTGAACACATGTTCCTGTGTCATTGGTTATTCTGGTTTTACTTCTGAGAATTACCTGTTTGTGTCCTTTGCCTTCTTTTATCTTGTTTCCATGACTTATTTCCAATTAAAAAAACAACAACAACAAACTCACACCTTGTTGTAAATTGTAAAGGTAATCTTTTGCCATCCATATTAAATACTTAACCACTTTACCTCCAAAATTCAATGGATGAGATAAAAGTACAGGCCAAGAATTGGACACAGAGTCCTGCACAGTGGCTAGAACTGGCAGTTCACTCCTCTGCCCTGGGCAGTGGCATCTCGGGCTCTCATCAGGGCTGCTGGGGGTATGTTTTTGAGGGATGTGGAATTGGTAGGTGCTGTTTGAGTTAACTACAACTCATAGCAACCTAAACAGCAGATCCAAACCTTGCCTTCTCCCATGCTGCTCTGTCTTTACCGTGATCAAGCTATTGTATCCTCTGCTCTCATCCACCTTGTCGAGGGTCTTCTTTCACAGACCCTCTGCTTTTCTCAGCTTGATGCATTTTTCCATTGACTTCTCCTGAAACTAGGCCCAAAGAATGTAGTATATGTATCTCTAAGGAGTACATAGGATACATTTCCTCAGGATGCATTTCCTCCAAGACATTTATTTTTTCTTTTGGCAGTGCATGATTTATTCAATACAGTTCAATCCTTTGGTCTTCCTTATTCATTGTCCAACTTGATGTTGATAAGTAATCCATATTGAAGGCTGTAGTGTTTGATTTTTAGTTGTTATGTGCCATCAAGTCTCTTGAGACTCCTAGTGACTATGTACAAGAACCCTAAACCCTGCTCTATCCTGTGCCAACCTCATTGTCTGACACACCTACTCCCATTACTCCAATCACTGAAGTGATCCATCTCGTCGAGGGTCTTCCTCTCTTGTGCACTCTTATCCACTCTCCCAAACATGATGTCCTTCTCCAAGGACTGGTCCCTCCTTGCATCATCCCCAAAGTAAGTCAGATGAAGCTTCAGAATCCTTGCCTCCAAGGAGCAGCCCGGCTTTATCCTCTCCAGGACAAACCTGTTTGTTCTCCCAGCAGTCCATCAT